CTGTTTGAGCTGAATGAAACAGTAGGACTAGGCAAAAGTGCGACTGGATATGAAACTAGAAGCATTATGGACTCGAAGTCATCGGGGCATAAGCCTGCCAACGATATCAGGTCCCTGAGATAACTCATATCGCACGTAGTAATAATGCTATGTCCAACCGTATTTCGCGCTTTCAAGATAGAAGGCCCATGTGCAATGTAAGTCAGAGATATCGTACAGGCATTTGACTGAGTGTTGGTGCATTATCACTTGGTATTTTATGAAATCAGTCAGTTTGTGCCGCGGGACGCTTTACTCTTGACACTCAGTTGGCTAGTGGACACTGAGACACGTGTCCTCTTCAGGTTTTTGGTACAGCAAATTGTCCAATCGTGATTATCCAGTGTTGTGGGGTTTTTTAGTCATGTTGATCCATTAATATCAGCTCTGATTAATTTTAAATATTCCGATAGCCGAGGGTTGTGTTGTTATCGTGTCATCGAGAGAAATTCTGGGGTTGAGTGAGAGTGTGCAAGTTAACACTTTGGGTAATCGCCTATTTATCTCGATAACCATCGAATTCACAGCAAAGGTTGATAGGACTTTTTTTTAGATTATTCAATTTTGGAGGAAAACCGTCTTCTCATATTTTTTCGTAACGGCTGTAATTTCGCAGATTTATCGGTATTTTATACTATGACGTTTGATTAATTTAAGTTTTGGGGAGAATTTGTGAAACTTTTTGGTGTCTCTTGGTGCTGGTGAAATTCATTGGGGTGAAAATTATCTGGGGGAATCCCAGCGAATGAAATTTAAATTCGCAAGGTTTTTGGAAGTTCAACATTTATTTTGACCCCACCTTGGTCTAGAATACCTCATGCTGGCGTTTAATCACGAGTTGCGCAAATGCCAGCGCCACTTTTTGCATATGAGGAAACCTCAGCTGGATGATTTTTTTATACAGAGGTCATATATTATATTTTTATTTTTTCAACACAGATTTTACGGAATAGAGATAACGGAAAGTTACAATAAAAATTTTGCATCTCGTGAGGTGTCACGTAATTTTTATTGAACATTTTTTTTCAGTGACAAATAAGTTTGTTAATGAGTTTTGCGAATTGATGGCATTTCCACACTCGATCAAACGTGACTGATGCGAACGCACGCAAATTCCACAGAACATGCTGAAGTGGAGGATTATGTGGATTTGTGTGTAATGAAAGAAATCGGTTAATGTTGAGGAGAGATCTGGAGACTGGACCTTCGGAATTCGACCCCTTGTGTCATCCTCTTCCTTTAGGGTAAAAAAGAAGTTCGCATGAGTCAACGTCTGTCCCCGGAAATTTTTCTTTCTTTATCCAAGGGAAAAGTCCACGATGGGTACCACAAAGAAACAGAAGTCACTGAAGAACCCGAGATAAGCCTCGGACCCCAGTGAGGAAGTTTCAGTTTCATTCATAGGTAAAAAAAAAAACCGGATGTAAAGATCAGAATTAGTTTATAATCAACTACTCCGACCCACAGCGAAATTGTTTACAAAATTAATGACATGTTGATGATTTTTAACACAACTCTAATTTACTAGACCGTTCCTTATTAATTGTAGTAATTAATTACGGGAAATGAAATTAAGTACAAATTTATATCTTATATTTCCATTATTTGAAGACATTTTCTGAAAATGTTTTGATTATTGATTATTAAGAAACTGTCTTGATGACGGAATTATTGAAAACGAAATGTAAATAATGGAATTGAAGGTGGAAAAGCTTTTAAATTGTTTTTGTTTCGGAGTGTTAATTCCACGATCAAGTATTTGCAATTGACTTCTCATTGTGAAATATTTTGATGATAAAAAAATTGATACGAGTTATGGATTATCTTGGTAAAAGGGATTGAAGAGTTGAGAATCACTGGATACTGCACTCATGTATTCATCGACGATTCATGATGACGTAAAACACGAGTTTAGGCGAAGGCGGAGCAAAACACGCGGATAGGTAGTGGCTGTCTGACACGCCGCCATTTTATCCATCCCTACATTGAAAAATCTATAATCAAATTTACCCTCGGGTCGTAATAAAAAATACCATCTATCTAGCGGAAATGACAATATTTTCGTAGAACAGTTACTATTCACTCTCGCAAACAAAATTAATGTTTATTACAATTTCAAGAAAAAAAAAATCCTCGCTTCTAGAAATTACGCACACTTGTACAATTTCAATAATTATTTTACCAATTGTTCCTTTTGTGTTAAAAATACTATACTATTGCGAAAATATTACCGAACAATTGTGATATTTTATATAATTATGAGAATTAATTATGAAATTTTACTCTCAATTTTTCTAGTTCTTCTGAAAATGTCAATTCGTTGACTGCAAACTGAGGGACAGTATTTTAATACTGAGGTTTAATTGAAGAGACCGGGAAAGTCTTATCGGTGAACATTTATTCTTTTGGAGTATAAATATAATTCTGCAGACAGAAATTTTTCCGTTCTCAAGGATGTGGTTCTCCCCGCGTCCGCTTTAGGATGAACAGCTGAGAAATCGGTTCCCTATTCCGTAATAATAATATAATTTTTAAACCTCATGAAAAATTATGGAAAAACATCCATTGCAATAAAAGACTAATTAATTCAAAAATCAAACTGAATATCTCGAATAATATTTATTTCAATATTAAAAAAAAAACAATTCGTTTCGATAAAAAAATATTTTCTTTTGGAATCTAAAAATTGGAATTGAAAGAATTTTTAGCAAGAAAAATAAATCGCATAATCTATTTGCTCATCATTGAATTGTATTTTTAATCATTTTAATTACTTTTTAGGTATTATATTAAATGGTAATCAATTGATAATCTCAGATTAATCATAATTAAAATAATTATGTAATCATAAGCATTATTTTTTTAGTGTAAACCCAGTGAATATTCCAGTGCAAGTGTCAGAATTTTTCGCGTGCACGTTTTCGCCAACTTTTCCAGAATTTCACAGCATGCAATTGAAAGGAATATAAAAATGAAATGAGCAGACGCCGGCGTCTTGGTCAGCGAGATTTATTGAATCGTTTACATGAACCCTGACTTCTGTGCTCTGCCATCTCATAGATAACGACCGATTCCTCAAAACCTCCGACGATTCGAAAAATTCCGAGGGTTCATTGAGAATTAAATCCTCAAATGCCAGAAATTAAATCAGGGACTATATCGAGAGGAAACATTTTTAATTCTCGTCATATCATGAATTATGTAATTATATACTCGGACTATCACGTGATCTCTTGCACTTCTGAAAATAAATCGATAAAAAGGAAAGTCTTGCAGCTGAGATTGAAGACCAGTCTTGTAAACATGATGATTGCAACATCAAAAAACGTTGCATTTCTTTCTGCAGATAATTGTACGTCAAACTGAGTCATCGCGGAAGAATAATATATTTTTTCCCCCGTTAAGGTATTAATTGATTAATTAAAAATTTACAATCGCGCGGTTTACCACAATTGTTTTTCAATTTTCAGTGAAAATGACAGAACAATTGAAATTGTCTTTTCTACTCGGATTTTCTGAATCTCTGAATTGTCACTACATTACAGGATTAGTATCTGTTATGGTAATTTGAAAAATAAATTTCTCTCGGTATGTTAATGAAATATGGCTCATTAAATTTTCCGTTAATCTCTTCCTCCTCCTAACGAGTCGAGACAGCTAAAGCATTTTCGAGAAAGTTGTGTATTGTTAAGTGGTATTTCACGACTTTTGTAAACCCAATTCTCTGGTTAAACGCCGGATTTTCCGTGATTTACCCGCGCCGGAAAAATTGTATTCACGCGCACAATGAGAAATGCGGGAACGAAATATTCCAATGGAATAGTCAATTAAAATTATTCTACTGTCGAATGAATCTTTCATTAGCCCGCGGAAAATACAAATGACATTGAAATGAAAGACGGAAGATATTCGGAATAAAAGTTGAGTCTTTCATTTCCAGCTGTGGCTTTTGGCAGATTGATTCGAGGGGAGAAACTCGAGGAAAAGTTTTTCATCTTATCAGATGATCTTTTCGATAAAAATATCGCCATTTCCAGACTTATCGGGTGACAATTTATTCCAAAAAAAGTGAATTTGCAGATAAATCTCTAGATATTTTATACTTTTATACCTAATTACTGATTGATCTTGATTTTAATTTGAAATTCTTGCATTGAGCTTTTCAAAAATCTCTCGCGAAAATTCTCAATTCCACCTTTCGTGCCTGAATCCTAATCATTCAAACTACCCATCAGACTTTCATCTCTCAACAGTATCACCCAAAGAAGTCCCCCAAAAAATGCTCTCTTCGGCAGCACCAAAATCGTAAAGACTCGACCAACCGAACTATCGAAATGACTCAAGTCTCGATATGAGTGACGTGGCGTCGCAGTTGTCAACCTAATGACATCCCCGAGGACACAGAACTCAGCAACGCCAGGTATTTTAATCACCCGTACCATGAAAAATACGATGACAAATTATACTTTCAAAATCCCGAAGAACTCGCTCCCACAAGCCGTCACTAATGGCCGGAAAAATCAAAGATCAATCAACAATTCCATAAAAACGTCCCTCATACGCTAAAATCTAGGTCATGCGACAAACACTGACCCAAACAACAACCATAACGAAAAAAAAACACCCCACCACCCACCCTCCCCCAGCGAAGCCAACACAAGACTCCACCATCTCCATCAATGAAGGCTCAGTCCCAGAAATTCTATGGAAAGCCCCAAAAAAATCCTCCTGCCTCGACGAATCCCCACAAACGCACAATAACTCGTTATCACGTACCCAGGGGCGGCGTTATCACTCTGATATCCAACCATATATACATCCACAACAGTCGGCCCCTGGTCTCCAGTGAGTGGCGGACCACCGGCCCAGTTAGTGATCCCGAATCCCTCCAAAATCCCCCCCCCCCCTCCCGCGCCCCAATTAAAATGAAAAAAAAAAAATTGAAGAACCCCAGAACTCACCGTATCCCCCGGTCCGGAGTTTCTTCATGGATTGCTCATCCCGTTGTCCTAGTATCTCCTTCATTCCAAGATTAAAAATAAAAGCACCCACTGAAAAGAAAAATCCAAAAAATTGTCACAAGCCCTTCGAATGCACTTGGTACCAGTGACTCCTGGAATCGAAGTAACCGTCAAGTCGGTATATGCACAACGAGTGAGGTTGTAAGAAGAAATAAAAGTCCGTGTTGTGCATATGAGAACCGGAGCTCTATGATCGACGGTATGAGCCTTTGGTATATTATGTACATAGAGCAAAGTAACTGAGCGCGCAACGAGTCAAAGCTTTGAGGGGAATCGGTAGAGAGACGAAGATAGCCGATGTGAGAGAGAGGGCATTGAATAGAGAGGAAAAATAAATATTAAAGAGAGAGGAGAAGACTAAATGTCTTCATGTTGTGGTGGGCCGGTGGGTGGTGGGGTCCCAGGGGGTGGCGGGGCCCGGGCGGGGGGACTAGAGGGGGTTCGTGCCCCCCGGCTTTTTGAACTCCAATGGGGGGAGGGCATTTAACGCACACCGAAACGATTAGGGAAGAGAGACGGAGGACTAATGCAGGCGAATACCATTATTCCGCATTTCAAACTTCAACATTTCAATGTGCTCCGTTTTTTTTTCTCTACTGTTTCTGTTACTTAGTGTTGTTACCCAGTTAGATTTCTCGCGGGTGCGCCAGTGTCGGGGGCTTATCAGCTCGTCACTTCCACTGGCGTTTATTTTTTATTTTTATTTTTTCCATTTTTTTCTTGCCTTGATTTTCGGCGCAGGAAACACCGCAATGATTTGCACTCGTTAAAAGTCATTAGCGGAATTTCAAAGAACGATACTTGCCATTTTTGCTACCTGCAATTCGACTGGAGTCTGCATTATTTTTTTTACATGTCTAAATTATATATTTATTTAATTACTATGTTTGAAGACTGTACCATTCATGGAACGTCTAAATTTTTTTTCTCAATAGAAAATGCAACACTAAAATCTTTTTGAAATTCAATTCTTTTACTCAAATGATGGATGACAATTGTTTTTTTATTTTTGGCACATGTTCCTCTAGTATTGATGGTGTGAGTCATGTAAAAACTAAAATTCTCCTCGAGTTGTATTTTGCGCTGAATAGATGAGTCAAGGGGTCACGGTTGGGGGTGACGGGGGGCTGAAGGATTTTTGGGGCAAAGTTCGAGGTTTTTGTTTTCGGTGTTTGGATTTTCTTCTGTTCGTATCGTCCTCTTCATTTTTCCTCATTTCAAACCGGTGACGAATTGAATTGTGCACGTGTGTTATGAATAGAGGCAGAGGGAGAAAAGAAATATGAAAACTTGGGAAATGTTTACGGAACAGAATCGACGACGGTGAATCACCTCTCTGGGGCATTGTGTTGAGTGTAGGTGTTCAATTGCACTCGTAAACAGAACGATCAAGGCTAATCATTGATAATTCCCAATTTCTCTCTTGTGTATAAAAATTTAACTATTTCTCTAAATATTTCACAATTTTTTAGACTATTTCCTAATGATTTTGATCACTAATTCGCATCATTGATCTGGTCCTCATTTTGGCTTTGGTAGAACTAAAAAATGGAAATGGTTGAAAAAATTATCATTTTTCCTCAGTGTTATGTAATTTTTGCAAATTTCTGAATTGCCACTATGGTATTAATTTTATTAGAGATGCTTTTAGTGGGATTCAATCTCTTTTTTCATTCATCAAGTTTCATTCTTCAATGGTGCTTTTTTTTTCGGAAGGGAACGCACTCACTGTTCAATGTTCTCGCGTTTTACCGGGAATTGGAATTAATGCAAACGATTTTACGAGAGTCGTGGAACAGTCACGCGCATTGTGGACGTTAAAGTCACTTGGTAGACTTACTAAACCGTCGAGAGCACGTAGTCGTTGCACCTACTTTCAGGGGCTTTCAAACATCGTACCATAAAGGAACTATGCACAGGCCATGCAGATTTACCTTCAATAGATTTCCATGTAATTTTTTTTGTCACGGAGAAAAAATGAATGAATGATTCTTCATTTTGAAAGATATATATATATTTTTTTTTTCACTGTAGCCTCAGGGGCTGGTCTGGAATTTTTTGGGGTGGAGGAATATGAAAACAAGAAAATTAATAAATAAATCATCTTCCAAAATTCCGATCGTCCATGAATTTTCAGCTTTCAATTGACAACTATAAATAATGTGAGCCGATTCAATCAATGAAAAATCCAGAAACTTTCAACAATATAATTCTCTATTCAACATTGGTTCGTTCAATGCACAATTCGAATGTCAATTTCATCCACTTCCCCTTAAATGCATGCAACTGATTTGCGTTACTTGTAATTTGTTATTTAACATTACAGAAATACAATTAAACACCGGATGAGCGTTAAGTAAATTTGTCGACATGGTTCGTTCAATTTTCCTCGAGAATCAAATAAAACAACTGTGGTACCTAGCCATTTCTACGAGGTCCACTCGAAAAAAAAGGCAAATGATTTGTTCATTACGTTGACTGACTGAGTGATAACATAAAAATGAAATCATAAGGGTGAAAATATGAGAAATCTCTTTTGTAATGGAGAAAACACGTTTGTGACAAATCAATTGTATTCACAATGAGTAAAAGTCTGTCAGTCGCAGTAGTTCCTTTCTCACGTTGTTATTATTTGTTTTTCTTAGTAAATTAATTTCTTCAGTTTAGGGAGCTAATGTTTTATTTGCCGAATAAGGAGAAGCACTTGTTTAACCGAGAATTAGACCGCAACCGAGTTGAAATTGTCCTTTGCTGTGATTCAGGAGACCACTCAGTGCGAATGTGAAGGGCAGGGGCTGTAATTTCTTCTCCAGTACTGCACCCACTGTCCAATTCGAATCAACACTCCCTGCAGACATTGAAGAACGAAAAAAAATTAATATATCATGAAATACGTCACCAGTCACACTAAAATCCACTTATTATATTACAATTGAATGAATAAACCTTTCAGAAACAATTTGTCTCATGAATTATTTCATCTATTTAATATTAATTATATTTAATTAACGCAAAATAAATATCTGTCAAGGTAAAGGAAAAATAGTCTCGTTAAAGTCGAATTGAAGAATGAACTTTTATGAGAATAGAATAGGTTATTACGTAATCAGTCCATATCGATTTTACCTCTGTATACAAGATCTGCCTTTGGTAGATCAATTTGGTAAGCTATAGTTGCTGTTGACTCTTGCATTCTGGGGTTAACATCCAATTCTACACCGACTTGGAGCTGCGGACTGGCCCGTTGATGGAAACATATGTGGCAACTTGCAGGGCCTGTTCGGAGTACAGAAAAGTCGTCTCAAAATCCAGAAAATTCGAGAAAAGCTGAGGTTAATTCTCCCTGTTTATTTAATTAAATTATTCACCGATACTGGCACTGATGGTCGAATCCCCACTTGCGTATCTCCCCACGAATGATACAATGGAGATGGCACGACCTGGCACTCCAGGACCCCGTTGATATACCAGTTCTCCACCCAATGCCAACTCCTTACTGATGTTTTGAAGGTAATGGCCCACAACAATTCCTAAAATCCGTGTAATAATCCCCATTTATTCCCAGAAGAAATGAAAATCATCGATTTAAATAATCAGATCTATAAACCCATTTATTTTAGAACGAATTATTAAGAGATCTTTTTTATCACAAAAACTAGACAATCAGTAGCTCACCAGAATTATTGATTATATCCGGATTGGCGACAGTCAAGGATGCAGTGTAAGAATCACCACGGTAGTCAGTAGTTCCCTGGACAACAGTAAACTTACTCCTCTGCACTTGTGCTCCAATTTTCGTCCTCATCCTGGAGGTGAACTGGTGGAGAACAGTTGCATTGAGATTACCTCCGGGTTCAATATCCCCAAAGAGGACAGGATATGCCTCCGAGGGAGACGTCTGTTTGGTTCCTACGTACGTTGCTGAAAACCTTCAAAAAGGCAAACACATCGGAGTCAATAGGATTCGATAAAGTAAGGGAGAATAACTGGAAACTTAATTAAGAGCAATTAGCTAAAATTTTCGACGTTATTCAAAATATAGACTGACAACTACAATATCAATTTGTTAATTTACCAATTTGTACCAAAAAAATACGAATCATGCGTGGGACGGAGTTTATTTCATTAATTCTCTTACTTGTATCCAGACTTGATGACCGAGCTCATAGTGATCGAGTGAGATATTTGGAAGTGGTTACTGAGGCCCTTGTTGATGATGAGCTTGGCACCCTCGAAGTTGGATGGAAATACATCTGAAAGCAATGAAAATCGTTGAACACCCAGAGATTCATTGGCATTGCCTCCATTGACATCACTGAGAAAACCCTCCATAAATCCTCACATAATCCAAAAAATATGCTCCACCTCCCATTGATCAACCCCCCAACAAAATTCCATAGAACTCTCAGTGATAACTTGGCCACTTTTATTGATAATGATGGGCTGATCCCCTGGAGGTTGTTGAGTTGAACTTTGGAGCTCACCTTTGCAAAGTTTGTGGAGATCCTCAACAGTCCCAGGATTCTCCAGTTTGGTAGGCGACTCTGGCTGTCCTAGATGCTGATCTTTGGGAATATTGGGTGGTGATAATGATGGAATCGACGATGGTGGTGGTGGTGGAGGTGCTGAGGCTGCCATAACGTTTCCCATTCTGTCTTCTCTTTTTTAAATCAATTTGTTTCGCAACTTCAACGACTGAGTTTTTACACTCGCCCGGGTGTTTAATTTAGTTCGTATTTTTTCCCGTTTTTTTAACAGTCCAATCGGCAACTTCCACGTTTATTTACACAGAAAATCAGTGATTACGGTAGTGCGGTTATAAGGGGCAGCGTGTCTCGCCGTGAGTCGCCATTTGTAAAGGGTCGATCTTTTTCCGACATGCAGAACCTCATGGCACGTCCTCATGAGATTCCAGAAAGGTTTTCGAGGTTCACGGGTTTCGTGAGGTTCATGGGAATTGGGATCATCACGTAATTGTTTGAAGTTGTCGAGGTTCAGGGTATTTCTCGTGATATTTTCAGGGAGGAAAGACGAAGGCAACAAGGTAAACAAATAGTTTTGGGGTTACTCTTTATTATCTGACGTTTTGAATGATTCAATAACGGACTGCTATGGTATAACAAATTATTATGGAGGAGAAACTCGAGAACATCAATCCCAAATTATATGGAAAGATTGAGGAGAGAGTGGTGACTGTTGATGATGAGAACGAAGAGGTTGTTGATGACTTTGATGCCAGGGAAATATTTGGTAAGTTACTGTCACTATTGGGAAATCGTTTTGTGATTTGTGATGTTATTTGTGTAGATTTGATTAAGAATATTAATGATCCGGAGCATCCACTGACTTTGGAGGAACTGCATGTTGTTGAGGAGAGGCTCATTGAGGTGACATTATTTTTGTTCAAGCCATTTTGTAGTGGAAAATTCTCAGGAGAATATTAATTGTTTTTGACTATCAGGTGGATAATCAGAAAAATCTGGTAGATGTGAAATTTACACCCACGATTCCCCACTGCAGCATGGTGACCTTGATTGGTCTATCTATAAGAGTCCAACTGCTCAGGGCCCTTCCATCGCGATTCAAAGTCAATGTCGAGGTTAACCCGGGAACCCACAGTTCAGAGGCAGCAGTCAACAAACAATTAGCCGATAAAGAGCGAGTAGCTGCAGCACTGGAGAATAAACACCTCGTGAGTGTGATAAATCAGTGCGTGAGTGTGAAGAATTAATTAAGAAACACCTGTTAAAACATTTATTGTTGTTTGAGGGAAAATACATTGATACGAGTGAATTCTTTTATTTTCAATTTATTGTTATTATTCTAACTAGTTTTAATTTACAAATTAGAGGACTTATGGTACGCAGTCTGTACAGATTGTTTTAACTCTTCTTGGCCATCACTTGGGTTTTCTTCAGATGCTCTTGCACAGGGTTGTAGCTATAGGTCTTCTGTAGTGGTCCTCTGCCAGCTTTGTTGAACTGAACTACGTCTATTTGCTCTCGAGCTGTCATTTCACGAGCTAATTTCATGTTTGTCCATGCTAAAAAAATCAATTCATACAATTAATCGCAAGTATTTCACTGGATATTAATTCCAGTTTTTGACATTGAAGTGATTTCATTGTTGTTTTATGTGCTTGTTTCACTCACACTCTTTGAATCCTTCCTTGAACTTTTTCGGCTTCATGAGAGCATCAGGAGGATGAACAAGTCTTGTCTGAATTTTGAAGTACTCTCGAACCGCCGGAATCTTCAAGAGAAACACCTGACCCATTCCATACAGATTCGTTATCGTCCAATAGAACGTAAGGGCCTGTTGAATTTCAATCAAGGGGATATAATTTTTGTTAACAAAGCGAATTGGCAGGAGATGTACACAAATTTTTAACAATAATGCAACCATTAATTGATAAATAACACTCACCGCTGGAAAATTAATCATGAAGGGAAGAATAAAAATAGGCACTGCGTTGACCACATACTTCATCCAGCCCATACTATTCACCTGAGGGGTGTCCATTCCCAGTTTAATTGTAAGAGCAAGTGTCCCCGCAGTAATTACAGGCAACAAGTAATAGGGATCGGGAACTGTGAGGTTTTCAAACCAGAAGAGTCCCCCAGTTTTCATACTATCCACAGGCAATTTTGCCATTCCTCTCAAGGCCAAAAAGAAAGAGAGGAATACAGGTGCCTGACACATGGGAACAATCATAGCTTTGACAGGATTGCAATTATGCAACTTCATGTAATCCATGAGTCGTTTAGTCTCCCTCGCAATACCCAACTGATCACCACTGACTCTGGCGTCTGTGATTTTTTGCTGAATCTTCTGCATGCCTGGCATAGTGTTATGCATATTTGCTGCGTTCTTCTGGGACAGGATAATCAGTGGAAACATCAAGGTTCTCACGCAAATAGTACCTATGATGATTGTTCCCCACCAGGGGACACCCAAGTTCACGTGCACCAGCTCGAATAATTGTTGAATGATTCCTGAAGGCCACCATGAACCCAATCCTAGAGATTTCAGTGTCGGCTCTGCCAGCACTGATAATGTCTCCAATGCCTCAGGTGGAGGGACAGGAGGTGCTACAGGAACCTCTGGAATTACAGGGAGTACATCGGCTCCTGGAGGAATACTCTCCACAATATTTGTCGTTGTTATAACCTCCGGGGTGACATTTTCGACAATATTATTCGTGGGAATTTGCGGTGCGCCTTCTACAGGGGGTTTTGCTGTCTGGAGAATAGCGCCAAGGCTTTCTGTTTTCTGAGAGCTGTCGTCTGTACTTAAACATCGTACAAAGGAACTGCTCAGGATCGGTGAATACCGGGTAAGTTTCAATGTCGAGTGTCTAGTAATAATGGTGCTGTTTATCCGGTGGGAAATATGAAGAGATCTGCTGGAGATTTTCTGGAATAAAAATCATTATCCACGAATTCTTTCTGCCCCTGAATTTTCTAAGCAATTATTGTCATCCGGAACTTCAGAAACGTATTCTTAATGGAAAACATAACCTAGGAATTAAATATTGCGTTCTACCTGAGAATTCACTGTTGTCGTCGATATTATACGCCGGTTAATGATCAATGCTGTTCGCGACAGCATTTTTGTGATTTATTTTGTATTGTCAGTGGTTTTTTAAATTGTTGTGGAGTAAACACCGATAGTGCGCCGATAATTCGAGAGGTTAGGGTACTCTTCATGCACTCGGACAGAAAAATCGAACTGAGTTCTCATGAAACGTGAGAAATATTTCTGAACAAAATTCGATTGTACCGAAAAAGAAATCAACTGTTATGAAAGGAATGTCATTGAATACATGAAGGACGTAATGTGGAAGTAAAACAATTGGATGCTGAAATAATATGGAGAATAAATGCAACAGGTTTATAATTTTTCAATATTTTTGATGATTTTATTCGAATGATGGCATGGCGTGTGGACACAAATGTCGATTACACTAGCGATATAACAATTTCTTTTCTGAATACACCAAATTCTAAACCTATAAATTTCCAATGATTGATCAATTGAATGTCAATCAGCAAGGGATAGAACATCTCATTACGATATTAACTTCATCACCAGTAAATCAATAAATCTTTTCCTGAAATTACTGAAGTATCACGAAGCATCAGACACTGTTTTTTTATAACAAAAAAAAAACATGATAACAACACTCGGTATTATATTCATTATATACAAAAGTAAATATCAGGATACTTGGAACAATGCAACGAGATGATTCGTGATAAATGCGATAATGGAGAACTGGGATAGTTCTGCAACTCGTTCCTTAGCTCGACACAACATCTCAATATATCTCTTATCCATTGGTTGTGGTATCATTTGCATTAGATTAAATGAGTATTGATAGTTCCTGTTTATCATCTCCAAATATAAAAATTATAATCTAGATATTACGGAATATACAATACAGTAGTTCCAATAAGAGGCAATAAAGAGTAAAAAGACTAGACAGAGAGCATCTGGCAACTTATAAAAACGATAAAATAATAATATTTGAGCTTTGAGAGGTCATCCACACGATTTATCATTTATCAATTGCACGACGATTTATCGGGTGGAGCCCATTCAGTGATAAAAATAATTTTAATTAATAGTCTAGCTCAATAAAAGCAAATCTTAATTCGGCATTATATATGCGGTACAACGACGGTTGAAAGCGCATTGGGCAAGAAATTACAGGATAAATTCACTTCAATTATTCCTCTGTTTTATTGTGTTACTCGTCGTTACGGTGTTCGGAGAGTGGCAGTTTTACTAGGTGGGACAGAGAACTGAAATGTAAAAATATTTTATCAATTGATTTTATTAATTATATTTTGAAAACTTAAAAACTATTAAGAATATTGTAGAATTGCAAGTGAAATATAAAATTTTCGTGAAACCCTGATATAGGAGAATTTTCCTGAAACTCTACATACCTTTGAGAATGTAGTCGGTTAAAAGTGTTGGAACTGTGGGGCTGTCTTCATTGATTGCTTTCAGAACTGAAATAGAAATAAATCCATGAGATATTTCTTATAGATAGAAGTCTCACATTCAAACTTCTTACGTACTTTTTATGAGAACCTGAAGTGCCTGGTTGTTCGGGGGGCCATTGTCCGTGTGATAAGGGATAACAGTCGTGAGGTACTGAAAAGAATGAAAAGAGTCGATTTTTATTTTGAAAACATTACACTAATCGTGTCTCTTGCTTAATTGCCGGATTTCACTATTTTAAAATAATGATCCAACTTCAATTACCCATTTGAAAAATTACCTTTGATTCAGACATCGATCTGTGCTGCGGTAATGGACTTGTACCATTTCCCCTCTTCTTCGTCACGTGGTGCTGCCTCCGACGATTTTGAACAGCCAGTAAAAGCGATATAAATTGATTCTTCAGTTCCTTCTCAAACTCGAGTTCATCCCTCAACGCCAATTCCGCAATTAGTGTTTCACTCAGAGCTGAGACGAGGGCCTCCATCTCCCCGAGGAGACCAATTAATTCACTAGACGACAATTGTTTCAACTCTGACAAATAAAAGATCTAAATTAAAAGAACGGCCAGAGAGCTTGCTACACTTCGCATAGACATTTAAACGTTTCATTTACTTTTTTCGTAAAGAGGGGACCCTAGGACCTCTCGGCTGCGCTCGAGGGCCTCATCTGTGTCCAGCATAGAGCCATCAGTGTCTGGTGATCTCCCCTCCGAAGGACTCTCCTCCTTCGATCAAAAATCAATTGAAATTTAATAATCTCCTTTTATTTCAGAGATATTTCAAAAAAATAAATCATTTCATAAGAAACAGGTTGAATCAATAAGATCTCCTAATTATTTGGTGAATTTTAACAATTGATTCTCCAATAATTCATTGATTGAAATTTCACAGAGAAATGCTCTGCTTCATTCCATAAAAATCTCTGAAATTGCTCAATTGACAATACAAATGAATTCAGAGTTCACTGATGGATTTTCCTCAATGAAAACGTTGTAATTATAAAAATCTCTACAATTGACAAATTCACCAAGTAATTTTCCCCGCGGATACCGGAGAGTTTGTTTTGAAATTTTTTCAGACGAAAATAATTGAACGGAAATCAATTACCTGCATGATATCATCGATTTCACGCAACACCTCCTCGGCAGTCTTCATTGGCTCTTCAGGACTGTGCTCAGCATCAGTGCTACTCGACAGGATCAATGCATGCATATCGAGATCGGTTGCAACGGCCTCGTCTTCGCTGCTCAGGTCGTCAAGTTCAGGTCTAAATAAAGCGTCAACTGAGATAGTAATTATCGTTCAAAAGGTCAACTGTATTCCGATGTTTACCTCTCCAGTGACGCAACCGGCGCCTCGTTGAGGTTCAACGTCGACATGTGCATTTTCCTGGCGTACGATTTGCTCCAATCGATCGGGAGAATACTGCCAAAGGTACCAGTAATTGTCCACCACATTCTGTGATAAAATATATGTGTTGATGTACTCGGACAGTGTCAGCAAGCATAAATAAATTTCCCGAACAGTGCAACTATTGATTATGCCCTAAATATCAAAACCGCTCACAAATAACATTTAACCAATTCGTTCTTTCCTCTAACACGATTGATTGCTGACTAACAAAACAACCTTAAACAACATATTCCCCTGACCCCTGTGGATCAGAGATACTTCAAAAATAAATATATTTAAAAAATCGTACAACAATCGGTGAACAGTTTCAACCAGTGGAGTGCATTAGCTGATTACTTTCAAAAATTCTGAAACGAACTAGATTAATTTCTTCCAGTCCGATCACATTTCAAAACCGCTAAAAATCGTGAATTCTCTCTTGAGTGAAACCAACTAGTTTCCACCGATAAAAGCCGACTTTCTTCGGCCTCAAACGTGAAGATCAATCGTGAAGATTAATTACCGCCACTCTCGGCGAGAAAAAAAAAGATTCCCCACAACAAAATCGGCACATGATAGCCCGTAAAAAAAAGCTCCCAAAATCAGTGGAATCCTGATTGAGTGAATTTCAACAAAAATCGAGGTCAGTACAGCATGCGTTTTCTCGATTTACCCTCCCCCTTACATGACTAATTCATCTCGCAGGAAATAGTGACGCGTGCTGAGATACGCAACACGACTCGTGGCTGCACTTTAATGACAGGGAAAATGCCCGGTAACGGCTGTTATAGTATAAGAAATAAAAAAATCATGCACGAGATTGGCCAGTGTAAAAACACACTTCGACATCCTCGTGTAATTTAATCGAATGCATTTCATACTCCACTGGCAATTTGCAATTGTCTAATGAGCGCTTCCGATACCGCAAATTGTCACGTAATCCTCATTGATATTCCCGTCATATAGGTACGCGCATCAAAAATGGTGAAAATAGGCTGCGGTTGTGGATGTGGATCTGTACATGGTAATTGAGGGGGGAGGGTAATTGAGAATTGAGGGTACAAGGGCGCAAGCGCGTCAATATTGACGCCACTCTGCAATACTCTCTGATCCCCTCGTTTCAACGTACATCTTTACGATTATACTGCCCAGAACATATCATAAAAAAATTTTCGATCAAACTTTTTGATTTATAATTCTGTAGAAATTAGATCTGTACCATCAAATAAGTATAGAAGAATGTAATATAAGAAATTATCCGCTTCCTTTGGCATTTCTTCAAACAATTCTTTATAACTGAACTGCTGAGTTTTTCCCTTTTTGATCTCAACATTTGTAAAAAACTTCATGAATTGTTTAATTTTATGGCTATTTTTATATTTTTATGATGCAGTGAATTAAATCAGTAGCAAAATAAAAAGAAGGATAGGAATTGAAAATTTTCTGTAGCTCATCGAATTATCGGAGGAAGAGTTTTACTAATATTTATTTTGGAAATCAATGGTTTTCGAGAGCAACGGGTATTCAACAGAAAATGCGACGCATCCCACTTTACTACTTTGGTTACTAAAATAAAATCTACTAGAACAGAGGAGAATTGCTAGATTTAAAATCTTCGGATGTCAATAGTGGAAAATCGAAGGAAGAACTTGAGAGATATTGTTTGTACTGAAAAAATGTGCGGGCATTCCCTTGGAATCTGGGGAATGGGGTGTGAAAATTGCGATTAAAAAATAAACACCTGCCAATGTTTTTGCGAAACGGAAATGACGATGGCCAGCGTAAAATGGGTATTTCAGACTTTTCGTTATTTTGGGAGATGAGACGAATGCTCCACTGCACAGCCAATCTGTTTTTCAGACCGAAGAATCTAGGGCGTATTCAGCTACTGACTCATTAATTCTGTGATGTCATCAAGAATTTAATTACATCGTTTCATAACGCATGTGGGAATAATCCGAGACCGAGGGGATAGCATTGTTACCCAAGTATTCAAGAACAAGAACTCTCTCCAAGTTGCACTGTCAGAAAAAAAATGAAATTCTACAAACAGCTGAGTATAAATGCTCAGAACTGATGAATGAATGATTCCACGAATTTTTTTCCCCATAAATTGTATTCTGTGTCACTGACCTCTAAATCCAAGAGTATATTCTCTGACATTTTTGGTTTTCTGCGTTATTGAGATGAGAACGGGAAAGTAAAGTTCCCGTTCGCGGGAGATTTTTCCACTAAATTCTGAATTCTCAGTGTCAAAATTTCGAAAATTTGTGAGGGACAATTGGGGGAAAACTTCAAAGAGTATTGTATCCTGTGTTCATCGCAGGTATTTATTTCGTGCTCGACCGAGTAGAGCTTTGCGGAGAGAGAAGAGAAGCCGAGGGCGCGTGCGAAATTGTACCTGCGTTGCAGCCGATCGCACACGAGTATTCAATCCCCTCCAAAAAAAAATTGCCCAAGAGACTGCACCCAAATAAATGTAAAAGTAAACGAGAAGAAAAAACATTTTTCCACTCACTGGCACTCATTCATTATCTCCTCTTGTGTTCTCACTTGGACTGGGGCGAGGGTCTCCACGTCTGTCGCATAATCTCTGAAGCAGGATGTTATCTTCTCGTCGAAGGTGTTGACGAGATCCTCAAGACTTCCACTGAAGGGACTGAACGTCCCCTCCTGGAGAATATCAGTCCCACTCTGGTGTCCAGTGTTCACTTCATTTGCATTACAATTCTCACCGAAATCCACGTCGATACTTGCGTCCAACAATTGTTCTGAACAAATTTCATTACAATTACAACAATAACTCGACATCTGTCAAAATATCATCAAACAATTCCAAAATGCTCCAAATATTTTTCAGAGACTCACAATAATCAAAATGCATGATGAAGTTAGACAAGACGATTTTCATTTACGGTAATTACCGATTTTCCTCGAGAATTATGCATTTAAGGTGGAAATGTCATAAAACCATTTTTAAAGCTGAGTAAATTTCCCATAAAAAAGGTATTATCATATTTCCTCCCAAAATCTCCACTTTTGGCGAGAAATCAATACTTATGAAAAATATTTTTCTACACATCTCACTTCCACTTCGCCACTGCATTGGATACTTTCTACTTGATGAGCTCAAATACAGAATTTCACTCAAAACGGGATCTTGAAATCCCCATCCCAAGCAAAAACAACATTGAAAAAAAAAATCCAAATTCAACTCTAAATATCTCAGAACCCTGACTTATCCCGAGATGTCACCATATAAAGAAAAAAAATGTCGCCACCTCTTTGTTTGGAGATATTCATTGAGAAATTCGTATAAATCGAGTGCTCCGCTCTTAATTTCCTCCATAAAATAAATTCTCGTGAGGTTGTGGAATTTTAGTAACGCACCTGTCAGCAAATTCATGTTTTTGAGACTGGCTGTGTCCTCTTCCTCGAAGCGTGCCAGGGGAGCTTCGAACTTCAACTCAGATATTTTACCCGCCATGTCCCTCATTTCTAAATTACACTGAGGGGTGGTTCGAAGCTCCTGTATTCGGTCTCAAAATTAATCACTCAATTATTCCTTTTTTTTCAATGAATTTGATGATTGTTGGGCAAAATGACAGTTTTGGGGTGAGATTGAGAAACGTACCCCTTCGGTGGACAAGGAACGACTGAGTGAGTCAGAGGGGACATGGGATGCCCGGACTCGATTTTCAAGATTGGTGGGGGGTACAGACCATTTGGAGCCAGAGGCTGTCATAGTGTTGGTGGTACACTTATGGAGCACGAGTCCCTCCACTCCTTCAATAATCGATTGTTTCATCCTATAGCTGGGGAATCGATGTCGAGACCACTCCAAGGGCTCATGATCCTGGAGGAATTACAAAAAAAAACCCTCAACTCCTTGGGGGTTGACAGCTCAAGCTCAAGAGATTTTTTTTTTCACCTCCCAGTGCGTACGTTCCTGGGAAAATCGAAAGCTGCTCCATCAGCCCGCCATGATCGACAGGTAAGCCCTGGGATTTTACTCACCGGTGATAACTTCACTGACTGTCGAAAAGATATCGACAGATGTTAATGGATCAGAATCAATTGTGTCTTGACATTTTTTTTTAATTGTTCTTTCGAGGAATTAATATTTTTCTTGCATAATTATTGGTGGTTGATGAAATTTCATTTGATTCAAAATTTTGGTGCAATTGACGAAGTTTATTGTCGGAATTACAGAGTGTTTGGTAATTTATGGCCAAATTTAAAATAAGTGCGCGTTGAAAAGTTGAAAAAAAAGTAAAAAATTTCAGTCCTAAAAATACTTGGAATATGGACCCGAGGCGGGAGGAATTTGATGTTAATTTGGTGATACGAAAGAGACGTAGTTTGTTAGTGTTCCTTGACCTCGTCTATTCGATTGAGAAATATATCACGGAGAAGTTTTTGAAAAGTCATTACCGATATTTTCTCCTTTTTCACGTTTTTTTGTTAATTTGTGGAACACCCTGGATTAGACTAGAAAAAAATATATGGTTTGTAAATCCTATTATTATTCAATGGCTCGTCAATTTTCCTAGTCGTATTTCCAATTCCAATTTTTGTAGATAACTATTTTTTCAATTCTAAAAACCTTATTCTTAATTGGTACTAGCTATTTTTGTTGATTAGAAATAAAAGAATATTATCTTCTGTTCAAAAAGGGTGACTAACTCGTAGAAATTCAGAAAACTTCATCTCTTTGTGGACGGATCGATGGGATTGTTAAAGGTCGGGGTAGTTTATGGACGCTGAAATGTTATTGTGTTTGTACAAGTGCAGGAATTAATTGCTCCCTTGAGTTGCTGGTGACATTACAGAATAAACTGCAAAAACAGCGATCTTGAAACTGCCTTCATATCCTGGAGTATGTTCACGTCTATTACACTAAAAAAGATTACATCTGCTAAGTGAATTCATTAACAATAAGAAAATCCAGAGATTTCACATGCAAATTACATTTTCACACGGAAAACACTTTTTTGTAAACATTTTTGAGTTTTTCAAGTGGAAATATCTCGAAAAATCCGCACACCTTCAGAATTTCGTGTTTTCCCGTTCCAGAACATTCTCAATAATTTAAAAAAAAAATGATAAAATCGATTGCAAAGTTTCCACTCGAAAGGAAAAAAATGATTTTTACTTTCACTCTTCGTTACATCCTGGTCTCTCAAAAAGGGCATGAACGATAAGTAGTGATTGAATCAAAATAGAATCGTGGAAATTCTGCTATAAATTTATTTTTGTATATTTTTACATGATTGACCTTATCACTCTGACATTTGCAAAATGAAAAGAGAAACCAAAGCCACCTGTGCTTTTAGAAAGGTCTGTTTTGTAATAAATCCCCAAGAATACTATAAGTTCCGGGTGGTAACTCTGATCTGTTCCACTCCAAATAATTCATTCGTAAATGTATGCGCACATTCAAACGAATGTAAAATACGGAAATGATAATCCAGTAACAGTAGGTGAACTTTCTGCTGAGGAGTCTCTACTTGGGTGGAAAAAGAATTTATTATTACAAAATAAATGGCAACTGTACATATGTGCACGTGTCAGCAGGTGCATTCATTGTTGTAATTATTTACGTAGATAAATAATATGTGCAATCGACATGAGCGATGAAGAAACAATCGATAACCAAACGGCATTAAATAGTTAAAAAATGTTACAAGGAGCTCATAGATTTGCATCGCCAGGCAATTTGTTAAACTGTCAATGCGTTAATGCACTTGTTATCAAAGCATCTGAGACTAACAATTGGATCTAAGGAGGTAATAAATTATGCTGGTCTTCCCCTGGCCCCTTTCCCTCGGCAGGTGATTCATCCTTCGGTTATTTATAACTTCATATTTATTATCGAAGTGCAATTATTTATCAATTTAATCAGACAGAATTCTCCCTGATCCATTTAAATTCATCGATTCATTCGAATGTCACACTGTCATACAGTAACAGAGAAAAGACCTTTCTCGAATTTACAAAATCATTTTCTATTTCACAAAAAAAATCAATCAAAACCTAATAAAGCAAATCCCGGGAATCGAATTGCACTCAATTTTTCAAATATTTTTTAGTGTCTAGCATATATGGCGCGCTCCGCGCGGCTAATCTTACGCGTGTGGGGTGTCATCATTTTGCAGCTAAAATCTCTAAAAAAAATATCCATCATTTTTTTTGCTTCAATTAAATTCAATTCATAAATCGAAAGAGGTATTCATTGAAATTTGAAAATTCAAAATTTTTGGAAAAGTATCAGGGGAGCATGAAAATCGAAGAGGTACTCACTGAAATAGAAAAATTCCAAATTTTTGGAAATGTATCAGGGGAACATGAAAATCGAAGAGGTGTTCACTGAAATGTGAAAATTCGAAATTTTTGACAAAATATCAGGGGAGCATGAAAATGGAGGAGGTATTCACAGAAATGTGAAAATTCGAAATTTTTGAAAGAGTAATAGGGGAACATGAAAATCGAGGAGGTATTAACTGAAATTCAAAAATTCCAAGTTTTTGAAAAAGTATCAGGGGAGCATGACAATTGAGGAGGGATTCACTGAAATGTGAAAATTCGAAATTTTTGAAAAAGTATTAGGGAACATGAAAATGGAGAAGGTATCCACTGAAATGTTAGCCCTACTCAGAACTCACGAGTTTTCCCGAGAATTTTAACGATAGAAGATATCATTCTAGCCCTAATGAAAAAAAAAATTATTTTCATCTCTCAATTAAATTCAATCTTTTTTTGGACTAATATCGATATAAATACAGTATTTTTCTTTCTTACACAGATCATTATTTTATTAAAATGGTATATTATATTATATTATATCTATATCTAGCTTAGCTATGCACTGAAAAAAGCTGACAAAAAACGATACCTGCTTTTTTTTTTTTTAACGGAACACCTCAATAGAAATTCAATAAAATTCTCCAACGATTTGTCAAGGATTTTTCAAAAAAATTCTAATTGCGCGCAGGAAAGCAAAAGTCATTATACTTTTGAAGCTACCTTTTCCCACCACTAATTCTCACTGTTTCCATCCTGATAACTTTCAATCACGTCTCATTTAAATTTTATTTAAATGATGATAAAGTGTACATGACACCCCATCTATGCTATCATTGCGCTCATTAACGGCTTAATAAAGTCCGGGGCGGAGGGGCTGAGAACAATGATCCGGTAATTCATTTCAATCGTGACAACCCGGTGGATACCATGATAAATGGCTATGTCATGTACCAGGGAAGTGATAGCTTATCATGACCAGCACTACTCGACCTCTGGACAGTAGAAGCTTATCACCACTGGTCAATCAGTGTCGACAGCTTAACACCAACAGAAGCTTTTGTTTTGACGAGTGCTCCTCAGACATTTTCAGGACTCATCTGGTGGGACAACAATCCGGACTAAAAAATAGACTCATCAAAAACCCAGTAAATAGTCGCAATTATTCTCTCGAAATGTCCAATAGAAAATATTTCATCAAACAGTGATTTTGATTACAATCAATTACAATTAATTAAACCGATTATTCGATTTTCTTCTGCAACTTTTTTTAAAAATTAAAATAATTGCAAATCACCTCAAAGCTCCGGTCAAGGTTTCTCTACCTGATTTTTTTTTATTGGAAAAACAGAAAACAGAGTGGAGAAATATTTTCTATTTGCCATTTAAATCGAATCGATAGAAATTAATGGAGAGTTTAATAGGAATTGAATAATTATCGAGCGAATCTAGATGTTTTTGTGAAACTTTTTCAAGTGAAGTGGTATCGCTTTTGGTTTATTGTCGTAGTAATGGAGAAAATAACATTTACAAATTAATGGGGATTTTTAACGACAGTTTAACGAGATTTGTCAACTGATCTCCTCCGGCGCTCATTAACTTGTCATTTTCGCGGTTTGTGCCAGATTGAAGATTGTAAACAGGGAAATCTGGGATTGTAAGGAGCTCTGGTGAGTTGTGTACTACTCAGGGAGTCATTTTTTTGTACAGTTGTGCAATTTTCGCGTGAATTCCCAGAGATAATAAATTATTTCAATTTTCATTTAATTATTCTTCCCACTGGCCGAGGGTTTCGCGGTCTCTCGAAGATATCCGTCCATCGCAGATTTTTATCCTGCTGTTCTCATCGAGACCTTGAAAAAACTCCTGATTTATCCGCTGCGTTCTCCCATGATTTATCAATAGTTTTTCGATATTCTAATGATTTAACGGTGTTTTTTTTTCTCACCGACTTTGCGGAAATTTTTGTTCCGTCGCGCTTGGTATTATCGATGGTAATCGGAATGATTTTCAAATCGCGATAACGATAATTTTTTTGTTAAATTTTTTCAATGGGGAGTAATTTTTTGTTGAATGAGGAATGAAAAAAATGTGTTTGTCATTTAGTTATTTCCAAAGTCGTTACGCTCGAATGATTAACTGCTTATTTTCAAGGAGATTGGGGTGGACTCGTCTCGATTATGATTTGTATGATTTACATGGATTTTTTTTTCCACCCACTGACGAGAATGCTATTGGTTACCACATCGGGGCCGGTACCCACTACGCCTCCTGTTCGTATTTTCGAATTAATCATGCGCTTTTTTTCCTCGTATTTATATTTATCAGTACCATTTGTACTGGTGAATTTATCAATTTTATTAAACACTACGTAATCCGTGTTACGGTTCGTCGCTTATCGATTGCGGCATGTACTGAACGGTTAACGATACGTAATTATGTACCTTTAACTATAGAATCTATTGTCGTTTGCGAATGGTATGGGCTCGCCGCTTCTTATGCACAAGGATTCTGATTTGCATGAAATCATGAAGAGGTGTATTGTCTTGGGATTGACTCGCCTTTTTCCCCCCGAACCGAAAATCTCTTGTACACGGAGAAAAAAAATTCATGGAAAATTACGTCACAGTTCCGTAAACGTCGGACGGAGTGTAATTTCGTTAAAAAATTCATTAAACTTAATCCTAAAGTACTGTCAAATAACTTATCGGTAAGATCAATCAAAAATTACGTAGAACCGAATTAAAAATTCGGGGTAGTTCCGTTACTTCTTTAATTTTTCGTGAATTTATCTTCTCGCTGTAGATGCAATTTTCCGATCGATCGGTTGCTGATTTTATTCAAGCAGATTTTTACTTTCATTGTTCGATAATTGACGAGTCACTAGCGGAAATGTGAGAAGACATCGAGCCTCTAATAAGAAAATATTTTTTTAATTGTATGTTTTCCATAAAAAATTTCACAGTGCATTCAATGTGTTAATTAATCATTTAATATATTAAATCAAATGCCGGTTTTCATTCTGATTTTAATAATTTAGTTCAAAAGATGCGTTTTTAGTAGAAAATAAGGAAAAGCTGCGAATTCCGTTTACATTTATATTTTCAAAAAATCAATGTTAATCAGGTAGTTATGGGGAATTGAGTAATTATCGTCCTTCTAATGCTAAAAAGGTTGAAATCACCTAGAAGTTTCAGGAATTTTTACCCTTAAGTGGATACAATGCCGCTCCCCTTGGGAATTATTGCAGTATCGTCCATGAAATTTCAATTTTCTTCCTACATTGTACATCAATTATTTACTATTTATATGTGAATGAGAAAGTGAATATTTTTGCAATAAAAATACACTTGATATCTTAAATGTATCACATCGCCAGCCTTGTAACACCTATTTTTATCTTTTCTCAGTTTGCTTCATAAATCAGTTGCGAACAGATCAGCTGCTGCGAGAATTTTTGCTTCAAACTGAATTTTCCAGGTATTACCCCAAACTCAAAAGGAATGGCGAAAGTTTCATTGGATTATTTGGATTTTTCTGAAATTTTGTTCTTTTTCCATTCTGCTCCGCCAAAAATTGAAGTATAAACCGAAAGCTCTGAGCTGGTGTAGAATTCCAAAGAGGAAAAAATGACGATTTCTCACTTTTAGAAAAAATTCTACCCCAGAATAAACAGAACTTCTTTAACACTTAACCGATTTTTTAAATGGATTTTCTCGCCATCAGCTGCCATTTTTCACAGCCCATGCAGAACTGGAGAGAACTAAAGAAATTTCTCATGAAATTTTATGAGAAACCGGAGAAATACTGAAGATCTGATCTACGAATTTTTATTCGTCTCTAGGGATTTCCATAATCGAATTGAAATTGTTAATTATTTCGCAAGTTTTAGGAAATAATAGATATGAAAAAATGATTTATTTACATTTAAGTCGTTGTATTTCTATCAACAGAAATCGTCGGGGATAAATGTAGAACAAGAAATCATATCAGACAATCTCACACGTGACCTTTTAATTTCGTAATGTCCAATTCACTCACCACTTCACTCCTTCCGGAATAAAATTCTAAACATTTCAATAGAACCGATCAATCAAAATCATAAAAAGTCTGAGAAAAATTGAACAGAATTTTCTAGCCGATTTGATGAGAATTAATGCGAGAATAATTTTTTGTGAGAATTAATAACTTCACGGGGCCTGAGGAATTCAATGAGCTGAGGAATGTTTCGGATTAAATAATTAAGCATTTTAATTCGACCCATTCGACTTTATCACTGTAATTATCACCGATATCAGATATCAACCTATGCTACCTCCTCGTTAATACTCACAACAGCTTTCCAAGTCTAGCAGCACTTGATTATATCCAAACGATTATTCAATAAACATAATAATGGATACACGAAGGCAATTGTCCTTGGTGCGTGTGGATCATCGATGCACAGCACGTCGCGCATTGTAATCCGTTTAATATGTATTTTGCCAACGGAAATATCCGGTCACTGCAAATAATATGAAAAAGATAAAATAAAAAATCATCACAAGACCACATTTTTTTTGGGGGAACATGACAGTTGCACTGAATTTTTTTATCATTTCATGGCAAACAATTGTCATTCTCATCAGAGAGACATTGAGTCGATTTTAGCTGAAAAATCATTCTTATTTAAATTTTAATTCCAAGTTAATGAAAAAATAATAATTTCATTGAATTCTCAGTGGGATTAATATTTTTAATAAAAATAATTTGAATTTCAGATTATTTGAAGAGAATGATAATCTAATTTTTGGGTTTAATATGTTTACCTCCAATTTCTGTGGAAGTGAAAAATTTCGGGACCCACCCGCAAAAATTGACGTGCGAAATCTTTTTGGTGCAAATTTGCATTTTTTAAATTTTCACGGCAAATCGTGGACCGATATATTTTCAAGTATTCATAATTGTTTAGGTGGATGACAAGAGACAATGATCCAATGTTTCTTCTGTCCCTGAACTCGGTTGGGATACCAATGCCCGGACTGGGAAGGAGTCTGTATAAAAGCAGCGATCGTCCTATTGCTTTACTCAGTTACAACGAAACAAACGTTGCCGTTGTCTCATTCTAAACACTCAATAATTTTCCACAAGAAATATCAAAAATTTTGATAGAAATTCCTCCATAAGTTCGGCAGTTAAAGTTTCGAAGTGGATCGATACATTTTAAGACTTTAGACTCAAGAATTCGCTGAAAAATTGATAGATATTGACAGTTGAATCCCTCAATAAGTTCGGCAATTCAAGTTCGGAAGCAGATCGATAAGTCGATAAGTTTGGGATATCAGCGATGGCGGGATTGATAACGAATCAACTGTCCAAGACCCGGATCTCGGGGGTGGGCTTTGCCCCAGAGGACACCAGGAAGATGACTAGATACTCGGTAATATTCAATAACAATCCGAAATAATTTGAAAAATTTGTCAGAAGAACCCGATTCCCTGGAGAATTTTATTTATTTACTTTTTATTTAAACATTTCTCAACAATTAAAGTCCATTTTGAATATATGATTGGAAGTATATAATACAAATATTCCATACAAATTATTTAATCTCTGCCGGACGTTCTATTAGCGTTTCCCTGATTCCGTGGAAATATTTGGAAATTAATGAAAATTTTCGATGAATTTTCCCAAATTTTCCGTTTCTTTATTTGAAAATATTCTCCCGGATCTTGTTTACAATGCAGAAAATTTTCTGTATCATTTTTAAATAGATTAATATAAATATCTGATAAAGATCACCGGATTTTTATTTCTTTGTTCAGTCTATTCAGTTAATGTTTTTTCTATGCAAATCGTCCTGCATAAAATCCATGCATTTTTTTGCATTATTTTTTTCTTGTTCCATATTACAAAACTGGAGATCGGTGCTTAGAAATCCCCATTAAAAAAACAATCGAGAAGATTGAAATCAATTGATTTATTCTATGAAATACCGCCAGGTAACTCTTTCGTATTTTATTTATATTAATACTAAAATGAAAAAACTTGCTATTTTGAATATTTCACGCCTGTAATTAGCTCCACGGTGATGAGGCTATGCTAAGAATAAGTCATTTGATTGATTAATTAATTAAATGGCGAATAAAATGATTAATTCATTTCCATCGACAGGCGTGAAGTAGACAGCGAAATTTTGCTATCTTTGACAGATTAGAAGATACCAGGTACACTAGTCGTTGAGGAAAATATTTCTAAAAACTGAAAGCACTTTTCACTGTACACTCATTAACAGCGCAATAATAAAGTATTCATTGTGCAAGTGTATGGACGTAAAGAGCGATGCAGTGACAGCAGTGCAACGTACTAATTCTAGTCATCTTTTATTTGATAAATAGGATTTTAATTTGATTTGATTGTAAACAGTAATTGCGCGGAATGTTGACATATTACTTGATGTTTTGCTGTTTCACGTCAGTTGAGTAGGCAGAAGAAATAAATCAGGAAGAAATAAATCAGGAAGAAATAGCCCACCCAGATTAGTAGACGATCGGAAAATTAAGATTGGTCTAGTTTTTCTGGACTCTATCTCTTCAGGGATTCCGTCACCTGACGCGTCGGTGTTTTCTTTTATTTGTGTCTTGGGATTACAGTTGTTGCTGAAACTTGGAATGTTTCGACATGAGTTTTTGGAATTAAAATGTGCCAGCGCAGTAGAAAATTGAGAGAAAATTAAATTAACAAAACGGGAGGTCCAACTTGAAACACTTGTATTTAAAAAATTTACAAAATATCAGTTTCATGCGCAAATTCTTAGCAAACTCAATGAATAAATAGCACTGGTTCGTATTATCTAATTCTTATGATTTTTTTTGCGAGTTACTTCGTACGTAATTACGAAATTCCTCGCAAAAATTTTCGCTCAAAAAGTTATAATGAAAAATATTTGATGAATCAACTCGTGTTGTCACTCGGACTAAAATCGAAGAGGCAAATAAGTTCGTCAACATGACAAGGAAATAAAGAAATTCTGCTTCACGCCTGGGAGAATAATAACAAGTATACTTACGATAACCGAATGCGTGAATTATTATTTCACCCAAGTAGACTTAATTACCATAAATCATTTTTCCCAATGTATTCCATTTTCCCAACAAACAAGATAAACATTAAAGAATATATAAACATTAAAAACCTGAACATTATAAAAATAAAAGCCATCCCTCCAATTTCGGCCCAATTTGAATAAACTGCCCAATCAACTCTTCCTCGTTTCCGCATTCGATATTAATTTCGCGTGTTGAATTAATTTTTCGGTCACGTAACCCAAGTACTTTGATATCATCAACCACAACAAACAAGAGAAAAAAAAAGTGCACAGCGCGCAACATTGAAAAAAGAAAACCCTGAAAATTAATTCCAAGCCTCAACAAGTATCAATTCCAATAAACTGATAAAAACCCATCCAACAAACGGTTTCATTCGACAAATGAAAAAAAAAACGTGTGGGTTTGGAAAAAATGAGGGGAAACCCAATGCCCGTGGGACAAAACTCCAGGGTGAAAAGCCCAAATTAGCGAGTGATGATGATCTCTCATAATTATCATACGAAATATGATATGCACTTTGTGACGGTTGCGTGCAGCAGTTGTAGGTGAACCTTGAGATGTTCGCTATGTATTGACTCTTGTACTCGTATAACCATTCTGCATTAGCGTAACAAAACAAATAAAATGTATATGTCTCATTGTCGTATGCTCTGAAGAAACAGCACTAGAACGAGAGGAGATGAAGGAACAAACGTCACATGCGTCTCTGATGTTGAAGAATGCGAGATAGCGTTGGGGGATTGAATAGATGAGTAACAAGATGCGCCTTGTTAAACGTGTGTCGTCGAATGGGATTAGTCGCCAAATCTCAGTGAACGGATTAAAGGAGGAGTATAAAATTATTTTGAATGATTTCAGCTGGCTGACGCTATGGCTGAGAATGAAACCACCATGGATTATCATGTTAGAACTTTAACTCCCGAGGACAAGCCCAAAGTGTTGGCTTTTCTCAGGCGATTCTTCTTTCGTGATGAACCACTCAATCACACCATTGGACTCATACCCGAAGGGGAGAACAGTACGTGTCTAGAGCTTGAAGAGTACTCAATGTCTTCTCTGGATCAAAATCTCAGTCTCATGGCTGTTTCCTCTGGTGGTGCTATCGTTGGGGTGCAACTTAATGGTGAGATTCATTAATTGAAAATTAAATTAAATCAATTACCGATTGGAGGGGAAAAAGTAAAAGGAAATGACAGAAATTATTTTTACACTGCATTGTGCAATTGAATCTTGAGATTAATATCTGATTGACCCCATACTGAAGTATTGTTATCGATATGTGTGTCACTAAGAGAAAATCGTATCGAGAACGTTACACGTGATAACATTGTCTCGATATGAGATCGCAATAGTGAATATCTCTGTCGATTGGAATAAATGATTATTAAGCGACCCAGAGACCCCAATTGAGAGATTTGTGTCTTCTCGTATCTGAATTGAATTTCCTTTATTGGCGTATCGAATTTATAATTAAAAAAAGAAAATGTGGGACCGATTGATATTCATCACGTTCATTAAACCAATAATTATCGGTCCCTGTAACCTCACGTCCGAGGGAGCAGTGAAGGGTGTTGAATCGTTGTTCAATGAGAAATAACAGCTTGCAAGACGTTGCGATTTCAATGGGAAAAGTAGATTGATCGGAGACCTGTAATTAGTCGAGTTTGTGGCAGGATTGATCGATCTTGTATCGACTTTTTTTTTAAGGTTTTTCGTTGAATTACAATGAACAACACCTCGTCGGAGGCTGTAGATCCATTCACTCGATTGCAAGATAATCGGCAATGTATATATTCAAGTCCGTATTACTCTGGTAGAACGTGTATTTTCCGTTAGTCTAATGAGATTTTAATGAAGTATATAAACAGTAACGAGAGTCGAGGTTTCTGTGGAAAGACTTATTATGGACCATAAACTTGAAGTGACAAGTCATTATTACGGGCTGGCAGGGTGATCGAACTTAACGAAATAATTGATAAATCATCAAACGATTCGATATGCACGCACGGAGGAATTTCATAGATCATAATCTAGCGAGTCGATTCCATTGAAATTTTTAATTGATAATGGCAATAAAATTCGATTTTTTTACGCAATGCGATTTATTGAGATGTCTTCCGATTTGCTATCTTTACGACTGAAATGATCATAAACTTTTTTCATTTCACGCATTTCCGTGACTTGGAATTCAATGAATTCCATTAAATTATGGAGCTTCTTCTTCTAAACTTCTAACATCTCTGCGTAAAAAATTCTAATTCTTTTTCAAATTAATTATTCAAATTAATTTCAAATTCTAAATAGTACAGGTAATTTATTTTCTCCGCATTTTCATCTTCGCTACCGAAATCTCTACAACTCCAATAATTCTGCCTCAGGAATAACTGAACCAGCCGAGAAAGAGGACGAGCCCGATTACATAAAGAGCTGTGAAAATGCAAAATTCAAAAAAATTCTGAAACTCCTTCACCACGTGGATCAAAAGGTAGACATAATGAACCGATATCCAGATAAAAAAATCATGGACATCAGAATAATATCCGTGGACAGTAACTGGAGGGGTCAGGGTGTTGCTGCAGTATTATTTGAAAAGACCATGTAAGCGTTTTATAATTTGATCCACGAGATTTATTGCTGAGCAGTGCTCAATAATTTTGTTGAGTGAGTTATTCAATATCGAGTCTCATGTGGAAATATCTATCACATTGCAGAGAGATAGGCAGGGAGTTGGGTTACAACCTCATCCGGACTGACTGCAGTTCTCACTTCACCGCTAGACTCTGCAAAAGACTTGCTTTCGAAGAGATTTATGCACTCAAATACGCGGATTACGTTGATGAGAGTGGAAAACCTGTATTTACACCTGCAGCCCCACACGCTGCCATGACCACATACGTACGAAAGCTCTAGGCAATGATTTATCTATTTGTGGATCTATTCGGAGGTAACGTAATACGATCAGTCAAGTTAAACGGATGAATTTTAATTAGGATGATAACTTGACAGCGAACAACTTGTCGAATCGGTCAGATGGTGAATTTAAGTAAATCATTTTAAATGCTCTGTATGGACTTAAAATTCAGAATGATATTCATAAATTCAGGAGAAGAATTATAAGAATTATAAGAAGTTGTAAAATGTCTCTGATGTTCAGACGAATTGTGGAGGATTTTCTTGAGAATGGAAGATGATCTGGAAGAATCCTGTAGTATTGTGCAAATATGTTAGGAAGGAATAGGTTTACAGACATTCGTGGAATATAAAATTAATTGTCACCAGGCACTGAGTGAAAAGTGATGATACCTCATTTCTGATTTGGAATGAAAAAATAATCCACGAAACTTCATGACTTCATTTTCTCTTATTTATCTTTAGAATTACGCAGATGTGATATATATGATTCGTTTTACCCCTAAATTATAACACTCTTTAGTCTTCCAAAAAGTTTAACGTACCTTCATTCGTAATTAGCATTTGTAACTCTACGTCTATCATTGACGTTTGTTTTAATAAGAAAATAAATTAATTGAAATATTTCGACTAGATGTAATTTCACAAAAATAATTCACTATCTCTGTTGTCCTCTCACGTGGAGTCTTGCGTCAAGCAATTTCGCAGTCATTCCTCTGGGATATTGACGCGTTTTCGAAAGGCATCGATACTATCTGATAGAGATTTATGGTGATTTTGATTAATACGAATTTCCTCGAGCTGCGCACTGTACTCCTTGGATTTTTCCAGCATTTTGGCTCTGTTGAAAGTTGGAGATTTAACGACAGCCAGAATCTGAAGACTGAATCCTATCGCACTTGTTAGGAGGCATATCATGACGATCATGGCTTTCGATGGTCCTTTAGGTTCAACTGTTCTCAAGCCATCCTGAAAGGGATCTCCATCATCTCGCCAGTTCTCTCTCGTTCGTCCCCTGATGTCTCGCCATGCCTCAAAATGAGACGTGTGATTGCGGTAAATTCTGGAACAGAAGACCAGAGGCGTGATTAATTTTGGTGTTTATAATTTCTCAAAAGATGATCAAAGGAAATGTTTTACAGTAGGCAAACAATTGCTGAACGACAAATTTTCACCAATGCTCAAGGGAAACTTACGTTCGGTCAAATGGATGGTAAGGCGAATAATGAATAGGATTTCTAGCGTATTTCAATGTTGCATCGTATTCCCGTCTCGTATGCTCTTTGCTAAGGACATTGTAAGCTTCTGTGATTCTAACGAATTCCGCGTGACCAGTGTTGTTGCCTGCGTCGGGATGCACCTGGAAGATAAATTCAGGAGATAATAAATAACTCGTGAAAATGTTTTCATTTGTATTTATATTTTTATCTTCCATTATCTCTATTCGTTTAATTATCCACTTACTTGTTTAGACAGAGTTAAAAAAGCTGCCCTAATATCCTCCTTCGAGGCATTAGCCTTGATCCCCAGAGTTTTGTAATAATTTTGTACTCTTCAGTTCCCCAAATTTCGTCGACCACCGAAGTTTGACGTTTGTTATGAAATACAAAAGGAACTTCGCAGTTAGGAATTATTAAAAATATAAACACAAGACATAAATAACCATGAAAGTTTAAAATTGAAATATTCACCTGTGAGCTGCATAATGTCGTTCCGTTTGCTTGAGATATCCAATGACCCTGAGAATTCGACACACTTGAGACATAATTTGCACCTCAATATCAATAATTAATGACACACATAAATTTATTCCTCATTTTTTTTAGTTTTTCCCTCTATTGACAGGATCTCAAACAGCTGATTAGTATTTGCTGTAAAAAAAAAATGATAAAACAGTTTATTTACCACAAGAAATGTGAATTCTACTGGCATCTGCCAGACTTTTGCCCAACCGAGGAGACAATCTGTATTTTCTGTCGACAGTTTTGATTCAATTTGAAAATATTTGCTGCAAAGACAAGAAAAATGTTCATGCGCAATATAAAAAAAAATCTCAATAACGAAATACTTTATTTATTATCAATTTCGCTCATCTTAATAAATAATCCATGACAATATAATACTTGACATGATAATTGAGACTGGTAATTGATTAATTTCTGCTGAATTACAAGGAATCCCTCCAGGTGCTGACGTACAAGCACAAGCTTCAATGATGTGGCTATCCACCTGTGTAAAAACGTAAGAAGAAATGACCGAACAATTCAATTGATTATAAATTATTTGTAATTACTTGCTGGGTGTAGCAGCCTTCCACAATGGGTGATGCCTTATTCTCCACCATTTTCCCACAAAAATGGCTTATATTGAGCACTAGAGAAATTCCCGACGTTAAAATATCAAAGAGCAAATTGTTTATTCGAAAAACCTGATGTACCTGCATTATTGTAGGTGTATGCATATTTTATGCAGACGTATCCTTGTCGCATACGACATGAGATTTCCGAGCGATTGCCTGTCCTCCACATATAGTTCACATCCGGTAATGTAGAATCATCTTGAAGAAAATTTATAATTCTTGAGAATTCTTAATTGCTAATTTTATTTAATATGCAGAAAATTACTTGTGACTACTACTGGCTGAAAACAGGGCTGGCCAGTTGCATTGGCACATCTGTTACTCGAAATGTTGATCTCCTCGGATTTACTTCCCAGCCATGTGAATTTGAAACAGTACGGCTGCTCCGCATCATATCTCTCCTCCAAGCCCAAACAATTGACTACAAAATCACAATTAGCATTTCAAATTCAATTACCAATGCAGTTGTTGACTGGTGGGTGTATCAACATGTATCAACATTTCCACATGTCCTTGAATGGCAAAAACTCAGTTCTCAGTGCATTCAGTACTCATTTTTTTTACAAATCTTAGTGCTTTTGCCCTTTCAATTTAAAATAAGACATACCAAATAGAAACAACAACGAGTAATTCAATTTTCCCATTTGGCCAAATCGGTTGAGAATATTTTTTAATTTTTCTTCGGTATTTTCTAAACAAATGCGGACTTTCTGATAATTATTGTCGTTTGTATCACTTACGACCCTCCACCATAACGCAACTGCATTTACAACTCGTATTTTTTTCTACAGAATGACAACATATCCCCAGAATTATTCTCAATTACTTATCAGCAACCCGGCTGCGTACAAAATCCCGAAAATTAGTAGAGACGGTCGCATTTCGTGCCGAAAAATATCACTGGTTTGTCGTATCTCTATGGACTATCTCCCCCTCTTCAGTACTGATAAAATTTATCGTCGATTCTAATCCCATTATCGATCAATTGTTGGACACGACGTGAAGGGGTTCGCAGCGACAAATCATCGATAAGGAAAAACAATAATCGTTATAAACTTCTTTTATTCGCTTTCGTCAGCATGAGTAACGCTAATATTAATGCCTGCGTTTCGAATATTTTTGGATGAACACTGCGATCTTAACACTATCTTACACAGAATGAATCTCGAAATGTTGATGACTGACGCAACAGGAGATAAAAATATAATTTTTTATACAAATATAAAAATTTTGATAGTACAATTAAGGAGGAGTCACTAGAACTAGTTAGAGAATTTATTAGATTTTTCCTTTTTAAGGCATGACACTTAGTGATCTGCATCTCAGTCAGTCCTGGGAATTGACTAGAGAATTTGAGATTCTTAGAACTCGTCGTGTCTCGTCAGGGCCTCGCCGAAGTCCGTAGCCTGTGAGCCAACGAAAACGTCGTATTTCTCAAGGATTTCCTCTTTCGTGAGCTTTTGATCAGAGTTTTGATCAGCTTCGTAGATCAAGTGACGAGCCTCTGCCTCCGCGTGGTCGAAGTCTTCAGGGATTATCCAATTTTTCACCTGATCAGGACAAATTTGTCACGCTCATGAGAACTCCAAAAATATCTCTTTAAAAATCAAAAGTCCTAAGATTTTCTTAATTGACGATTTTTACCTCTTCATTATCCATAAACCCGTCCTTATCCTTATCCCTGTAGTCAGTGAACTGTTCTTTTTCATTCTTCACCCACTCAGGCTCTTCCTCATCAGACCCTCTGTACATATCACCTGTGAAAAGAAAAATCATTTCATTGAATTCCTTTCATAAGAAATTGCCGAGACAAATCTAATTTATTAATCTGAATTCCAATGGGACTTCTTACCGATATATTCAGCCAATGAGATTTTCCCATCGCCATCCTTGTCAATATCTTCCAAGGTCTCCTCGACGACGACGTCCTTCATGTGATCAGTCTCCTCAGGATGAAGAAATGCAGTGAACTCTTCTTTTGTGAGTGCATCGTCACCATCTCGATCAGCAACAGACCATCGCCTCCTATCCCTCTTCAACATGACGACGTACGACCAGTTCTCGTCATTCTCCTTTGCCTGGAAATCGCTCTCATCCATGAACCCATACACCAGCTTCTTGTAGCTTTCCCAGGGGAGGGTGTCCTTGTCCTCAGGATTGTGGGACTTCCACTGGCGATCCACATCGTCCCTTATGTACCTCTGCTGTGTGTATCTGATCCAGTCCTTCAGCTCTTCCTGGGTGACGAATCCATCCTTATCTTTATCAATCTTGTCCACAATTATCCCTAGCCTCCTGGTGCTCTCCTCAGGGGATAACTGGTCAAACGTCTTCGCCTCTTCGCCGAGGAAAGCCTCATGGTCGTACTCTGGGTTGTGGTGGGATTTTATGAAGTGCTCTTCATCACTCAAACTCTAAAAATTTCAAAGGCCACAAAATTTCAAATGAAACTATCAGTGAAATAATTCCCCAATTGTCTTTAGCTATAGAAAAAAACCAGAGTTGAACTTTTTTATTCAAACAAATGAGGTTGGAATCTTCATTAATTAAGACAGACACTTGGAGATACTGAGTCTAAAATATTGAGACTGACCTTATCGAGAACCCGATGTTTCACCTCATCCTCAGGCTTGGGAATCCCATGGGCAACAGCCAGGACCACCAGGAAACTCATCAAGACCGTCCTTAGCATCTTTGATTATTGAAATGTCACGCAGTGAGCTGTACAAATCAACAACAACAAGATCAACAGTCCCCACTCCTAGCACAATGGGTCTCAGTCAATTTGTTATTCACTGGGGGGCACGAATTCAAATAAAAAACCGAGGGAATAAGAAAAATTCGAGTACTGAGAGTAAAGAAATATCTTTCGGAGTAGTGCGGCTTCCACATCATCAACGAGCCTCCGAGATGTTTCCTTGAGTTCACTACAGCCTGTGCCCCCACTCCAGGGTGTTATTCCCTCTCTCAGTTGCTCTAGTTTTTACAATCCCATCTTTTCTCTCACTCTCGTCCATTGGCCAGTGAATCAACACATTCGTCAGGCGTTCTGCGGCTCACATGGCCCCGAAAGTTTTTTCTAATCTGAGAAATGGTATTAAGAAAAAATTCAAATGTGGAATCAGAGGTTCTGGAGGGGACGATCAATGAGGGACTTACAGATGTTATTTTTATCTTACGTTTTGCGGGCGTAATGAAACCCTTGAGGAAACGAAAATGTGAAAATTAAACTGATCTGGGAGCTGACCCAGGGTGTTTCAACAGGTAAAGTGCCTTTTTATAATTTTTATAATTTATTCCTCCATTTTTGAGGGTTTTATCATCATTTTCATCTTATATACACTAATATACCTATATCCGTAATAATATATCCAGGCCCTTGGGCCCTTTACGGAGAATAATTTTTTTTTTTTTATTATATATTTTTGTCAACAAACCGTCGTTTTTACCTATCATCAGACGAGAAAACATAATACTGCAAAAGAGAAAATTCCGGGCGCACCATCAAATTGAATTCAAAACTGACCGCCATAACTTCTGCGCCGCTAAGACAACGCATAAGCATTTTAGGACTCATCCGATTTATCTGGCATCACTGCCGCCGACTATGGGCGCGGCCATTGGCATTTATTCTTCTCTTCGTTTGAATTAATCTAAGTTTCCATCGTAATCCCCAGTTTTATCGAGTTTCCTCTTGTGTCAATTCTCAATTACCAATTCGATCGATCTGAGTAATTTTATCGATGATTGGAGTGAAGAGTTGCAAAGTTTTTTGAGGGCGCAACAAGTGTGTTTAGGACGTGTAACACGGAACAATCACATCCGTCAACAAGTATTTTCACCTGTAATCATGTTCGCGAAGTTTTTCAGTGTTGTTTTAATTCTGGGGCTGCTTAATAAAGGAGGTAATAGCATATTCAATAGGAAAATTGTAAATGTAGAAATTTGGTTAAGGAAAATTGAAGGGGAAATCCAACGGGCGCGGTTCATGATCCACAATCGAGGATTATGAATCATCAGGTGTTTATACGATTTTTTGTTTCAGCTTCTGGAGCTGGAGGATGGCTGCTCTGTTACCGTTGCAACAGCAATCAGCCAGGGTGTGGTACCCCACTGAATTGGTTGTGGTACTGGGGGGAATACTGTCCTGAGGATAATGATGTCTGTGTGAAAGTCATTGAACGTAAAGGAGGTAAAATTATTCAACAGCATTACAATAAAATTTAAAAACCGATTACACGTGATATGAAATTTCGACATTTTGTCGAAATTCTTCAAATTGTCAATGGAAAATTTTGATTTCACTCAATTGTTGTCTCTTTCCAGCTGAAGAAGTGATCACAAGGGACTGCTTGAGCTCCCTGAAAGGCTTCAGGACTGATATTCCTGCTGACCAATATGAGGGCTGTCGACCAGCTGCTAAAGATGTACGTCTTGGCCACTACGTCAACAACAGCATAACGCAACTCGATATCCACAGAGATTACTACGACGAGACAACGTGGTGCTTCTGTTACTTTGACAACAGGTGTAACAGTGCTACTGGTCTCAAAATCTCAGGACTCCTCGTCCTTCTCGCCACCCTGGGCCACCATTTCTCCAGCTAAGATTACAATTACATGATTGACTAATTAATGACACTATTTTTTAAATCAGTGACAAATTGGTACAGTAAATAAGTTGAATCCCCCATTTTATTAAATATCGACTGCTGTTGAAAACTATTGATTTTAGGGAAACATATAAAAATAGAGTTTTTCTCGAAAGATTAATCAGCTACAAAAAAGTTCATCAATGTTTTTCCCTTAAATGGGTAGTTTTCGAGATACATCAATTAAGGAAATTATAAAATTCAATTTATCTTAGTTATACCACTTGTCCGCTGAAATATATTGTAGTTTAGTGAAACGTACAAGAAATCGTGGAAGTTCGGAGTTTGCCTTCGCTCTCACGTCTAGTCCGTCCATTTAATTAGTATCGAGATTAATGTAAAACAAAGCCGTCCAATTGCGAAGAGCAATGCAGATTTTATAGTTTTATATGTTATTTTTTAATGAGGGAGACTATCTGATCCTTTGACATTGACATCCATATTCTTACGCTATCAAATTGAAATTCCATAAAAACGATGATAAGAAAAACCATTTCGTTTCCTTAATTTTCATTATCAATTATTATTATTACAGTATCATGATTACAAATTTGTATTTTTACAAAGGTTATCGTTAAATCTCACTTGATTTTTTTCATCCTCGCTCGAGCCTATATTTGCAATATAGTTTGAACAAAGGATATTGTGTACATGTATATTTGCCTGTAGAAATCAATCACAATGGAAAATAAAGTTTTTTTTTACAACAGCCATGTTATCAATTTCTCCACCCTTGACAATTGTTCGCGCACAATTAGCACATAATATTCTCGTGTTTTTTCACGTTGGGACATTAGGGTTTCACTTCAAGCTGCTCTACGAGGCTGGAAACAGGTTGGGATTGGGGAACTGAACGAGGAAAAAGACCTCCATGATTCTCTGATTATTTTTCTTGTCGCACTGAGCATGAAAGCCATTAGCTCTCTATTTAATCCTCACGAAAAACGCAGGCGTGGTGGATTGTCTCAACGTTGAGAATGAAGAGTTTATTCCCCAAAAGTTGTTCATTGAGTCTACCAGTTTCAAGGGTTTGAGGTTGAAGACGTTTTTCGATTATCCTGTCTCACAGCATTCCAAAACCTTTCGAGTAGTTGATAGCTTTCAGCAGACGATCCTCCAATTTCTCAAGTGATGAGTAATCCGGGAGAAGAAGTGTGTTGAAACATGTGTGAGCAATTGGCAATCTGCAATTTAAACAGCAATGCAATTTTTTTTCTCTAGAATTCATTACTGATTTAGTTATAAAATTTTTTTTTCACTGTCAAATGAATTTACCTATCAGAGTCCGGTCCATGTCTCGAGATAACCATCTTGAGCCTCGACAGTCCTCCAACTGGTACTCGATCACTTCCTGTGGTAAACTGGAGCAATCTCCTCTGGCTTTCCAAAGGTAATGCATGAGCAACTCTCCAGAAGTTCTTCACTGCATCACTGTCAACAGTGTAGCCATCATACTCAGTAGCTGCTTCGAGCTCTGTAAAGTCAAAGACTTTGCTTCCACAAACGAGCTAAAAGAAAGACCGAGAAAAATCATAAACAAGTGGGGAATACCATTATAAGGAACTGCATAGAGCTGTTGTTGTAAGGAAAAAATAGGTTTGATTTTTTCTCCGAGTGGCAAGTGAATTTTTCCCAATTCACTATGTATCCAATTTCCCAAAAGTGACAATTCCCGAGAAACCTCGAGTAAGAAAGGAAAAAAACGCACACACGCATACATACATACTTACATACAGACACCATCTAAAAACCGCATATTCGGACTTTTTGAGCTACATTTAGTTACCCTAATACCAAAAATTTGGAACTTAAATATGACCAAATACAAAATACAAAATTATCAACACTAATAACATCTATAAACCACTTGTCCCTGAATTCATTACTCACCTGTTCAATTTCCTCAGGTCTGAATAGAAGTGCCAGGGGACTCTCATCGGTAACCATCTGGAAGCCCCTCCTGAAGGCCTTGAACTGCCTCTCGACAGACCGATTGAGCAAAAAATCGGCATAGAGATCGACAAATTCCCTCTTGTTCTCCTGCGTCACGTAGACCTCGTCCCCGTTTTCCCTGAGCTCATGATACAGCACCGATCCGAAAACATCCTTGTAACCGACCTTGAATGTCTGCATGAAGGTATCAGGCATATCATCACCAACGTACCCCAGCATCTCAGTCAGGGTCCTGTACAACGTCGGACTCCAGTCCTCGAGATCTGCAAAACTTCCCTTTCTCCCGAGCAGCTTGCGATAAACAACCATAGGAAAACGCACATCAAGGATAACATTATTATAAATAGCAAGACCCAGTACAACCCCAATCAACGTGAACTGTGCATCACTCTCGAAGGAAGTTGGATTGAACCAGGTGGTCTGTGTTTCCTCCTGAGTCGTAAACATGCCATAATCCGGATTAAATATCTCCTCGACGACTAATTGAAAGAATTCTTTGGAGACTCCACCCTCGTCGACTCCCTGCTCCCCCTCAAACTCGACGACAAGCTGTTTCTTCAGATCAGTGGGATTCTCCATGGCGACCATCTCCAGCTCGACGAGTGCATCATCGATGAGAAAATCTCTGCGTACCTTGAGTCTCAGATAGGGATTGGTGGGCTGTCCCACGTACGATTGAAAAAAGCTCATTCTCCTCTCACTGTACATTCTTATCCTGTTGTCGTAGTAGAGACCCAATGTCTTGGTGGCAGGTGTGAGGATGAAGGCATAGTTCATGAAGCTGAACTTCTTTGGTTGCTCGCTCTTGTAGTACGCAAAATCTTTGTCCATCTCGACCATTTCGCTGAGTAGTTCGTTGTAGAAATCAGTGAAATCAATGTAGGGACGACGTGCATCGAGAGCTGATATCCCCAGTTCGACAGCCAATGGATCCTGAGGGGGTGGAGCAGCTGGTGGGGCTCGATCTGACTTGTCGATCCCCATGGGCTCGACATCTTCGTCCTGGCAGAACTCTGGGGCGTCCAACTCGCCTGATAACATGCTGGCGTAGTAAAGGATCTTCATGACCTTCGTGGGGGCTGTGATTGTGTCGGCGTCCTGGACGCAGTAGTCCCTCGTAAAGGATCCAGCTATCATCTTCACTGTTATCAGCTGCTGCAGGGTCTGCAGGAGCCTCGGTAGCCTTGTCCTGCAGTGTCTTGCCCACACCCTCGACAATTTAGCCTGTGCAGAGATTGGGAGACAGCTGGCAGCTTTGCATAGCATGTGGAGGGCATACTCCAAGTAATCGCTGCTACCCAGCACTGGAATCTCGAAGACAATGAGAAATACGTTGAGGAGGGTGTCTGTGCTGTCTGAGGGCATTATTCCGAAGACCCGGAGGTCCAGCTCGATGTTGTCGGCGAGGGTCACCAGAGCATTGACTAGAGCTGACTCGAACTCCTCACCTGCAGAATTACCCAGTTATATATATATATATTTTTTTCTCATTTGTCAATATTGTTGAACCCTTATCGTCGATATTAATTAGATTTTACTCGATTTTTAATTTTTCGGATGATCAGATGAGAGCAATTCCCCATTTGTTTATAAATATATCTGAAATAATAAATGATATGGCTATCAGCGTTCACCTGATATCGACCAAAGGGCTGCGAAGGATCTCCTCACTGCCTCCAGGTCCACACTTGTGTCGTCAGGATGAGGAACCGAGGGGGAGGGATCACTGCTGTCTATCTCCTTGTCCTCCCCCTGTAGTGCTCTAACTGCCTCTTTGTTCAGATCACTCGGTGGACCCAACAGAGACACTGGAGCACGATCCAGGAGGGCTGACAGAGGGGAATCAGTTTTTTCCGTTTTTTGGAAGCTCTTGCTCAGGGCCTCCGCCGAGGAGAACACTTCACCCAGGGTACGAATTAGCAGGGAGTAATTTCCCTCCGATTTACACCGATCTATTATGCCCAGGAGCTTTGTCTCGGTGAGGTAAGGTACTTGTTTGCCTGGAAGAGACGTTTTTTTTTCTTTGAGGAAATTCGAAGTGGAACCAAAAATTTCGGTAAGTCTCTTTGATTCAGAGCTATTCCGATTTCTTCGGTAAAAAATTTTTAACCAATTTTGTTTTGATATTGTTCAGTTGAATTGGAAGTACAATTTAAATCGATATTCAAGAAATTATATGATTTTTTAATAGTTGCTAATGAAAAATATTGAATGGAATTAATCAAAGTTTTTGTTCTTAAAGAAATAATAATGTAATTATCGGTTGATTGCAGAGACCCCTTGACCATTCCCAAGTGCAATTAACTGAAACTTCGAGTGGAGTTACCAGAGGAATTTATTCGGATTCATTAAGTTGAATGAATTCAACGATTTTACAGGATTGAGGAGATGTTGAAGGGTTGTTAAAATTGGAAGGTGGAATTTGAGTACTTCTTGGACTCCAGGTACCTCAGGTACAGAGCCAGAACAATTAATTCAGCGACAGCATCTCTATTGGACTCTTCGGGCTCAACATCGTCGAGTCTCGCTTGTTTAATGGGAGTTCTTCGGGATTTTCTCTTCCTCGGAGCCTTTCTAGGAATTATATTCCGATTGATTTTCTTGGCCTGTCTTTTTCTTGAGGTTTTGGGGATGGAGATGTCGTTGTCACTGATAATCGTCTCGAGACTCTCAGCCGTAGGAATGGAAATAGATTGGATGGATTCTGAGGACAGGGAGTCCTCGGATAAGTCGTCCATGACTTCTGCGAAGTCACTGGAGTCTTCGGAGGACGAAGGACTGTTTTCCAGGCGGAGACACTTGATTTTTCGTTTGGATCCCCTATTAGGTGGGAATGCTGGGTGGTACAGGGGCTCTTGATGGATTAACGGATTCGTTTGAATCTCAAGGTCCTTTTTATAGAGACCTGAGGTACTTGGAGCTCCTAGATCTACTGCGCAGTAACTGGGAGATGGTTGAGGGGCTGTGGGTGGTGGAAATGATATCTGGACTGATGCATTTTTCGTACCTTCTACTGAGCACGATGGATTCATGCTTTTTGGTGGTAAACTCTTGGCTAGTGATGCTGGGCCTGACTCCAGGGATGTCCTGGGAACTTTGCTGGGCTGTGTACCGTCGCAGAGACGTGCCTCCTGGGAGAATAATTGAATCGCTTGAGCTGCTGCTTGATTTGGAGTCAAGTTAGTCACCTGCAGTAAAGTTTTATTTCAATCGTTTCTATAAATTTAACCAAAACCCCTCGTTTTGCTGATTCACATTCTCAATGAACTTCTGGATAATTCACCTTGCCACTAGACGCACAATTCTGATTGTCGCATTGTGGATTGCCACATCCATCCGTCAACTGGTAGAAATAACGTTCGATCAACTTTTTGGCTGCTGCTCGCTTCATGTCACTGCAAGGGCTCTCAGCTCCTACCCTGTTAACATACAGTGGAGAAAGAGACATAAAAATATTTGTCACGTCATTGCCAAGGAATAAAGACCCAGGAGGCGCAACAAAAGCCCACGTGCGTAAATATCTCGCTAATTATAGAGTTCAGGGACATAAGTGTCAATGACTCGTTGGGAGAAAACAATTTCGAGGACATCTCCACTGGGTGAGTAAATGTTTTTACCTGGAAGTGAGATCTTCTCCAGGGTCCTCTTGGCCCTTGGGGTTCATAGATCCAGAGTCGTTGAAATTTTGACTTGAACTCTCACGTCAAACCGATCCACTCGAATTTCTCAGTGTGGCACACCGAGGAATTTCGTTGCACTAGTTTTATTAACTGGTTCAGTGGAAAATTAAGGGAAAACACTGGTCTTTGTTCTGGCACGAGAGGCACTAGAGTTGGCCAAACAATTTACAATCCCAACCCAACAAACTTAACTAAATTTAGAGGCAATCGTGTTGTTAACCAATATACGCGGATGGAGGGGTTTGGGGGGGAGGGGGGAGTGGGTGGTTCGGTTGGGGGGGAAAGGGGTGGGCAATTTGAGAGGGGATTTTTATGCGAATGTGGTCACTCAAGGGTTGACTGCCAATGAAGAATGATGAGGAATTATTGAGAATTATTGGGTTAATGATGATTATTTAGCTGGGACCGCTGGGATACCAATGATTCCCCTTTGTTTTTCTCCTGAACTGTCGTCACTGGCGAACGTCACGGATCAGTCACCGGATTTATCGGATTTTTTTTTTAATTGCTCGTGGCAATGTTTGTGAAAATTCACGAGACAATTTTAATTTTTTAATTTTGCTGTTGGTGATTGCAATTCACAGACACTATGGATCCTGTCACGTTCTGTCAGTTTCTCTTTAGATCCTATCTTCAAGTCCTCGGATCGTGGACTAGACACTAAAACCTCTCGGAATGAGTGGAGGAAGGAGAGGAATATTATTGAGGAGTTGGAGAATTTCGGGAAAAAATAACACGTGCGCGCGCACTTAACACTTGGTAAGATTGTTGGGTTTTGAGGAGATACACTTGAGAGTATTTTTTTTATGTACTTCGTAATTGTTGTTCTTTCTGTATCATGGCTACTCGGAAGAATTCATGATTTAGTTGGTTGATGGTACGGAAGGGATCCGCGTCGTTGAGTGATGGTGAAACAATTTTTTTTTTGAAACAACAATTTTTCTGGATGAATTATAAATTTATTTTGGCTTAACCAGAGTAGAATGGTGCTATCATATTTTTTAAATAGTCATTTTAACTGCAAAATGAATTCACTAGTGAACTCAATCACTCAAAAAATCGACTCGATGTACACTAGAAATATTGAAGGAATGAAATAATTGTACATTTTTGAAAATCGAAGGGTTAGCAATGAGATGTTTTAAAAATGAATAGATCGAGGGAATAAACATCTCATAATGAGGGTTTTTTTGAGATTTTAAATATTGAAAAACAGTGCGATGAATAAAATAACCAGTGGAAGTGAAGAATTGTTTAATTATTCTCTCATCTTTTACAAAATAACTTGTGGAGGGAGGAATTAAATAACAAAAGGTATAGGTATAGTTTCGTAATTCGAATGAAGACATCTGACACTCTGAAGGAATGGAAATTTTTTTCATGTCCCTGTCGGTGCTAAAATGCAATGAACAACGTGAAAATTGAGTTGTGAATGGACTCTTGATACCTGTGGACGTGTCCCCTTTTGAATTCCTTTTGAGGTCCAAATCAAGGGTTTGGACTAATCAATGAATTAATCAACAATCTTAAGGTAATAGATTCGCTTGGATTACTTGCGGCGTGAATGGATGTAATATCTCATGAATAATATTTTTCTTCTCTTTTTATTTTGAACGTATGCAATTAAAATGAATAAACAGCGACATATCACAGTACCGTACGCAAAGCTTGAATAAATTTCAGCGGATAAGTGGGATTACAGCTTTTTAAGGCCAAAAAAGGCGGGTCTACATTCGTTCGAATAAGTTTTGAGGAGGACACTTGTTCCATTAATTTACACCTCTTCTGGGGTAATGGCTATTTCACTTTTTCTCCATTAGCACTACGTTTCGGTAATCAGTTGCGTTAACACTCTTCGGGGTTTAATGACATGTAACTTTTATCATAGCTTTGCTTGAACATTTTTGTCTCAATTTCTTCAATTTATTAGTAACAAAGTAATTGATGATTCGTGATTTTTGAAACTGCGTAATCAGTGGACCTTTCTCCATTTATTTATTCTCTTCCTGTACAAGTTTGATTGAGGATTTGTTTTTTCGCAAGTTTGTCTATTCATTTTGATTCAAAGTACTCGTAATTGTTGTGGGTTACTCTGAGGTCCAGCCATTACTCAGGATCAATAAATACTGGAGGAAGAACCACAGGCACCAGGGGCCAGTGTCCAATTTGGCTTCAACTTTTGGAACGATTCGGGGGTTGGGAGGAGAAGGGGTTGGGATTCTTGGACAGTGGCCTGCAGTGGTGATTCTCCACAGCAGAATACTAATTGAATCAAAAAATGGGAACTTTGGCAACATAAACGTTGGCAACAACAGTCGATCGCTCGCTCCACTCACTCTTTCTGAATTATTTATCTCGATTTCTCATCACTTCGACTCATTCTCTGTACACACTCGTTACAATTATCCCAGTGGGATAAGGATTGCCTTCTTTTCGTGGGTTAATTTGGATATTCTGCCGAGAAAGTCATTTTAGTCGTTTTATTATGCTGATTTCGATTATGATTTTATAGTTTTTCTCTTTCAACCTTTATGTACAGTACAGAAACATTGCGCAGTGGCATAATTTACAGTTGTCGATCAGGAATGGGATTTTAATGATTAAAATAATTTCTGGGATTCTCACTGTCCGCCTCAACCGCCTTTTGCTCGTTAAGCTCTCGATTGTTCTCGGATTTTTAATTTTTCTTTATTGATGCATCATTTGTGATATCGTCAGTCGAAATCTATTACCTCCAGGATCGTTCATTAATTAAGGGGAAGAGTTGTGTGTAAAAATGAAGAATTATATTCAGTAGAAAAATTGCATTAACCCTTCACTCTATTTTCGTCACTTGTCAAATAAAAATAAACTTCTTTATTCGGCCTTTATCGTCTAGGTCAATTAATTTTTTTTTTTCTTGATTTTTACACCTAACAGTGTCCCTTTAATTATTTATCGTAGTCTACGTACATTGATTGAACGTGTGAAAATTGGAATACAAGGACTCTTGTCACACTCGTACGCCTACAATTTTTCGTCGTCGATATTGCACCAGTCGTGGAGTAGTGAACGTAATAAATTCAGTTTAACTCAATGTACATTTATCTCGAAAATCAATTCTGTAATTGATTTTTTGTTCAGAGACTTCAGAGAGAAATAACAGAAGACGTATTTCATCGGAAATTTAACTATCAAGAAAAAAATCTCACATTTTCCTTAGATCAATAAATTTCAATCGATGAGAAATAGACATGTTAAGTTCGAGTTATAAAATCATTCGTTATCGAGATTAATGCATATTCACTAAGAAGTTAATAGCCAATTTGGCCTGCTCTCTTGGTGTATTTTATTACGTTCGACTGCTCCAATACCGATATGTGTTGTGTATGAACATTAAATAGAAATCCTAAAAAAAAAACAAAATAAGAAAATATTTTTAAAAAAAGATTAGGGGGCGAGGCGTTACAGTTTAACAAAGGTAGGGGGTAAAATATATCGTCATCATCGGTTTCAACATTTTGTTTCATAAAGTACTTTGCTGAATGATTTTGAAATGCCTTCATCGTTCAAAATTCAATTACATCATCTCCACTCAATGTTTTTTGTTACACACGTGAGAAAAAGAAATTGAAAGGAAAGCAGAGAAAAAAAAAACATAAGTAAAACAACAAATCTCTCAACTTTCAATTATCCTTCGCTCCACACATCTCACTCTCAAAACAAATTTCTATATTTAATAAAGATTAATTATTCATTAATACTAAACGGACAAATAATCACGCACTCTGTCACGCATCGAATTATCATCAATTTCCTTTCGTTTTTTTTTGTTTTTTTTTTCCATTCAACAACAAAGAAAAAAAAAACTTACCCAGGATTCAACGCACATTTATTTATTTAATTTTATGGTTTTTATTCATTTTTTTGTTTTAATGTTTTCTTACTTTTTTCATTCACTTTTTCCTGTGTTCTGGGTAATATTTATTCTCGCCGTTCTAAACTCCGTTATTTATTTTATTTACGCTTTTTCTTTATGAATTTTTATAATTTTTAATCTGTAATGTTTTTTTTCTCGATACCATTTATTTTTATTTTCCGACTCTGTCGTATCCGTGGTTACTGCTCGAAATTGGAGATGAAGAAGAGGAAAATAATTGCCCGAGGAAGACAAAATAAACACCCACGATTGTCATCCTCCATTTTCACAATTAATTAAATCCATCGAACAAGCTACGTCGAGTCTTATAAAATTGATTTTTCACAATGTATTGATTGGATAATTATTGGGGCCAAGGGGGGCGGTAGGCACACTTGCAATAACGCTAAAACTCAGCTCAGACCCAACCAGCGGGTCTCACTCTCAACCACTCAAGCATTTTTCATATCAACTATTTTCACTCTACAGTTCTTCTCAACGTCTCAACAATAAACCACTTCAAATGCTCACTCCCGCTCTCAAAAATCAAGGCGACTGTTTACGTTTCACTCTCCTATTATGAACAAATGAAAGATCAACGAAGAAAGATCAATATCGAAAAATGCTCAATAAAAGAACATTAATGTGTCAATCGATCGCAGTGAACAGTAAATAACAAAAAAATCCATTTCTCAATATTCAGCGAATGGGATGACTATTTCTAATCAGGGGAATTCCGTTCTCGAATCTAAACCTGCAATCTCTGATTAAAAAACACTAGTTAAAACATTGTCTCAAGAGATTCCCTCAAACTCAAAACTTCCCACCAATTTACATCACTGAAATTCTCCTCCAAAATGATTTCCCATTCTCAGAACAACGTAACAGAAAAATAATCCAGTCTGACTCGAATTGTTAGTCCAATCTCTCTCGAATTGTAAGAAGGAATTATTTTCAACGAGCCCATAGTTCCTTGAGACAATTAAATTGATTTTCCTCGATTTTTTCCACGTGGTTTGAATATAAAAGATGAATAGTTCAGAAAAATTTAATTCGCCTAAACTCAAGTTAGCCCTTCACCACTGAACTCATCATTATTTTGTATAATCATTAGTAATGTCGATTGAGCAATAATATTGAAATAATAAGTCTCACCAGAAACGCCAGAACTCGGCAAATACAATTCTCTCCCTGCAGTAAAATGGCATAAAGTTCTGTAATTGCTCTTCCTCATTCAAGCAGTAACCACAGAGTCCAGACATGGTCCAGCTCCTGCGAGGGTTGACAAATGTCCCCAGACTGCCCTCGTATCCACAGCCCAGCCTAGCTCGCGGGACCACAAGCATTCTACCATAATTATCAATTATCTCTCCTTTACCTCATAATTCTCCAATAATATTAGTTTTATTTAATATTAATTAAATAAGCGAGTCCGTTTATTATGATTTCATAGCATCTCCCTAACACCACTTCTCCACTAACATTATGACTGTCTTCCACAACTTCCTTCACAGTCTCCACATTTCCACCCCCCAAATACAATTCACTTCAAATGTCAATGCCTCTGGCCTCCTCTAATAATTGTTCTCAATCTCTCGCTGATTATTTCTCCCATGATTTGAATAATAATTCACCACACCTGGAAGATTCATCGAAATATACAGTCGATCGCACAATTATGATAATTTATACACAGAGATTATCCATTTCTTATGCCAATTGTCATGACACTTACAATTCACTTGGTGATGCACTTTGACAATATTTCAAGTTTGTTCATTTGTTAATTGTGATCACACTCAGGCAAGAGGTCCTACGGCCTCATTCCACCGAGTTATATTTCAGTAATAATCACCTCTGAATGATTCACCCAGGCTCGATAATCCCCCAACACATTCACTGTGTTAATTCTCATCTTAATATTAATCCACTAACAGTGTCCATAATTTATTCTCAAATATTTATCAAGACAGACCAGTGTCTCGTTCACTCCAACATGATTCTTCAGGAGGGCGAGGGGGATAAAAAGTCACTTTAGTTCGTTTGCTACTGAAAATACTATACCAGATCTCGCATTATGTACATTACTTCTTGTTTTATTCTTAAAGTTCGTTGTTGAGGTCGAATTAAATTTTTTCTTTTCCTCCACCCCCACTGCAGTATGGCTTTAATGCCAACTCCGACAACTTCGACGTTTAAGTTTTTTTTTCTTTTCTTCCATATTCAAATGCTCGTACCCCACCACAATCTTACAACTTATGTACAGTCTAGCGATCCCAGGATTTTGTCGCTGGGCTCGCGGAGAAAAAAATATAAAAGAAGTAAAATAAAGAGGAAACTTATAAAGCACTGTTAAACGTCACTTCTACCTCAATTTACATCAGCCCCCGTAGTCTTCCCTCTGAACACACGTTCTCCTCGTCGTTTGTTTTTTTTTTCTTTCTGTTTTTATTCTGTTTACGTACTTTACGAGTTTTTAAGATCTGCCGCATCTTACAGATTCATGGGAATCACTGACTTTTTTTAGGAGTTGTCCATTTTTTAGGGGGTTTCACTGGCCACGGTAGTACTGGATCCGTCCAGTCGCTGCCGTCACTGGTATCTCACGCATCACTGCGTCCCACGCTGCAAGAAAATTCATTTTAGTTAAAAATTTCCCTGAAAATTAAATTCTATTCTGCAACTAGTGTCGGGTTATTTTTACTTTGATGGAAACAAAATTGCTGGCGGTGACATTTTGCCACAGCTTGTAATATCTCTGACATTTCGTGGCATTTTTAAAATGGCAAATTCAAGATTACTTGGCAGAATCAATGAAAATGGTAAAATACTGTAGTAGAATTGTAACATTTATGAAAATTGAATTTTTTAGTTGGACTTCTCAGTTAACACCCGCATGGTAGTACATGCGGGCATTAATTTAATGAAATAAAATATATAAGGTCACTCACCATGCCCAACAAAACTGACAATCTTATCGTGATTATAATTCTGCACATTGACAGCTTCTTCAGGAGCCACATATCTCGCTGAAAAATCCTCCTTGGGCTGATGATACTTATCGATAATAGTGGCAGGAGGAGGACCAGGTATGTAAGTATTGGCAGGTGGATGAAACCTCTGTGAGTATCCAATGTAACCCATCGATGGCACAATCATAGTAGGATGTGGCATCTGGACCTGATGTGGATGAGGTGGTGGTACGTGAAAATTTGGTGGAAATTTCTCGTACCTCATATGCTTATCAAATATCGGAGGGGGTCTGTCGAACGTGGGTGGTGGCTTGTCAAAAATCTGGGGTGGCTCTGGAACAAACACCTGATGGGTTTCAACTTTTTCCTCACTCTCCTCGGATTGCAGAAGCAGCTCGTTAACTTCAAAGCCAAAAGTTAATTCACTAGGTGAGTCACTATTCCTAGATTGATCAGATGAAGTTTCATCCATGAGAATTACAGCTGGCCTGGGATTCTTCTTCGTTGATTCATTCTTCATCTCTTTCTCCTTGTTCCCCATTTTATTTGGTTTCTTGGTATCACCTTCTTCCTCTTTGGAGCCCTGACTTGGATTATTGATGATCTTTGTGGGCTCGATTTTCTGGGCAGTGGGAGCAGCCTCTTTCGCACCCTTCGACGTTCTCTCTACTTTGACAATGGACTTCTGAGGCTCAGAGTCAATTTGGCTGTGTGAAAAAGTCTTTGGATTAAGCTGCTTAGGCTTCACCTCCTGCTGATCGTCAGTGTTGTGTTTACGTGGCTCCTCCTGGGGATTTGAAGATTTCTTGAGGTCATCCTGAGGGGATTTTTTGACATACACAGCTTCCATTTGTACCACTGGAATCTGGGGAATCCCTGGTATCTGCTGGTAACTCCTTCTATTTGATCGCTGATAATTCGTGATTCTGATGTTTGCATTGGTGTCCTTGGGGCTTGTCTCTGTCGTCTCCTCCAGGGAATTATTATTGCCAGCGTTCTTGAGGTTTGGTGTTACTGGAATCTCACTCTGATGAACACTGTGATTAGTAGCAGTCAGGTTTTTCTGCTCCTGCACGTACTTTATCACCTGGATCTTCTTGTTAATAGCCTCCTCCCTGGCCTCAGCCTTCTTGCACTCTGATGCATTCTTGGCTTTAGTACTTGTTGGCGATGGTGGCTTATCAAAACTCAAGCTAAAGCCCTGCGCGTGATTTGAATTGGCAAAGTTTTGCTGACGTGATTTACGATCAGATTGCTGAAGCTCATCGAGACTTGGGTAGTAATCCTGGGGAAATTTGTCGGGCTCTGATGGTGACTTACCAGGCACTGATGGCCATGTACCAGCGTTCAACATATTTGGTACCATTGTGGAGATATTGAGGACGGAACTCGGTGACATATTGATCGTGGCCATGCGGGCTATGTCGGCGTAACTCGCTTGGGGTGTTCCAGATGATGGTGGATTTTTCGTCATATTGTGTTTTGTATTTGATGTCACTGGCAGTGAGTGAACTGAATCGAGATCACTACTGTCTGATTTATCACTCGGTGGCATACTGCTAGCACTCTTTCTCCGCAATTCCGGTGACAGGGGTGTCCTATATTCATTAGTGAATCCCCTCGTCCTAGGCAGATACGAGCCAGATCCTCCTAAATTCTGTGCCCTACCCCCACTGGAGCTCCTCCTCTGTTTTTTACTCTTTTTCTTCTTCGTAACAACCAAAAACTCGTGCTCCTGTTCCACTTCAGCATTGATCTTCCTATTTGAATTTCTCCTGGTATACTCATCCCCAATATCATTGCAGTAAATAGCCTGTCCCTCCTCAGTGCCCCATGACCTGCGATCCCCCCTGCAATCAGCAACAGTATCACCAGTGCTGCGTTGCTTGGCCCTTCTGAGTGCTCCATTGACAGATCCATGCTGACTTGAAACACTGGATCCACTGGAACAGCTCTTCTCAGCAGTGAGATCCTCGAGCTTCGTCTTGGATATCTCCTCAAGAGAATTAGCCTTCTGCAATTTGGATGGCAGCTGTTCACGTTTAGAGTCCTTCTCTCTGCCGCGAGGCTTTGCAGCAGTCGACGTCTTCACCTTGACAGCACTTCCACTTGTCTTGCTCTTCTTCCCCTTGGCTTCTTTATTCTCAATGAAATTAATCAAACTATCAATGTCCTCATTCCCCTGGTGCCCCTCAACATTCTCAGCCTTATAAACAATGACATTAGGCTCCTGTGTGTGCTTTCTCCTCGTCTTTTTGCGCTCACCATTGTGCCCCTGAACAGCATTTCCATTCTCATCAAGTGATTTTTTATCAATCAACGTTCCATCCTTGTTGAGAATTCCAATATTCTGCATGGGTGCTCTCGACACAGCCAGCGAGGGTAAATGCATTATTGGAAGAATGCTAGAGCCAACTTTTCCCTGCTGTCCACCTGACATTGTCCCGTTGACAACGCACTTGACATTGTTGTAAGACTGCAACTGCAGAGTTCCAGAGATCTCAGGTCCATTAAATGATATCTTTGGTTTATCCTGTTTGTGATCACGAAGTGGAAAATCAACAGCTGAGTCAACCGATGTTTGGGCTGTCTCGAAGTGAGCACGAGAGATCAATTGCATGGGCCTGCGTGGCTCAATGATCTTCATCTCAGTGCCCTCATCATCATTGATGTCCGAGGCTGAGTGGGGTCTCTGTTTACTCGATCCACTCGTAGCTACAACATTCCTCTCACCCAACCCATTCACCTGAAATAGATAATATTTTAGGGAAAACTCCTTGGGGACATTATACCGTGATTCAATGAGTCTTGGGGAGTCATTGAACCGCAGTCTGTCGATTTCATACGCTGCTTCGAGGGCTCTGGGTTAACCTACGGGATATTGTATTCCCTTTGACAGGATGAAATCGTAACTGATATTATTTACCTCGATATCAATTACCATGTATTCCGGTTTGTAATCTGGTGGTGGATTGTCCGACTCGAGCATCTCATTTGTCGTTTGTTTCACCTTTGAACACTTTTTATCAGTTTCAGTATCAATGACCGCTGTACCAGCAACGGTTGAATCACGTTTGATGTCCTTTTTCTCTTTGTCCTTGTCGTCTTTTTTCGGGGCACAGCCGTACGTCGGCTTGTCCAGCGACTTTGATTTCTCCTTGTTTGTCCAGTCGTACGATGATCTCTCCTCGTAGTAGCCCTTCTGATTTTTCAGAAAAGAACGAATAGTGGTCAGTGCCCTCAGGATATACCCCCCAATAATCATTTTACTCATAATTGATTTTTATCTACTATATTTCGACGGTTCACATAGTTTTATTGAATGCATCCGAAGCATTAGAAGAGACCAGCAGAATGTTCCAGAGAATGCCCCACTCTCAGAGCAATTTACCAAAAATTCTAAATTTACTAAAATCATCATAAAAAGCAAACCAACGAAAATGGGTATCGTAACGCTCTTCTCATTTCGACAGAGTGACTTTTAAACTCATATTTTTAGGTATGATTGAATGCATGTCAGTAACAAGCTGGTAAGGTGCAAATTTAACTTTGAGGTTAATTATTGATTTATTTCTAAAAATGCCCATTATCAAAATCACAATAACAATTCGAACGACTGCCATTTTAAACAATTATAATGATTCCAATCAGAGAGAAAATAGAAGCAATTGACATTTGCAAAAATACTCTCATAATAGTCTATTTAAAATTAGTCATGGTATATTACTGTGAGAAACACTGAAATTACCTTCTTGTCGAAGAGTAAATCTAGATTAGCAAGTGGTGCAAGACTGTGTGTTGCGTTTACATTCGAGGGCAATGATCCACCCTCTCTCTGTCTCGCTGATACACTGGGTCCGGTGTGTTTCTTTCCTTTCCTCCTGCCACCACCATATGTGTGACTAGAGCCCGAGGTGAGGTAGGCAAAGCTACTGTCAAACTCAAAACTAATTGGTTGGGCCAAATTCTGGAGTGAACCACCGTGAGTCAGCCTCTCGGACACTGAGTCACGCTTGTGACGACGTCTGTTTGACCCTGGTAAGCACCTAGTGCTGGTCACCACACGACGTCCCTCCTCAGTCTCATCGACTTCAGCTTCCTGAAGAAGTTCCTTAACAAAATTTTCCAAATTAGTACAAAACATTTACCAAAGATTTAACACCAGCCATCAAGTGACAGTAATAATTCTCTTCATAAATTACTTTGAATAGATTAGACTTTCCCTCTCGATCCCTAGTGGAGCCCCTGTAGGTGAAGGCCTCCTCGAGGAGGGCTCGGAGTTCCCTCTCGTTCAGCGTCGAGAAAGTACCCGGTTCCTCCTGAAAATTATAAATCCTCGGTTCATATCATTCAACATTTTTTTCCCCCACAAACCGAAGAGCATTCGTGTCATCCCATTAAATTTTCGAACGTCCCAACGCCTCAACAGCACGAGATCAAGTGATAATGCAACACAACAGCAACGGAACCTTGAGTTGACAAAAGAAGAAAAAAAAACTATAACTCCCTCGCAGTATATCTATTAAAAATACCCACGATTACAAAGCAGAAAAAGCGTTATTACGTAATGGATGGCAGTGTGGTGAGTAGTGACACTGGATTCCAGAACACTCAATTTCCCCAGTCATTACACTGCTCCAAATGCACCACTTTCATCACGCAATCTGGCCCATCGATGATGTAAACAATAACTACTCAATAGCCATAACAACCAGAATAAATTTCCAATGCTCACATTTGCCTGTCACCAACGCATACACCAGAGTGAATTTGTTACGGTATATGGCAATAAAATCACGACTCCAGTGATCCTCGAGGCTAATAAGGGAAGTGTGTCGAGTGATCTTTCCAAACTTTTGGAGTCACTCCATAAATAGAATAAGTGTTACAGCACCATTTGTAATGGTCCACCATGCTATCAGATGAAATAATCCCCCTTGAGTCATAAACCAGGGGATCACAAGTCTCGATCGAATTCCTCGAATGATTCTCCATCAGGAAAAAATTCAGATGAAAAAAAATCGACTGACACACTGTCAGATATACACATCAGTGTGAATTTAAAGGGTTTCACTGATTGGATCTGAGTTGTCGCGACGGTTGGAAAAAATGCCTACGACACTGCTGCACACACAATTATCCATGAAGTCTAATTATTCATGTTTTTTTATTTCATAATGTAAGGCAGCCATTGCTCGAGAGTATCCCCAAGGTGCTTCTCCCCAATTTCTAAAAACAACAAATTTCCAGATTGCAAGTAGAAAAAAAAACTCACGACTCACTGAGCTCTGTTATCAGAAAGGGGTGAGGAAGAGAGGAAGAGAGGGATTGGTGGTCACAAAATAATCTAGTGACGATAAAACGCCGACCACAGAGACAGTTGGGGTCCCAATGTCAGAAATTTTGCAAGTGATAAACTCCAACGTTCCTCCCACCAGTAAAAACCACGAGTAAAATCCCCTGATCTCTCCAATTGCCCATTCAAATCCCATTTCTCATGTTTCCCCCCAGAACTCCCACCTGTCCTCAACTTTTCATGTTTTTTTTTTATAAAAATTCAATGAACACCCAGTGGTATTTATTTCATGAATAATTCACCACGTATTTTTCCCTTCGATTTATCCATCAGTATTAAAGAGGAAGGAACTTACGTGCAAAAAGGAGAAGTGCACAGTGCCGGCACGGAATTTATATTTTTAGAGGGCACCCAGGTCGTCATTCGAGCCTCAGGTTCTATAATCGCTCCTCTTTTTTACATCACCAATTTCAATTCATTGATTGTCAATGTACCCCGATGATTTAGTCCGTGAGCTGGCACGATACCATCACCATGGATCAGAGAATCCCTCTGAGGGCAGAGTTACGAGCCCCAGATATTAAAAAACCACTGATTTTTGAATTTCTTCTTTTTTTTCCAATTTGTTGGTGTTTCGAACGTTGGAGGTGACTATCGCACAACGAAGCGGGCGCGGCGCGCACTTCTCGGCATGGCCGCCGCCATTATACTGAGAATATGAGCCTCAACAGGAACGTAAATAGCCAAGACAACCCCCGGTTGGTGTTGAGACTTCTCTCCGGTGACATACGGCTTGATGTGACCCGACGAGTGGAAAAAAAAACACTCGGATAAAAAAACGGCCCTCGAAAACAAGACCATCGGAATTGGCCCCTCACTGTCGACACTCCCGATATTTTCGACTTTTATTGAAGTACTTGAGGAGCCCCTGAAATGTTGAATGCTAACGACTGGTATAATTACAGCATAATTAAAACTTAATTATGCCAGGCAACATCCAATCGACTACAGAGATTGCCACGTACTTAATGAATAAATAATTAAACGATCTTCGAAACCTCTGAGATAAGAACCTACGATCTACCACGAGAAGAATTAAAAAACAAGACTTTCTGGTGCATTCGCCCGTCCCTCTGACAGCTGTCCTGCGTCTCAGGACTCTGATTTCCCCGAGGGTGAAAATTCAGCTCGAAAATAAATCCCGTGACTACAAAAACAAAATTCCACATAAATCCCGAGAAATATATTCTCCTCACCTGTTTCTCCCCCACAGCCCCATCACTCCCGGCATTTCCCCCATTACCCTCACTGCCCCCAACACTCCCTCCAGTCTCATCACTCCTCTCCGGATTGCCATCACTAGTCCCATCATCCTGACCCTTGTCAGGTGCCACTGGCTCCTGCCTATTGTCCGGCCCTGGGGCCATTTTCACCGAAATTGACAGCGCCGTATCAACTGCACTCATAACCTCTCCATTGACACCCAAATAATTCTTATCACCTGGCAATCACTGGAACCCCATCTCCCAAAAAAATCACACCACCCCCTCCCCCCCCGACCCACCCCCCTGACGATCAAGGGAAGAAAAAAATCCTCAATATTTCACAAATCCCTGTGTCCACTCCCATGTTTCATCCTCATCCGACATCACTCCCCTCTTCTATGATAAACTCGACCGAAAAAGAAAAAAAAAGAATGAAGGATAAACAACTGTACTCGATGAACCGAATTACCGATGAAGCAATCAAATGGTTTTCGAGGTTAGAATCCCCATCACTGTCACTCAATCCAACTCAATCCATCTTGCATTGAAGGACACTGTGAAATTTCCCGAACCGTATCATCTCGGAATTCAACAAAACACAGTCGCCCACACTCACGTTAATGCCGATAAAAAGTCCATTAACGGTAATGATAATTGTCAGGTAGATTTGTTCAACTTCCCCTCAATCACAATGCTTGTTCCCATTGAATCCTCGAGGGGGGCTTGACAAGTTATCGATCGTCAGGGGGGTTACTTTTTTTCGTTGGACTTGCCAACACGCACACCAATGCGAGAGAAGGCGCGCTGGCGCATACGTACACAACCTCCTGGCGTTGTATTTTTCCCATGAACATGAGAGCAAACAGAACGAAACGGAATTGGTAATAACAATTGCCGAAAATTATATTATTGCTGATGTGAGTCTCGATGATGATTTTTTTTTATTCAGACTGTCGTGCGTCGTTGTCGACCTCCTGGGGCTCCAGGGCCCTCTGCAAGGGCACGTCATCCATTCCCTCGACCCACACCTTCACAACCCACGGGGCCCCAACACAACTCCCGCAGTCACACTCCCACCCTTCGCCGTTTTATTTATTTATTCCATTCGGTCAGTGTCCAGTTCACCACGATTTGATTAAACTTGGGGGTGATTGTTTAAGCGTATTTACACATTGGTGATGGCTCCGGGATCGTGGGACGAGGTATTTTTTTCTCCGGGGTGAGCTGCACTTGGATTTACTGGAGAACTTTGCGGATCAGACGGTATCGCTTTTGCGCAGAGTCTGGGACACCACTCGGAGGCAGTTGGGCCTCCGAAAATGTCGTCTGGTAGCGTCAGGTGTGTAACGAGGTCTCAGGAACCTTGGGCATTCCTCCATCATCCAGGAGCGATTTATTTTCATCCTAGGAGTTTTTAGAAATTTTGTCAGTTCCTCAGGGATGAATTTTGCAGTCAATCATTTTGGGGATTCAATCTCAGAGGTGTGGACACTCGGGGGGTGACTTTTACCTTGATGTTTCCCTGGGAATGACGTCCACGGGATCGATAATACTCGAAGAAGTGCGCGATCTCGATTGTTCAGAGTCGACTGTTATCAAATGACGTCGGCTGGTTCGTAAATTCACGCCGCAGCGGGGCCTAGATCTCATTCATATTTTTCTCGTGGCCGGTGTGTTCAGTGAGTTTCCTACGAGTAATCAATCCTAGTTGCGATTTAATCTTGGTTTTTTATTTATGGAGTAATCGTTGGTACTGATTGCAGGGGGAAAGAGAGCTTCCAGGGGTTTAACCACTTGTTTCTCCAGCGAGCGCCGAGCAATCTAAACAATCGAGATGACTGAGACGGAGAATGTTTTCCTGTTTGTTCCGAATTTAATTGGTGAGTTTGAAAAAATAAAATTGCCTGTGATTCCGTGGTATTTGATTCAATTAATCGAGGAAGATGTGAATGAATTGTGTGGAACTTTGTGGTCTTCCTGGGGTGAATCAATACTCGATGAATAATATGTATCATTTTTATAAACTCAATTTATCACGAGTTTAAAGTTCAGTCGTCTGATTATCAATTTTTTTATTTAGGATTTGCTAGGGTGATCCTAGCAATCATTTCATTCTACTTCATGCCAACAAATCATGTAATTGCGATATGGTGCTATGTGATAAGTGCTCTGCTGGATGCTGTCGATGGACATGCGGCCAGGTACTTCAATCAGAGCACAAAATTCGGAGCAATGCTCGATCAATTGACTGATCGAGTTGGAACGATGTGTCTTCTCGTGAATTTGAGTATGTTCTACCCGGCATATGCCTTCTGGTTTCAGCTCAGCATGGCCATCGATATATCTTGTCACTGGCTGTACTTGCACACGTGAGTAGCAGCATTTCTACATGAATGGATAATTTAATAAGAAATGAGCAATCCAACTCATCGCTTTTTACGAATATGTTTTACTGAATTCGCGTGTAATTTGATATGTTAATTGTACCAAACTCTGGTTTTGGATTTTTCCAGGACGATTTTGCAGGGAAAAACCAGTCACAAATTCATTGATATGTCAGGTAATCCCATCATGAGGGTTTACTATACGAATAAACTCGTGTTATTCTTCATGTGCGCTGGAAACGAGGCATTTTACGCCGCCCTGTATCTTCTGCATTTCACCGAAGGACCTACATGTAAGTTTCATCCACAGAAGAAAGAAAAAAAAGCGAAGCCACCCGATAACTCAGTATTGAATTTATGAATCGAACATAAATATCACAATCGGGATGATAACCTTTTTCATAGAATGCCTTAAGACCTACTAAGAAGGTTCTTGTGAAAATTTCACACAAAACAGGGATTCAATGTTTGACATTATCTGCGAAAGTTATTTTTGCAGTTGGTCTCACTCATTTGCATAAACAGCCGATAAAAATGTTTTTACTGTCTCTTCTTGTTCCAGTGCTCGGCGTGAGTCTATTCAGGGCTGTGATGTACATTTCCGCTCCCATAGCCATCGTCAAGACTGCAATATCCGTTATCCACGGATACGTTGCTTCCTTGAATCTCAGTACGATCGACGTAAAAGAGCGCGAAGCACTTCGTAAAACCAAATAAGACATTTTTCATTCTGTCCTTTCTGTTCCTAGTCATTGTTCATTACTCCTGGTTTAATTGTGAATTTCAGACCATAGGAAATGAGTAAAAGGTAACAAATCCACATCCCCACTGAGGATTTCGAGAATATATCTGTGAGATTCAGATATATTTTTGCTACCCTTTGCCCGTTTGCTACCGAATCCAATCGATTGTGATTAGATCTGAGGGGAATTCTTGAAAATTGTACCTGTTCCACAGTGATAACACATTTGTGAGTGATAACTGCTGCTGCAGATGTATGAAATGACTAATAAAAATCCTAGCGTCTAATCCCGTCTTTTCTTTTCGTTGAGAAAATATTAACAAAGCAGGGATGATTCATCTCTGTGTCACGGGGATTTGGGGGTAAATATGACTCGTGGAAAATCACAGCTGTTTTTTTTTTGTTCTCTCCTGGGGAACAATAGATACGAACCCACACCCACGATATTCTCACCCCCCCTAGAAAATCCTAATCCCTTGTCAGGACAAATTAGCACCTGACTTCGAAAAATTTGCGATTAATTGGCGTAAGGACGAATAAAAAAACAAAAACAAATATTAAAAGCTCAAACTAACCTCAAATCCTCTATCGAATCCCCAGTGTTGCCTTCACTTCCTCTCAGGCGCCACAATCCCTTTGAACATTGTCGCATAAAACAAATTTCAACGTTGGGAATGAAAAATATTAATCAAGTGAAAAAACAGGCTCGATAACAATGACAGAAAAATGAGATAATACGAGGGGAATTTTCTCACGATTCTCACAATGGCAAATGAAAACCTCAGTTGCCAATGCCGGAGTGACACGAAAATTAATTTTACAAAAACATTGGATGATGTGGGGAAACTGTTGCCAAGTTGGGTTTTGCCGCGGTGGGGAGAGGGGGAGTGGAATGAATAGTCAAAATGTTGGAAACAAATGCCGGTGTTAGAACCTGCCAACTTCAAACTGACTGCTGTCAATGTATTGCGTGCATGTGGCATTTTATTGTCCCGAGGAATTTCAAACAATCTGCGTCGACGGATTGGTCGACTCTTCCCGCGCGTAACTACCCAGTTGATTCCACTTTTACTCGATTAATTATTCATGATAATTTTTCTCGAGGAATTCACTGGGAAAATTTACGAGGCGCTATTGAAAATTCCTTTTATTCTCGTTTCTTGTATAGAGCGCGGGATTTTACGCATTTTTCTGCTTTCTAAATAATAATCATTTTTTACAGAGGCGAAAAAATGTGGAGAGCGGTTTGCTGATTTTTCACTTTCGTAATTATGATTGTATCATTAGCGAGCATAATTAATTAAATTCAATAATCTGCAACATAATAGTTTAATCACAATCTTTTATATATTAACTAAAAGATCTCAAATGAATAGAAAATAATTTGAGATGCAAAAAAAATAGCCTTAACTATTTTTAGAGGTTATTTGCCTACAACTCTAAAATAATTATTCATCTGATAATTATCCATCCATAAAATTCCTAAAAAAATTCATGACAAATCGAGGATAATAGAAATGGTTGTAATTAGCTGTCGGTGCAAAGGCCAGACAGGCGGCAAAGTCATGACAATTAAAATTAAAAAATAACTGTCATTACCCCCATGAACGAGTAACCCATCCTGTCATCCCTCAAAACTCCTCCACCCTAGACTAGAGCTCCGAAAAATGCGAATCCATCAAAAACGGAAACTTCAAAATTTCGCGCGGCCGATCCCACTGCAAGTAAAAACTCGATTTTTGTTCATTTTTCATCTGCTCGCCAAAAATATGGCGGCCCCGCTAGCCTCCTCGGTTTGCTGCACCTGGTGAACCCCATCGATCAGTGAGTTCCACCTCAGTGCCACAACATCGTGTTCCCCACAAAAAAAACATCAACACCTGTGACTCTAAAACCGCGTCCACGTGACCCTGTATTATTGCCTCTTGATTCAATCACTTCTATAACCTCGAAAATTGTTTTCTCGCCCCCAACAGTGTTTCGTTGCGCGCGCACACCCATTAGTCCAAAAAATAATGTGTCAAAAAACCTCAGCCGCGAAGTACCCACCTCCCACCACCGAGGCATTACCAAAAAATCAAACCCCAGTAGAAAAATTAAAGCCGTCAAAATAAAAACCCAAGGTTCCCTCCCAGGCAATTACTCCCCCAAGCGAGTAAACAAAGTGTGATACTCCGAAAAAACAACAGATAAATTCAATGTTGAAGTGAAAATTCAAGCCAAAAATCAATGAAGTGAAGTGAAGACATGGCATACGCACCTTTGCCGAAATTGGTGCCAATGGGAAGCCCAAGAGTAGCAGCAGAGGAGGTATCCAAGGTGATGTATCCAGATCTGCTGCATTCAGAGCCAGTGCAGCGTCTGCTCAATCAACCCCATATCGTGATAAAGCCGATCAACATTCCGGAGATTTCATCCCCCAAGTCTCCCCATAAGAAGCGAAAATCGAGTAATGAGAGACGTCCTAGACCGGACATAACCATGTCATTGGTGGACACAACTCCCGAGGATTTTTTGCAGCCCCTGAAACCTCCGAAGTGTCCCTTGGAGCCACTGGAGCCTCTGGAGAGGACCTTGGGGGCCCAGGAGGATGCCGACGACCCCTTAAAGCCCTTCTACCTCCCCTCGAAATTTGATGGTGACTCTGGGATTTCCCTGCACCCCATAATCAACCATAGGAGGAAGTGCGGCCACTGGGAGCCCTGCGAGACCATTATCTGCGATGTCAATGTCCAGCAATACATCGATAGTACAGGCTCATCTCCAATGATTGCAACGAATATCACAGACTCCGAAATAACAGCTCCTGTGACCAAACACTGTGAGAATGCTCTCTGCGACGCCCTCAACATCGACCACAATCGTTGCAGGAGACTGAAGCTCAAATTAAATCGTTGCGACAAATTCAATGTCTGCGACATATGCGGGGCTATACTTAAGAACCGGAAGACGAGGGTTCATCACAGAAAGTGCAAGAGACGAGATGAGTACAGACACAATGAGGTCAATGGAGCGCAGTTACTCAAGGAGAGGATGAGGGAAAGAGAGATTCAGATAATGGAGGCTATCAGGACCAAGAGGAAAGACTACGTCAAGGCAGAAAATGATAATGACAGGGCAGCTGAGTGCTTGAAAAATAATTCGGAGCTTATTCTCATACCCAAAGCACCGGTCCAGGGAAATCAGCCGTTTATATCTGTGAAGAATCTGAGTTCCATGTCGGCCCTCACTCCAACCGTTCAAAATCTTCCAGCCGTTCTCCAGCCCCAGCCTCAGCACCCGAGAATCTTTGTTAACAGCGCCAAGTTGATTGCTCCTAAATCCGATAAGAATCTTGTCCAGCCAGCTAACAATTCGATATCTTCGATATCTAATTTGGAAACTGGAAATTCACAGAGTCAGGATCAACTTATCGGGGATTCTGCACAGCCCAGGGCTATAGCCTATCCTTTGAACGTCAATAATTGGACGGCCCAGGGGGCACCAGTGACGTCGAAGCCTATGGTTATGCCCATCACCGTCGTCCCCATAGCCAATCTTAAAAGCGAGCCCTCCATGCTCCACAGGAAGGAGGGAATTCCAAGGTTTTGCATTATTGCTAATAATACCATTCAGATGCAGTCCTTTGTAACTGTACCAAATGCCCAGACTGTCTCAAATCCTGGGAAGTCGGTGTTTATCAAACCTAATCCTGTGATGCCCATCCGACCTGCCCCTGCGGGCATCACTCGTCTCCCCAGGCCCGGGGATAAATTCAACAAGATCGTGGCGAGGAGGAGAATGAAGTACAAGAGGAGGAAGAAGGGAGAGAAAAAACCCTTTGAGTGTAGTTACTGCTCAAAAAGATTCTTGACTGATTGGTACTTCAAGGTGCATGTCGCCAAGCACAGGGGGGAGAAGAGGGTCAGGTGCGAGATCTGTGAGACTGTCTATAAGAACGATAGTGAGTTGAAGAAACACGTTAGCAGCGAGCACAGGAGCAAGGTTGAGGTCAAGGTGGAGGAGGAGGAGATTGACGAGGATCCAGAGTTTGAGGGTGGGGAGGAACAGGGTGATGGAATATCAGAGGGAGAGGGAGAACAGGAAGGAGAACTGGCTGTGGAAGGAGGTGAGGGTGAGCAGAGGGGGGAAGTTGTCTGTGAAAACTGCCAGACGTGTTTTGAAACAATTCTGGATATGGAGAATCATAGCTGCTTGGATGTCAATGGAGTGTTCACTGAGGTTGAGATTAAGTATGAGGAGGTCGTCGAAGAAGAGGACATCCCTGAAGATCCCGAGGACGACGGGATTGAGGGGTATGAGGGGCTGGAGGAGCTGGAGGAAATAGAACAATTCGAAGAAGTGAATGGTGAGACTGACCCTTTGGGGATAGATGAAATCAATGACAGAGTCAATGGGGACTTTGAGGATTCTGAGAGCAATGAACACCACTGGTTGACTGTGAAATCCTGGCATTCTGGGGGGGATGAGGATGAGGTCTCTCAGGTGTTCATAACGGAAAGAAAACGCAAAAGGAAATGTAAGAACTTTGTCTGTTTTTTTTTATTTTTGTACTATTTTGGGGATTTTTATGCGTTTGGCAGCTAACAATTCATTTTTTTTTCTAGCAATTTACCGATGAGATGACAAAACTCTGGAGACCGCATCACATTCGTAAACATCATATGAAGAATATGACATCACCGAGTGACTTATGGTGATAATTTTTTATACACATGTGTTCTGAATAATGGAGTGAGAATTAACATAATGTTAATGTGGACCTCAATTCTCCATGCGGTGACGTGTCAAAGACAATGTTTGATATCAAATTGTGGAATAGTTAGGGAAGTCGTTGGTGGGAGGACTGCTTCAGTTTCGGATGCTAGTCAGCTGTGAGAAATTAACGACAATGGACACTTGGAAATATTCTCCATTAGCATCTTCTTTTTTATTAATCACTTCACACATTATTTAATCGAGCATTGATGTTCCTCGATCAGGAGTCCTGATGTTTCCACTGTGCCTTTGAATATTATTAAAAGATATCAAACGAGGAACTGTCATTTTTATTCTCGGAGTGCTGATTTCTTTGACCTTTATATTTTTCGGTAAGACTGTAGTGGCTTTGCATTCGGTTGGATACAATTTTGTAATTAATTGGAACGGTACATTTGTAAATGCAGTATTAAATTCTGAGGGATATGGACGTATTGTGTCGGTACAAAATTTAATAAATGTTTTTGGTATTTCAATGGTTTATTATTGGGGAGATTAATCTTAACTTACAGAGGTAATGAGAGAGGGCTCGTACAAGGGATCATATTCTGTCGAGGGCCTCGAGCATGATTACGCTATTCCCTCGAATCACCTGCAACAGAAATAATTATTAATAATTATCCTCCAGGAGTAACGAGAATGTCTGAGCATTTGATTCCATTATTCATTTTATATTTACCACCATCCCTATGTTGTTTTTGGTTCCATCCTTGCATTCTTCAATACTCTCATCGATTACCATATTCATGAAGGGATCGAACCCCCTAAGGATGCCCACAACATGTCTTCCTCCGTTCAACTTTACTGCAAATAATATTTTTACAATTTTTCTCACTCTATTAGACTCCATTTGCCTCTGGGCTTGATAGGATCCATTATTTTCCTTAAAAAAAAAAAAAATTGGAGGTTCGAATACTCACGAGATAATTTCTTGTCCATGTACCTGCGAAAAAAGATAATTGTTGAAATTCGGAATATAAAATCTAACCTACAATTCCACTGCTCTTTATTATCGTTAAACAAACCAGAAATTTTGGATAGTACTCACTTTTTCAGCTCTGGAGGGTGTGCCTTGCTCATTTTACTGAATTATTGTTATCAAGTAATCTCCAAAAATGATACACAAATGCGCAAACGTTTTGGAGTATTTTGGAAGAGGTTATTCTGTGTACAACCGACGCGCGAATAAAATCCAAACGATCCAAACACTTCAAGAACTCAAACGGTAATCGAGTTGCCGCTCTTTCCAACTCGCCGGCGATCGAGAAGTCGATCCAATATGGCGGAATTGGCGGGCAAGCGGGATGCGTTCCGGTGTTTCCCTCAATGTTTCGTGTAAGTGAGACGAAAACATAATAAGTAACAATTGTGAGTCATTAAACGATAACAAAAAGTAAACACATTATATTTCCACGCATTAATCCAATCTTAAATTGTCGGAAAAACGTAGAAGTGTTAATTTTGGTGAAAAGAGTGCGGAAACAGTGTATTAGTTCATGAAGAAGTTTTGTTTGGATTTGATTTTTGGAGAAGTGACATTTATCCTTCAATGTCAGAAGAAGACACGAATAGAAGGAGGAATCCATATATCAATCTGGTATTTGCACAATAATTTATTCTCAACTATACCTGAACAATAAATCGGGAGAAACGATTACACATATATATTTATGTCCGTATAACGTAATTTATCATTCAAAGAATTAATGATGACAAAGGTACTCTCGACTCGCAGCCTAATGGCTGTTAATTTCATTGCCTTATCAGTTTAATTGAGAAGACATGGAAAATTAATACAATTACCACTCATTTATTCCTAGCGATGGTTCAAAAAATAGAAAACAACTGATTGAAGTTACCTCGGTCATTTGATTATCCATAAACAATCAAAAATTGATTCAAAATATTTTCTTTCAATTTTTTTTTGTATCTCTTACAAGTACTTATGATCTATGATATGTGTTCCGGATATCGCGTCCGTCAAATCATCTCCTTCCGTAATTACTTATCCAGCGTGAATAAATAAAATAATCGAGTGGATTATTACTGATAGAAGTATTACTTCTTGCAGTTAAATTCACTTGTAGGAAATTATTTTTGCTCTCAGTAGGAGAATTAGACTTGATCACGAGGGGCGACCCAAAAAAAAATCCATTCTTTCTGTGCTGTCAAACCAAATTGCTGAATTTCCCGGAAATTACTGAATTGGAGAAACGATGAGAATTCCTCAATCATTATGAATAGTTATTATTAAAATTTTCTACTTTCACCTAAGTTTTCCCAACATTTCCGACATCAATTTTCCATTTTCATGGATTTTCTCGAAAAAATGAACTCTCAATGAGAAAAATTCAATGGCACTACAACCTTTTTAATATTTTAAGACAGATGTCTGGGAAATTCAGTAATTTTTTTCAAACGGTTTATAATAGGCCAGGGGCGCACACGAAGATATATCGATAGAATTTGGAATTCTGCAACTGCCTATCCCCGCACTCTCAATCGTTTCAAATTTTTAAGTAGGACGTATATTATTCTGTAATGCCTCCTCAGGTCTCGAGGGCAAAGTATATGAATACTATGCAAATATATATTATGTGTATATTTTACGTTGTAGCTTAAATATCGGGTAGAAGATAAAAATATAATTTAATCATAGAATATACTCGCATTAACATTCACAGTTTTAAAACTCTCCTCTCGATGCATTTAGGCAATCGCATGATATGTTTTTTGTTTTCTACATTTTTCTCCTTGTACATTTATTAATCACGATGCACTGATGCATTGGAAAATCATATCTATCTCTATACGAGGGTAAATCCGAAATTCATATTCAATAATCGTGAAATTGTGGGAGAGAAAAAAATAAGCAGAGTCTCTTCAAATGGACTTGAGTCCCTTATGCGTAAAGACTACAGTTAACATTTGTGCTGCTACGTCAAAGGACGTAACTAGGGAATACATTTCCTACCTCTTCTACACTGATATGTTTTGTATTATTCAGTCGTAGTGATCGAGTAAATTGGAAGTCACACTGTCTCGCACTCGTATCGTATTAATAATCTCGTTAATTCGTCGATCCAATTCCACTACCTGTCCGATTGCACTCGATCCATCGCTTTTTATAACGTTTTTTTATTCTCTCCATTCATTGATATGCACGTAGGACAGTGGATTTAGGACAATTGGTCGGCGAATCAAGACATTGGGCTAAAATAAAATCGAGTCGCTAAGGAAATAAAATTCATTTAACGGCGGTACTTTCTCTCTGATATGTTTAATCTTGTGGGGTTTTTTCCGGTGGTGTCAGTTTAGAGGAACAATCCCCGCTTGTAGAGGAGATTGCGATTGTGCTGGCCCTGGGTAATTCGCTTTTCGCCGGATGTGTACTGAACAATTGATTTTATTTGGTCAGTTGCCACTGGACCGATGCAGACTAGTGGATCCTTGAAGTATGAACAGACTTTCCTCGTCGCCTGACGGTGACGACGCTGAATCTGACAGCACAAACCCCTGGTGATATCGCATTCCCGTGACATCAGGCACTCCTCACCTGAACAATTGCAATTTTTCGCGTCAAAAATTATTTCACAGAGATTTTACTCTGGCTTTTGGCTCTTCAGGAATTTTCACCCTGACATTTCAGGAAAAAGTGCCGAGGGTATTGGAATAATCAAAATATTTCCAGGAATTGTCGTTATTTAAAATCCAAAATTTCGTAGAAAAATCAATAAAAATGGTAAATGTCAGTTCCTTTATCCTCTGGATATTGACAAAAAAGAGGGCAGTGACAGGAAATTACTTTTTAAATATTTATGTGTCATGAAAAATTGAAATGAAATTTCATGAAATTTCATGTTTTTTTTCCTAAAATCAACAGTCCATTACTCGACTTATTCCATTCCTCGGTAAAAGTAGTAAATCGCGATAAGCTGAATTTTAAAGTTGTGTTGAATATCGATTTATCTCCAAAACAATCGATTTCAGTCGAAAACATGAAATTACCTTTCTTTTCGGAGATTAAATCGGCTAGAAAAAAGTTCTTTAATGTTTCCACCTTAACCCGATGGTTATCGAAACAAGTTGGCATGTTATAAAAACGTTAAATGCGATTTATTCTCCTTTACCACTTCATTACTACCTTACAAGTGCCGTTTTAATTTGTGGATAAAACGTTTTGAAGGGGAACTCACTGTACTGCTTGTTGGATGTCACCGGGGGCTGACAGGACCTCGTGTCCCCACCAGCAACATCAGCGCACATCAGCCCCGTTTCGCAATCATTATCTCTTGCACAAAGCTCACCCTGTTTCAACCCCCAGGCATAGAAACAAGTGCCCTCCGGTCCTAGAGTGAATAAATTCCATTTCTAGAATCTATCTGTTAACCAGCAAAATCCTCCAAATCCTCCAAAATTTTCCACTCATTATTTTTCCAACTCCGTCAGCTAATTAAAGTGCACCATTCCACGTCACGTAGTAGGAAATCAACCTGATAATTATTTGCTAATTTTCACAACTTTGTCTCATCAACCTGAGAATTTGAGTTCAATTATGAATTTTTCATTTCTTAATTTACTATTTAATCGCATAATGCAATTGTACTGACTGTCGAAATTTCCCTTGAAATTGAAATAGCAATTATTCCCGAGAACTTTTTGCCTCGGGGCTCGAACAGAAGTCCAATACCATTTCGATTAAATTCCCAATCAACTGTCAATCACGAGCTCAACGGATTTAATTGAATCTGAATAAAACGAAGTTTCAATTCGGATTGCAATGGGCTATCTCGAAAAATAATGAAATAATTCTCACCACCAGCGACATTCATGCATATTTGTCCGGGACAGCAATGCTCATTAGATCCGCAGGGCCTGTGATCGCAGGGATCATCATCACCGGCAAATTGAAGCCCCTCGCCAAAATCGTTGCCGTAATGACCAACCAGTGGTCGCTGGATCAATATACAATTACGTCACACATTCATGCCATTTGAAAAACGTAACACCCACGTCAATGACGTTCAAACGATAGCATCTAATTACCTGTAGATAACTGGGCTTATACCCCCCCTGTCCCCCATATCCAAGATTAGACAGCATTTCCGGTGTGAAGCGGTTGAAGAGACCACCCCAGGCATCAGCGCCTCCATTCATCGCCAGAATAACCGCGACAACGATTGCACAGATAAAGCAACTCTTCCCCATGATCCGCTAAGATATTTCCTCTGATCTTGAGTAACGACACCCTACAAACAACAATCCATTACTTCCCAAGGGGAATCATCCAATTAATGATAACTCACAGGCTCACAGTTGGTTAAATAAAATCGTCAATCTTTCACACCCGATTTAAGTCGCTGCTAGCCCAGAGGAAGGTGGAGATACTTCTGAGTCGACAATTTTCAGAACACCTGCAGGAGGGAACTGAGCCCTCGGCGCAGCCTCTATTCCACCCTCAGGAAACGAGAAAAACCCCTCTCAACGCATGCGCTCACTTTATTTCCCTCTTCCTATCGCTTTTCATCCCTCTCCATGATGCTATTGAGTCGGAGAGCTAAAGTAACTTTGATATTATCCTTTGTCGGTTGAACTGTCTAAGTCTTTCACTCAGCTCTCATCTCTCATCACTAACAATAATTCACAGCCCGAGGGCCTCTGCCTCTGAATAAATTACCATCATCTTCGTCAATTCATCTCATTCCGAGTAACAGAGGACTCTAATTAGTATGCCTCCTGCTTCTGCACTTCGGTTTCAGGATCAATTGTTATTTATCAGAAATAGTGAAATGCTAAAGGTAAAGGCCGTCACTGGCAAGTTGAAGCGATTCAACAACTTCGTGGGCGGATACAACGTATTTGCTCCATTTGTTCAATAGCTTTTGTTCGTTTTTTTCCCACTTCCTCGATGTATTCAACTCTTTCCACTCGTTTATTGATCCGTCCATCTCGCTTTTATTACGTGTGGGGGGGTAGAGAGGGGAGGGAAAGACGTAATCTCGTGCACAGTTGGGTTCACTTGTAAACTGCAATCACTGGTCTTTTATACAAATCCGTACAGTCTTCTTATGGATTTTTCGAATGCTTTAGTTCAAGGTCAAGCGCGGTTTTTAACGAGAATTCTCAAATCGTACGTTCCTCAGACATGCAACAGGGTGGAATTACTTAAGACTTTTTTTCATATAAAAATAGTTTAATAAATAGACAGGGTGATGACAATAAATAGATCGTAATTGGAATTCATCACTATACATAAATTAAGGATGATTTAGGTTTAAGTTATTATTTACAATGAATTGGAAACTGTTACTTAATCTTTTATCAATTATTCAGTAGCGAAGTGATGTGAGCCGAATTGAACTTTTTTTTTGGTAATTATTGATTTATCTCGACCACTGGCGGTTTGAGGAGAATATGGTAGAGGAATTTTTTGGTGGTGATCAAATTTCTGGTAGAAATGATATTTTTATATTTTTTCATCAAATCAATGGAGTAGCCCTGGGGTAAAGGGTAACAAGTCGGCTCGCATTTTTTGTCGATTTCTTCAGAAATATCTCGGGATTTAAGAGAGATAGTGAAATTTTTCGTAATAGTGATTTTGCAGAGCGCAATGAGAACAAAAAAAATCTTTACGAAAATTTCACAATCTCTTGTAAATTTAGAGGGATTAATGGAAAAAAATACGTATTAGCGAAATCGACTGGTTGATCTTCACCTTTTTGCTGCAGAATAGCTTTCGGAATGAATCAATAATTTAAACTAGTGAATTCGATTTATATCAGTTTGATACTGAATTAAGATGCACGTCGTTGACTCGTTTGTACAATTTATACAGAGCTAGATGAGGGAAGACACGAAGCTCTCAGCCCTCCATTTCCATTCTCCAATAATTAATTTATTGTTGATTTGACGGAGTGTTTATTTACACCCCGGTGATGCTGTGGAGCCAGGGTTTGAAGAATGTTGTTCTCATGTAGACACCGGGTAGATAGGGGGCTGCACATCTTATTCCATGGGAGACAGTCCCCACGAGTTGCCACCTACCGTCTGGTCGTTCCATCATCAGGGGTCCACCGCTGTCACCCTGATGACATGGGAATTAATGAGGATTAGATATTTATCGGGATTCACCTTGAGACTAATAGATACATTCGAAAAATCCATCCAGTTAAAAATAATGATTGAATCAATCAATCCTGTCTTTAGTAAATATCTCGAAATTGAAGCGAGCTATCGATATTTTTTATTATACATTTTTTGTAGAGAAAAGTAAGCGCTGGAAAAAAAGTCGTTACGAAAATGTCGGGATTTTTCTTCAATCTCGAAATATTTGGGAAAATCTCATTCAGGAAAATGTGAATTTATCCCAGTTTACCGCTTTCGTACTGAAATATCGCTGGATTAATTAATGGTTTAATTTTTATAATTAATGGCTTACCTCGCAAGAATCTTTCTCTCCTGTGGCATAACCTGCACACAGGAAACTCTCGAGGATTCTTTTGCTGTGGCCCCCCTTTAAGAACAAGTCCTGGCAATCGGCATTCTTCATTACTGGGACTTGCACTTCTTGCAGGAGAGATGGTATTCCGCCGTCTGGAGAAATTCACAGTCCAATTAGACCCGCTTGTTTTTTTTTTCGAAGATTTATCTATTTTTCGAAAAACGCATTTCTCGAGAAGAAACAAGTCCAATCTTCGCAGTGATTTATTTCTTTCAATAGTTTTCCTCAAATCCGGGGGAAATAAAAATGATATTACAACAGTAAAAATAAGGTTTCTATTTTCAAGGAGAATTAGATTCTTGATGGAGAGATAACGTGTAACTAGTGAAACACATAAATGAGTCGCTTCGCTTTAATAATATTCTTGCCTGGGAGCACTTGAACAAACCAACAGATTGTGAGTAAAAAATAAATTGGCGAAACTCACGAACGTTGGGAAAATGTAAATGCTCGCTACATCCCGTGAAATTTATTATTTAATCAGTAACTCGCAGAAAACCTCTTCGTTCTCTCTAAGTTGTAACTCCATATAATATGAAGATGCTACACATCATTTTTTTTTACTCCAGTTCCTGTGAAATTTCCGCAACTGCTGAGCGATTTTCGCAAGCATAAATTTACGACTACCTCATGCATTTGGAAATGAGCAAGACCTAATGCGGGATATTGAAATTTTTATGGAGAAAGTGGGCAAATCGAGGGCAAAATGAGCCATAAAATTGCTATGAATTCGTACCAAAGGCAATGCCTGATTTTTTTTTATCTTCGTTTGGAAAGTAGGAAGTGAAGAGATGATGTGATAAAGGGGTGAAAATATTTTCGGGGAATGCGATAAATTTCCGGTGAAAATGTTGACCGCATGTTAAATGCAAATGCATTCAGATTAATGCGCAAATGTTTAGCATATTTGATTAATGGGAGACAATTAATCACATGAATTTTGTACTCACTGTATTTGACGCGTCCCCAGCCGGTTACGGTGGCCATTTGTCCTGTGAAATCAGCATCATCGCCTGGCATGCAAATAGGGACAATGTGCGCGTCAAATTGAACTGGTGATTCCAGTTCCAACAGGGCCAAGTCATTCTCAAAGGTCGCTGGATTGTACCCACGGTTTACTATCACCCGTCGTACATTTCTCGTAACACTTCGTCGTGTCTCTAATTCACCGGAAATGTCGAATTCACCAAAGACCGCTACCAAAGAAGCTAAGAACCTGTTTCAGTCATAAAAATGAACTTGAGTATATCGTGAAAGTTAAATCACCAACTTTAATTGAGTTATGTCTCATGATTCAAGTTTATGTCAGCCGATGACATGCTGTTAGAAATTTTCCACTTTAATTTCTCGTAAATGTTCGGAAAAGTTCGATACAGTGACGTTTACACTAGATTTTAAAAACATCACTTCATGGAAAATCCACACGGAGGAAAGAAAATATTTTTTCCAATTAAATTTAGAGGCTTGAATTTAAACGGTGATTTTATGTAGAAAGCCATTTGCCCAAGTGGATTTACTTGTCAGATTTTTTTTTCTTAATACATAATGTCGTGAGAAAATTTATGAATTAATTGATGAGTGTTAATTTCAGTTTAGTGGTTCTTAGAGAGTTAGACATGCGAATACTTTTGGAGTGTTATCATTTTTAAAGAGATTTGTTCTGTTGATTGAAGTACATTGTCCTCAAATGACAGATTGACATACCCGGGTTGACAATGGGCAGCTGTGATGACGTATTTGTCGGTAATGAGTACCCCACCGCATTTGTTCTTAGTCATCAACCCGAGCCACGATGATTCTCGAATGAGTACTTGCCATGGCCATTCGCCAAAGGTCGAGTCCTTCCCACCGACAATTCTACCTGCGCGTATCAAAGGCCTCACACCACACTCTGTAAACGATAATATTTATTTTTAATCCCCTCGCATAGTAGAGATAACACGAGGCACTGAACCGGGACGACGGAGGAAAAAAGAACCGGGGAAAAATTACGGTCTAATTTGTTCGTTTTTACACGCAGAGGAAGTCTTCGTTTTAGTGCGGAATGAAAAATTAGGACATAACGAACTTTTATGGGGAATTGTTTTTTTTTACGTTGAGACATAGGAAATCAATTCGAGATCGTAATAGGAGTTTTTAATTGTGTACTTGAAAGTTTCATGTACACCCTAATATTTCATAGATTAGCTCCCAGAAAGAATTGAATGTCAGAGAAAAATGAAAGGTGAAGATCAAATCTCTGTCTCGATATTCCGAAATCCTTCAAAGAAAAATTATCTTTGCCCTCGAAACCCTCCGAATCCACCACAAATGAAGAGTCCTCTCTACAACTCTGACCTTTTCCCAGTAAATGGCAAGGAACCCGTCGACACCCTAACGCAAAGCCCTATATCTAGTTAAATCGCTGTAATAAATTCCCCACGACGAATCAACCCACAAGTACCTCAGCTCAAATTTCTCTCCCAAATAATCTCCCCTAAAACCCACGAATAACTCACGTGTGCGATAATCCGGCGTTGTACTGACACCCTCGGTAGTCTGAGCTACTTGTAACTCGGTAACAACAGACTGCGTCATAGTACTCCCTGCAGAAGTGGTGACACTAGCTTGAGTGGTTGCTTTCTTGGTGGGTCTGGGACGTTTGCTGGTGGGTTTTCTGGTTGTCCCTGGGACACTGGAGACAGGCGATGGTTTCGCCCTGACGGGTTTCACAGTACTACCCCCAGGTTTGCTGCCTGGCTTTTTCGTCGGTCGTCTCGTGCTCCCAGATGTTGCAGGTCGTCGCGTAATCACTGGCTTCTTCGTTGGTGCCAATGTCGCAGCCACGGTGGCATTTTTTCTCCTGTAAATTACGTCCTCGAGATTCTGGAAGTCTCCCTGGAGTGAATCCACGATCTTGTTGACCAAATCATCAACTTTATCCTTGAGAATGCCATCCTCGATGAAACTGGGAGTTGGAATTTCGTTATCAGTGATTATTTCACTCCCTGGATAGCCTGGGTACCCGGTGTTATTGAAACCCTCGACAATTGTTGGTTTTTCCTGCTGAGAGGTTGGGCTTGAGTCCGTTAAACTCGGATTGCGATCAGGGGGAAATGCGGAGAGATCGTCTGGAGGTGCTGTGATTTCGTCGCAGTTCGGTGTAGTCCCTGGAGTATTGGGTTTTTTGGTGGATATCGGTTTGAACTCCAGAGTTTGCACTGGCATCAGGTTCTCGGGCCATTGGAAGTCGGGTCCTTGGGGTTTTAATTGAAAACTGGGTTTACTAGCCAAGGATACTGTCGTCCAGGTTGTTGGTTTCTTCGTGATTACCTCAGTCAGAGGCGGAGGCTTTTTCGTCATTATCTGAGCTGTAGGCGATGGTTTTTTCGTGATTATCTCAGCTACCGATGAAGGCTGCATGGTGATTATCTCAGTTACCGGAGACGAAGAGCTGGGCCTCTCTTTGAGATCGACGTTGATGTAACTCGTGGATATGATGTTGCTGGTGCCTGATGCACCTGGTGACGTGGAGATGACCGTGCTGATGTTGTGGGTGATTTCCGTTCCGTGAATGGGGCTGGGTTGTTTCGTCACGATGTTGGGTCTGATTGAGGGGAGTGTGGTGCGTCTTATGAGGGGTTTGGGGCTTGTTATTGTGGTGAATTCTGTGCCCAGGGGCCCTAGGACGATGAGTGTTGGGGCTGGGGGGTTGGTTGTGGGTCTCGTCGAGGGATAGCCTCCTGGGGAGCTGCTGTAGGTGCTTGCACTTGATGGGGAGTAGCTGTAGCTCGGGGAGTGGCTGGAGTAACTGGGGGAATGACTTGAATAACTCGGGGGATGACTTGAGTAGCTCGGGGGGTGACTTGAGTAACTGGAAGATTGGCTTGAGTAACTTGGGGCTTTTGTCGCTCCCTTCTTGAATGTCATCGTCGAGGCACTCGTATCATAGTAATAGAAATTGGGGGGTTTTGTTGAGGGTTTGTGGAACGTATACGGAAAGGTATCTCCATTGGTGGTAGGAATTGACGTGTCCTCGATGGTCACCCATGTGTGAACCGATGATGTCCGGTCCGTCGATTCCACCTGTTGTGACGTAACTCGGGGTGGATTAACTGGTACAGATGGATTAGCAGGATTACTACCGTTTAGAATCGATATTATGTGATTAATGGCTATTTCCTCGCGGTCCATGTTGTTGTCGTGTTTTTTATTGGGGCTCTCGTGGCTTATTGTTGGCACTCGGACGAGACCAGCTGTACTCGACTGGGTTGTCGCTGTGACTCGGTGGGTATTCATGTAGTGAACTGGTCCTGTCATCTTCTTTGTACTGCTCGAGGTCCTCTCGGTGACGAATGTCGAGGGTGTGCTTCGGTTCATCGAGTTGAATAATTGCTCGAAATTAACGTCCTCGTTGCCGAGGAGAGTTCCATTCATGTTGAGGAGAACTGTCTCGGCACCTGTGTGATTATTTTGACCGATTCCCTGGGAGAATAACGCTGGGAGTTGGTCGACAGGGTCAGCTATCTGGAGGACTTGGTCTGGACTAAGGAGAGTTGTCACTGGATTCACTGCTGAGTCTTGGTGGTCCTGGTGGTCCTGGATGTCGTTGTTATTCGAGTTGGTTAGTAGACCTGGGAGTGAGAGGTCGTCGAGGATATCCTGTTGCCCGAGGAGGGCGGGAAAGTTTTGCTCCAGTTCTGACATTTGCGATGTTAAACCTGGGGTTGATGCCGTATGCTTTGTAATGGATTGTGATTGATCGTTTGTATCCAGGGGCGTGCCGTCTGGCTTCAGGAGGATTGGCACTTCTGGGACGTGATCAATTTCCTGAATTTCCTCGAGTGATGCGGGTGATACCCCGTGCAATGCACCACCCGCTGGTGAAGTTGATGCCACAGGGGGCAATTGGCAACATGCACCGAATAGAAATCCGTCCATACATGCGCCCACGACTTCTCCATTTCTCCTGTTGCACTCGTAATTGAACATGCATATTGGAGGCTCTGGGGATTTTATCCTCGAGGGATTCGTCGGTTGACACACTTTCGGGACTATTCTGTAGCCGCCGAATAATTTTCTACCTGTTTTGGAGAGACAACTCGATTAATTAGTGCCAATTGACAAATTACCATTTTAACCGCTTGCTGTTATCGCGAGTACTAATCGAATTATTCCATGAAATTGAAAGATCTGATGATTGGGGACTGACCGTTTTCATAAAAAATTTAAATAAGTTGAGTAATTTTTATTTCATTAACGCACAAAAATGAAATTTCATTGAACTTCCACTCAACTTGAAATTAATACTTGAATTTGAACTAGTTATCGGTGAATTTAGTACACGGTCCCCATATCGTTTGAGTAATTTCTGATTCACATCACGAATAGATTCAATCATTCAAACAACCTTCAATTATTTCAATCGAGAATTTTTCTCTGGGCGGTTCCGTGCATTCCAGACATCGTGCAGGATGCACGCAGGTGTTTCTAATTTATTGAATATATATCACTGAGAGGATTAATTTCTAAACACGCAGTAACGTCTTTGTACACGATTGCACAGTGATTCGGTATTTTTGCAGTCGGGTAAGATGCATTGCAAGTAGACAGGTCATAAATAAACGATAAATAGAGTAGCGCAAGTCGTCTATTGCGCTTCGCCTAGCATCATCGATCCATATCCAGGGCTTGCTTTTGAGCATTGAAACGAGTGAACACTCGAAATTTTTTCCAAACCCGCAGACCATATATCAAATTTCCAATATCAAGTTATTGAATTAAAATAATACAATAAAATCATAATTAAACAATTAATAATAACACTGTGATTTTGATTGCTGATCTTGATCTTCATGGAATAATTTAATTAAAGTATCAAGGAGTTCATTAATTCCAAATATTGATCATTTAAACAGAAAAATAAGGGATGACAATTTTTTAGACGCAGGGCTGAAAATTAGAATGGATTATTTGAAATTTAAAAAATTGTGTTATTCCCACCAGAAGCACAAGAGCACCGACAACCTATCGACCATGAAAATAAGCCACTGATTTACCTCTGTTCTCGTTCTGAGGTAGAGCTAGTGCCGGAATGATCGTCAGGTATAAGACTAACAGCCGGTAGATGCTTGCCATCTAAAAAAAAAATGTAAAACTAATTATTTGTTGAGAATTCATTAAAATTTATGGAAAGATTTTCAATTAAGTTTTTTTGCACTCATTATGAATAGAATGGAATTTTAAATCGACCGGAATTTCCAATTTCAATATAAAAATAATCGCCCGAATTTGATATATTTTCAATAATTAATTAAATGAGAATTTTATTGAATATTCACGATATGTTCTTGATTTTCAAGTGCCAAAGAGCAAAAAAATTTGCGTTTAATTTGAAACAAATAAAAAATTTCACGACGTTTTTCTGTTGGGGAACTGTTACTCACGGTTACCAGATTTATGGGCAAGGCCCTACCTGATTTTCACTAAGAAAATTTAAATAAATTAAATGTAGATTTTGGTTGCGAGAAATTTTGCGAATTTGTTTTAGAGTCGGTGGCGGGTATTTTTGACCGGTGGTTATCAGATTTATGGTCTTAATGGATGGTCCATCGTGTGGAGTTGTTGAAGATGTATCTTAAGCTCGGGTTTATCGCGTGTTTCACGCACATCTTGGAGGCCCGGGTGAGCCTCGGGGGAATACCGTTAGCCAACCGAGTATGGCGCTCCAACGAGTGCCTATGACATATATAGGATGTTAAAGAGACAGCCATCATTGTTGGCGAATAATTCCAAGTCATTGATACGATAGAAAACAGAAAAAATTGGAGGGACTTGTTTTGATTGACGAGGTATTGAGTATTGGCGACATGATCCATTGGATTCATAGGGATTGACAATTGTCGGAGGATACAATATCACCCGGTAACCCACTTCTCAATTATTTTCTATTTAACGTGCCATTCCTGGGACAATTGCTTCAACAATTACAACAGCTAGTGGTCAATCGTAAATTCTCGGTGATTAATTCTACCTCTGATTTTTCATTCTTTCATCTGAGATTTTTTATGCCCCCCAGTTGGTTTTTACGTGCGTTCATCTTCTCAACTATTTCTGATTATACAATTTTCTCGCTGGTTAATGTACGCGTCAGAATATGGTAATTTGTGTAATAACAGAGGTTTTACTTGAGGCGCATCTCTCATTGCGGAGAAAGCGTCGTTCCTGATTCTATTTGGTTTATCCGTGGTTTCTTGGTCGCAATCTGGGTGACCCGATTGCCTCCACCACAATCTCGTGATGAATACGTGGGGAATACCAGAATCAGAGTTGCCAGATGGTGATTTGGTAAATTTTATACCGTCGCTATTCATCAAGTGAAGTCGATAGCGCGATCAGTTGACACTTTAAACGATGGATTTGATATTTCAGACCTCAAACTTAAAAACTATTATTGGCAAATTTTACCATCTGGCAATCCCTGACCAGAATTCGATTCTCTCATTCACTACTTTCTGCAGGATTCTCTGAGGTATACAGTAGATTTTATCTTCTTTTTTTTTCTTTTTAATTTCGAATTTTAGTTGGGGGACATTTTTTCGATGATCGATTTAAAATCGACTGACCGTCTTTTTAAAAACCAAAGTGGTGGAACAAATCGGCCACCTCTTCAATTTTTCTGTTATCCTGTTAAATGTTAAAAGTTAAAAAAAATTGATTTCGCCTAATTGGAATTTTCTAATAGGATACCAGAAGATGTGATGAAGGTTCCGGGTTTATTTTGACATTTAGCTTCCATTTATTGCAAACTGTTTGACAATTCCTTTCCTACGGTATTCGACACTTAGAAAATTGAACACTCATCCCGTCAGGATTCGAAGAAAATGGTATTTGTATACCAGGTTCAATTGACGTCTAACAAATGTAAATTCTCGCTCTACCGTTTCGCTACTGGTATTATGTATTTCTCGATTTTATGGATTTCTCGTCTGGTTGTTTGATGGTTCGTCTGCAATGGTTTAGCTCCCCCGATCTCTTATTTGGGAATTGGGACGGTTATGGGAGAAGAGAAATCCTGTTGTGTATTTGAGTTTTTTTTTTATGCGGTGAGTACACTCAGGCGCAAGTGGTACTTGTTCGCGACATGAATGCAAATTGATGCGTGAGCTCGATTTGTAGGTTGCCCGCAAATTGCCGGTAGTGTATTTTTTATTTATTTATTTTTTGTAAGTTCGTCTGGATGAACTAGATTTTAATTTCGATGGGGGAGGGGTATTTCGCTTGGTCACTTGTTTATGGGACTTTCCATTTTCCATTGGCTATTCACTTTCTAAGTTGAACAATTGCCGTTAGATATTATCGCCGGAGGTCTCAATTGTTTCAAGTGTTGATGCATAGGTGAACACTAGGACATTTCTTTCTGTCGTTGGTTATTTAATGGCCGTTGCAAGGACGCGAAACATTTTTTCAAGTGCATTTGTGCGAATTCCTTCTCGTCTTCATGTCGTTACGGCATTGGGATAATTAACGTAATGAATATATCGAAATTTTTCTACATATTCAGAGGAATAATCTAGGTTTTTTAATTAGTAATAACAAGAATAATTTCGATTCCAGTTTTTTCGGTGTCTCCAGAATTTTTCCATCTGTTTGACTGACAATTCGCAATTTTTGAGAATATATTCTTGAATCTCTCAAACATATTTTCTAATCTCTTGAAATGAATAAATTCTTCCCGTCCTGCTTTAATAACCCGAAAGGACTCCCTTAAATTTTCATAAAAACTAAATAATCGAGAGGCTTTTTCCCAATTAAACTACAATCTCCCCCTAAAATAGAAATTACTAAAGAGAGTGACTCCAACAAACATTTAATTATCCCAAAAAATGTTTACCAACAAAATGGTCACATTTAATTTTCCCCTGACCCGTTCCCTCATTAGTTCACTCCACCCTAGACAAAACGATACCACGAAATGATTTATCACTCCCTCGCACGGGGGGGAGGACACACCACCCTAATTCTCGTCATTAGCAAATGAAAATTTGTTCATTAGCACAGAAAGCCCCGTGAGAATGAGCGAATTTATTCTGTCTGAAAAAAACCGTTAACCACCGACACGCGTCAAACACACGTTATGTACTACCTCTATATACTCAACGGCACCTAACACTGTCCGTTCATTCAGGTTCGGCACGTGAGAAATCGAGGCATTTATTTTCCGAGGTTGAAGGACCTTTTGGTGGGTTTCTTCGAGGTAAACTCAGCTGGCATGTATTTTGTGGGTGTTTTAATGTGAGGATTGGGAATCATCGACCGAGCGAGAACCTGATCTTGAAAGTGGGCCAATGTTATTTCAGCGTGACGTTGCCCCTCATCTCATTCCTCAATTAATCTCCCATCGATCAGGCAAATTCTCGGGATTACTTCTCACGTAGGGAGAAACAACTTCAATTAGTCTTGGAGATTTTCCACTTCAATTTCCGGTAGAAGCCCGACAAACATACGTGGAAACAGTCAATTCTAGGTCAATTAGACAGCGAAAATCCGTGAAAAGTCAGGGGGCCCTCGAAAAAATTTACAGTACTGATAAAAATTGTACGATTTCTGTGGATTTTTTACATAAATATGAAAATCGTTTTAGGGGACGAATTCCACGTATTTTTTCATAAACCGGAAAATTCAGTCAAGATTTTTTAACAGTTCCCCTAGAATTCCTAAAAAATTCACGAAAATGACTAATTAGAAAACTAAACGATCTTAATATTAATATAGTATTCAATTTTTATAGATATTTCCTTCTATCCATCTTAAACCTCGTATCCCCGAAAATTGCGAGTGAATTTTCTCAACAGTGAACAGTAGAATCCTCGATAGACTCACCTCGATGACTCCCAAAAAATCCCCCTTCAAAAATAATTCCCACTGTTCCTTCGTCGATCCACGATCAAATTCTGCATATCACGTCCTCTGAACGTCCATAAAATCCCAATTCGATTCACAAATACGTAAAACAGCTGAGCACTTGCACAAGTGAGTTTGTAAAACCTTTGAATTAGATTTGATTCGTAACTCTGGTGTGATTGACACTGGACCGATGATGTTATCACGAATATCGAACGGCTATCGATCCATCCGACTAGTCAGGTGGACGCGACTGGTCTGACCGGCATGGCTAGCAGCCGGGATGTGCATCGTAATGTCATGGGGAAGGCTATCAGGAGTTTTGCCATGGGGCAACATCGGAGAAATATCCACCACTCATTTACCCATTTTACCTCTACATTAGCATCCCCCCCTTTCCCTCCCCCACCCACCACCCTGTCATCATCCACTTCCACGTGCTTTAATCACTGACTCTGGGATAATGATTCCATGGTGATGATGGTGGTGGTGGACAGTACCCGGAAGAGATTCACGGTAACAGGGGATAAACGAGTTGGTGATTCCTCTGGTGCTTGGAGGTGGGGAACTTGAGGAGTTGTCTGATTGGAGGTGGGGGCACAGTGGGAGAATTTGTTATGTTTAAAAAAATGGGAAAAGAGGGGGAGTAAATGGAGAAACTAAAGTGGGCCAGTGGCCAGGTCATGCCCATCGAAGAAGGGGAGCAAACGCGCACGACAGCGACACACTGTCCTACTCATGACCGCCTCGTCGCACACTTCAATCGTTATGGCCATTCAGGAAAACCGTTTCCGATATCACAGCAGTCGGTAATGCACTTGGTTAATGCATATGCATTCCAATGGTCGGGGTTGGAGATTATAGGAGTGGGCCGGGTTTTTTCCGGGCTAAAAATTCACAAATTTTCGGGCATTTGTCACGATTTCTCAGGAATTCGCTCTGGACACTGGATTGCATTGCACTGCATTGCCATAATAATTATGGATTCTCGGCATTGGGGATTGATGCAGTTTCAATTTATTTAGTTTATAGAATTATTTGAAGTTGAGGGAAAATTTCGAGAATTCGAAGATAATTCACCGCAACTCCCAGCACATTAAACCTAAAAGTGAAGTTGAAAATTAATTGTCGAAAAAGAAAAGAATTGGTGAAGTACCCTGTTGCTTTCATTTTCGCACATTTTTTTCTCACTCTTTCCTAACGGCGTCTAATTGACAATTGGATGAAAAATCTGAGAATGCACTGGTGGAAAAATTCCTGGATATCCTCAAACGGCTGCAAAAATAGCAGAATAATTATCTCTGAGAATTTTGCAGTTAACTGTTTAGTTAATACCGACCGTAATGGCAATTAGAACTCGTAGCGTTAAATATACCGGTGTTTATTCACCTCTGGGGTTCAATTAAAAAGGGATACAAGGCTCTCGAGCACTTATCGCGGCATTAAATTACAGGTGATTATGGGAGACGAGGGTGGGGCTGAGTAAATACGTTTGAATTGATTCTTCTGGAGTCGGTGTAGAATTCCTGGTGAGATTTCACTCGATTTGCGAGTCAATGGGTGAACGATTTTTTGGGTGATGGACGTGACTCGGTTGTTGATTGAGTTCTAGTTACAATCGGTACTGATATCCCATTTATTCGAACCATTCTTTTGCCCGATTGTGGTTCTGCTTTATGGGGATGAGCTTCGTAAATGAGATCTATAAATTGGACTGACTGTGGAGATGGTGTGCGTGAAAAATTACTTCAGCAAGTACAGGTGGTCAGGAATGCGTAATCGATAACGGTCTCTCTACGTCTCAAGGCGTGTGGGCAGTAGCTACAGTACTCCAGTTGTACAGATATTCCAAGTCCAAAATATCCTAATACTCGGAAAAATTTTCCGACCGTAATTTCGAGAAAAATCGCGAATTAGTATCAACTTCACGTCAATTACTCCGCGAAAATTAATGTATCATTATGGAAATTAGATTTCTCTCGATTTCTGGAAAATTCTGTGGAGATCCTTAGAATTCAGTAGTACTTACTTATTTTCATCTGAAAATTCGTATTGGTTCTGGAATTTCAGTTTAAAAACGCAGAGTTTCGTTATAAAAAATTCGATGAATGGTTTTGTAAATATTTCAGTCTGCGATGTCAAAAACTTTCCACTTGATTTCTCAATGATTTTTTGCACTGAAAAAATGAAAATTGAAAAACTTTGAAAGTTAATGGAAAATTAATAAAAATCTATCATTGAATTAATCTCAGCGCTGGACATCGAGTTCCTGGAAACTTTCCATGAAATAAAATGTGAGAGCATCTTTATTATCGATCTTTGACTTTCAAAAGAATAACAATCGGCGGGATTGTTCGAGAGAGTCAAAGGTCTCGGTATTTAGTATCGACCGAATTTACCGTAAGAAAAAAATGGAATTCCTGTCCCCGCGATGAGTACCACGCATTGGGTCTCTACGGTAAATTTTTTCGGCTTCAGCTCCGCAACTATTTTTTTTTATCGGCCAACCACAAGGCCAAGAGAATTTCATTCTTAGCCGCTGGCTTCCTCACAAATTACCGAGGAATGCGCAGTGCTGGAGTTTTCATCCAGGGGAAGTTGGTAATTCTCGCAAATAATAGAGTATTTTCCCTTGGGTAATGACGAAACTTGCTCCCTTAGAGTTTCGGCATTAAAATCCAATGAGGAGTGCAAGTTACTATACCGTGTTAAAAAATGTTAGCTGAACTTTCCGAAAAAGACCTTCAATTCATTTCAGTAATCGAATTTTACATCTTTTTCATCGCTCTATCTCGAAAACTATTGATTTAATCCAACGCTAGATAACTTTCCAAAAGCTAATGAAATTCCCAAGCAAAAATGTCCTTTAATGTTTTCTCCTAAGATCCGTATTCACTAAAATTCAATGAAGAAATATCAAATTGCAGAGAAAATTCGAGGGAATCCTGAATTTTTTCATGAAAATCGCATATTAATTCTGACAAATTTACAGTTAATCATGAAATATTGATATTCAATATTTATACTCCGCTTTTTCTGTCTTCATTTTATAAAAATTTGGGATGAAAAAGTGTGTCATTAAAATAGAAATATTTCTTAATTTTACATTTTGATGCGTCACGATGACGGGTACACAGAGCCCCACCGGTGTTGAGATAAATCATGATCGAAAAAAAAGGTCGAACCGGCATTTTCATTGAAACGCTCATCACTGGCGTCTGTGGATACCGGTTTACCAATTTCAATGGTATTTGAGGCATTCAGTTAGGTGTCGAGGGAGTACAATAAAACAGAGTATGTCCCTGATGCATGGGACGACCCTGGCCCGGCGTTCAGCCTGGGTTAGCTCTATCGAACCAACAGCCCCGGCTTTTCCCTTGCATTGCACGAACGCCCCCGCAAATTTTCCCATGCACCTTCGTTCATTCCGAGACGTGATTTTCATCCACCATCACCACCACCTGGTGACCCTTCCCTTGTTCTCCCCTGCATTCCCCTATCTTCTCCATCACAGGTCAACCCCGTTGACCCATGAATTACGTCCACAGACTCCATCCACCTAGAGATAAGGCTTTTGACAATCAAAATTTACTTCCTCCAACAGAATATTCTCTCTTTGCTTTTTTCATTATTAAATCTCTTGATATTAAAAATTTCGGTTTCGCTTGGAGGGAAAAAGCCAACACGAGACTCCCTTGGGAGAATTTTTAGTGTGCTCGCCAGACTAGGAATAATGTCCTCATAAATTCATGTGGTTTACGCGATATTTACGCCGTGAAAAACTTATAATATAATTTTGCACCGCATTTTTTTCTGGTATTAAATAATGCGACAAGTTTAGTGAAAATTATGTTATCCCACGATGAAATTCCAGGGAAAATTACTCATCATATTATTATGATGAAATATTGAATACATCTTTGGAAAACCCATAATTACATTAATTATTATTATTTTATTTTTTAATTCTCTGTCAGAGTGATTTTTTCAAAAAATTTTCATTTTATCAAAAGAACATTTTTTTTTTCAACACTTATCATATCCCGGAAATATGAATTATTCAGTCAATTCGATTCTATGTAGAGCAATGGATTACCTGAATTTATTGGGAGGCTTATGTTAATACTTAATCATTCTCTTGGGACAAGCCAATCTCTTCCTGCCGAAAGGCCTTTATCTCTCAGTATGAGACCAAAAATTATTCATCATGAGATTTCACAGTTAAAAAACTGATAAGAAAATGTTGTTTGGTATCAAATTCTTTAGTCAAACATATATTTTTTTTCGAGCGAGAGATTTCTACAGTGTCGTTTTTTTAGCGAACGTGAGGATGACGTAAAGTGGAACGATGAATGATTATGTGCTACTTTAGCACACGACGAGGTACATTGAATGGGCCCCTCGACAATTCCCACGATGAGAAATATTTCACATTATGCTCATGAGAAACAACAAGGGACGGGTTCCACCAATCCTCGTAATTGATTGGCTCTTCCTTTTAGCTAGATTATTTTTCGAATTCTTTTACGATGAATTTGCGTAATTGGATCCACCGGGAGCGATGATTAATGATGATTAAGTGTTAAAATGGGACGATGAGGTTCTATCGTGCCCCTATGATTTTTATCAATCACTATTTGACTGATCATATCTCTGAGAATTATTGTTATTCGGGTAATCGCGTATTTATTCCTGTCTTCAGTCGTCCCACGAATCGAGATCCCGATTTCAGATAACGCGTGTTTTTTTTCACCTTTCTGCTCCCCCACCTGCAAGTGCACGATGTAGTCATTGATTTTTCGACAAGACAAAGGGTACGAGGGGACAGCAAAAGTCGGTTGACTTTCACAAAAGCCACTTAACCCGGTCCAGTAACATCCATTGGTACCTCACACCCGTGACAAATTTTTTTTTCCCAACCGCAAATACCCATTTAATTACCGTTTTAGAGATATTCCTTGGAATTTCTTTCCGAATTCGCATTCTCCTGAAAAAAAGGAGAACGCTCCATTCCAGATGAATTATTCAATAAAAAACAGGGAAATATCACTGAATTTATTTCGAAGTAATTGGAAAAATTACATAATTTTCATAATTTGGATAAAATAATGAAATTCATTTAATTTGCTCTTCATGTTTCATGTATTTCAGTTTTCCATTAGAAATAGAAAAGTTGTATGAAATAGTAAATTATATTCCGTGTATATCCCCGATATATGGAGATATATTGTTCCATGGGATAATGTTCAGGTTGAATTGAAAATTGAAAGAAATTCCAGGGACATGTGCAGTTTTTTTTACGTTTCTGTTGCTTCTAAATGAGAAATTCCGCTGGAATCTCCTGGAGGTTTTGAGAGTTTTGCTTTATTCTCTGGGGTATTGAAACCCTCGGGATTTTGCCGGATGTCAAATGGATTGGAAAAGTAACAGGTAAATAAGAGAGGGGGCGGAGAATTAACCAGGTCGTCTCCGTCTTCTAGTAGTATCTAGGTTACAACAATTATTTTTTGCAGAATACTTTCGACTTCGTTCTCCTTAAGCTCCGAATACTTGGACTTGGCTGAATTATTTGTCCACACTCGGCTCGATTGCTGAGAGGCGCCGACAATTTCAATCAATAGAAACTTTCCCATTGTGAAAGTTTTTCTATTATTCACTCGAGGAAAATTGACAGGGTGGAGAACAATGGACATACCAGGTTCTACATTCGTTGTTCATTTATTATATTTTACACACTAGACTGTAAAATTCTACGTACAAATTCAGGATATTTACAGATAGAGGCTCTCCAGAGAGAAATATTTCTCTTTTGGTTATCAACAAGAGTTGATAATGATCTATAAGTCTATTGTCCTAGAGTATTTCGTAATAAATTAAGTATCTTGGGCAGTATTCGTTGTTCGCCCTAAACATAATACATATACATGACCACACAGAAAGTACATGAAAAATATATAATATGGGCCAACTTTCTCCATTTTTAAGTGACACAAGTCGAATTTTCGAGGAATGTCTCGTTATTTAACAGTGATAGCTGAATTTTTAACAAGACCTACTTTGTGGAGTGGATGGAAAGCTACGAAAATGGTTTTTACAAAAATTTCGCTCTCTTCGATCCGGAGATATCGACTCGAGCTGTTATCTTTTCCCCTTCGCTGGTCATTTCGACTTCTTCCACTTCACCACTTCACCGATATCTTTTTATGTGTAAAAGATATATTTCAGTGATATCACGTCACAATTAAAAAACTCGAGATAGATTGCTTCAATGATTTTTTTCCGTGTGAGTTGAGGAGTTTTTCAGGCGGTACTCTGCAAGTGGTAGGAGTTTGACCCATCAAAATGTGCCATTAGAATCTGATTTTCAATCCTCTCAGTGAGATCGATTAACCGCTGTTGAATTGCTAGCAAATAGCACAATTAATTAACTATTTCCTCTCCCTAAACCACTTGCGCTCGTTCCCCATCTGAGCATTTCAATGCGATAATTGGAAACTTGATGTAATACTAAATTGTTCGATAAAAAATAACGAGTCACTATCACCAGTAATTGTTTATCCACATGTGGATAATCTCCCAATCCGCAGTAATCTCAGGTGATTAACTGGGATGGGGTGAGATTCGGGAATCATCCATCAGTCGTTGGATTTTTATTTCGTTGTTTATTATGATAATTCCGATATCACTTCAGAACTGCAGGATTTGATTAATCCACTCTCGAAATTCGGAGATTCTTGTGTAAACTCCCGGTTGATTGGGCTCGGCGCAACCTATTCCCCAGCTTATTACACCAGCGAGAATCCATCGCTTGTCCCGTGGCCTCTGTATCACCAGGGGACCACCACTGTCGCCCTGAAATTAATCAATTGTTTATTGTAGAACTCTCATTAATCAAAATTTGGTACTTCATTCTTTAACTTCATTCTTTCTTTGTAAAATTCATTCACGAATTTTCACTTTGATTCTCTATTTTATCATTTTCATCCATTCATTTACCTCACAAGAATCGAATCCTCCTTTTCTCCATCCGGCGCAGATAAATATGTGCGGAATGTGCTCTATGAATCCAGCCTGTTTGTACATCGACTCGCAAACAGTATTATTGATAACAGGTACAGAAACTTCTTGTAGAACCGACGGTAGTGGTCCGTCTGAAATGCAAAATGCAAAATTGAGAAATTAGGAACGTTAAAATGTCTTCGATTTCCATTGAAATACTTTCTCGACTTCATTATCAAACAGGTGAAGTAAAATTTATTGCCTCAATGAAATGAATTAGGACTGCCATAAAATCGATGAAATTTTGGCTTTGATTACCTTCGTAGAGTCGTCCCCAACCGGTGACGTACGCCGTGTGCCCCACGTACCCCTCATCATCGTCGGGGAGACAAATTGGTAAAAGATTCGGTTGAAACGGCAAAAGGGGCTCGTAAAATCTCAGCAGAGCTAGATCATACTCGAAGGTCCTTGGATCGAAGTTCGGATGACTGGCAACAATTTGCACCCGTCTCTCTTGGAAACCATAGGGCTCGTCCTCGTTTGCCAAGTCATGCTCACCAATTCGGAGTAAAAGGTCACTCGGTGGTACACTGGAGGGGAAATATGACGGTTAGATCCTTATGTGATCGATTTGTCGTGCAAGGGATATATTTGGATATTTTTTCCGAGGCATGACAATCCCGAATGAAACAAACTTTTTTCTCATATGATTTGCAAATGTCGTGTGATCTTCGAGGTGAATAAGATTTTATCCAATTGAACGTACTTTTCGACGCAATGAGCTGCAGTTATCGCCCAATTCTCGTTCAATAATGCAGCACCGCATTTGTGCAGGTATGCGGAGGTTCTCCACTGTCTCAATGATATCTGAAAAAAAATTTATTTAATCCCCAATTCGTTAAGCTATTCTATCGTATTTTCACTCCATCTCTTATTAGTTTTTGATAAATCCTATTGAATTGCTTAATTCGAAATCTAGTAGAGAAAGCATCATTAGAATTTGATTTTTTCATTCCATGCGAGGGAATCTTATGCAAATCGTCGCGAAATGAGAAAAAATGAAGAGTGAATTTGGTAATGGGATTAGTAATTTTAATTTCGTTGGAAAACTTGAAAAGAACGGATATTGAAGAAAATGACATATCATTTATAAAAAACTTGTCGTGAAAATTTGAAGTAATTTAAAAATAATTTGGGGTGCGGTAAAATGGAAATTGTTCTGATTAAAATCTGAATAATCTGATGAACTAGATAAGATGAGTTCCTCGTGACTTGTTTATTTACCTGCCAAGGCCACTTGCCAAACAAACTACGTTCTCCACCCACTATTCTCGATTCAGGGAACAATCTTCTCCCGCACACTGCAAGAATAAACATTGTTCTGTTAATTGCTTTAATAACATTTCTGCCAGCCAGTGCCTCAGCCATATTGTTGAGTACTGATCTCTCATTCGATCGACCGGATCAACCGGTACCCCGGTACCGGTATCTTGGTGATTTTTTTTCCCTCAGAGACTGGCCCAGAACTTTTCTTCAGTGTCCTTAAACTTAACCAATTCCCCCATTGTCCTCGGGACGCCTTCACTCGCGCGATAATTCCTCAAAGTATTTGCTAATTGAAATACCCACCTTGCTTATAGTCGGACATATTGAAACTGTCCGGTGTTTCAGGGGTTCCAGTGGTAACTTCCGAGGCTGGTGAAGGTGTTCCAGTCGGTACTGTCGGCTTTGATGTTGTGGCCTCTGTACTTGCCTCTTGAGTTGTAATTACCACTGGGGAAATAAGTACAGATTATCTCTTCGATCCTTCAGGATAGATATTTACCGGGAAATAATTTCTGAGGAGTTTGTCTCACCTGGAGTTGTGGGAGATGATGTTGATGTGATTTTTGTACTTTCAGTGGTGTTATCAGCTTCGGGTGTCTTTGTACTCGGTGATTGAATTATTATCCAGCCATCAGGAGTCGTTATCGGGGACCATTGAGTCTGGGTGACTTCTGCGAATCATAGGGATCAATGGTTTTAATATATTCAATTACTTTGTCAGGACTGAAGATAGGTTCTAGTTTTCTCATTTTTTAATTACCATTATCGTACTGAATACTATTCAAATTAATGAAATAAATTGAAACATCATTGCATAATATTGTTATGGCATTACAATAATTATTTATTCTTCAAATCCATTTGTTATTCACGGATGGAATGAAGAAAATATGAGTACTCTCTATGACTATAGTGAAGTTGTCATGAGTGAAGATCTATTCATTCTATATTTTGTAGATTTATCGAGAAGGTCTTCTGTACAAACTATTCCGTCCTCTGTAAATACTGCGAGCGAATTCCATTCTTTCTGGTAATATAAATAGCGAAGCGATACGCGTCGAAAGAATAATCTTTGTTTTAGTTTTCGTTAGGAGTTCAATATTTTCGTATTCCAACCGCCGCAAGATTCTACAGTTAGTGCAAAAAAAAATCGAAGAAGTGTTCGTACCCCTATCCCATTTCGAAAACATTTATCAACACCTCAAATTGCTGTCATGGCATCTCGTACCGTTCACATTACTACCAATTAAAGATCACAATATCTAGTCGTTTTACCACTCTAACAGGATTGAACGGTCTTTTAAAACTCCATTCAACCGACAGGTAAGCCCAGAAAATGAATTACATTGAACCTGAGAAGAACCCGTTACTCCGGAAATTTGTTAACACATCACTTTAAACTCGACGGAAAATCCCTTTAGTGACCCAAATAGAAGGCATACCTGGTACCGGTGCTGAGGTGGTTGACGTGGTGGTGGGTGTGACGTAGCTATCGGAATTGGAGCTCCAAGTGACGAAACCCTCGGTGGTAATGGGTGGTGAGCTGGTCGTGGCAAATTTTGGTGGAAGGATCTCGTTGGTCAGGGTGACAGGTTCCTCTGTTGTGGTTGTGGTTGTCGTGGTTGTCGTCGTGGTTGTCGTTGAGCTTGTCGTGCTCGAGAGTTGTTGTCGTGTTGTTGTTGATGTGGCCGGAGTTGTTGCCGCCGTCAACGATGACGAGACAGTCGTCAGAGGTACAGTAATACCAGCAGTGCTTCCTGCTGGTCTGCTGGGTTTGGTTGGTTTACTTGGTTTGGAGGACGGTCTAGGCTTCGTCGAGGGCTTGATCGTCGTCGACGATGGTCTGGGCCTCGTTTTATCCCCTGTCGTCGGTCTCACCGGTCTTGTTGGTTTGACAGAGGTCACCGTCGTCTTCGTTGGCTTTGTAGTTGTCCTCGGTCTGACTGTCGTCGAAGCTGTCCCGCGAGGGGGTCCAGTTGTTGGTCTCGTCTTCTCTGTCGTCTCAATACTCGGTCTTCTCGTCGAGGTTGGAATACTCGTTGTCGCATTGGGCTTTGATTTTGTTCCCGACACACTTGACGAAGAAGCAGTTGTGGTCTCCGCGAGAACAAGAGGTTTCAACGTCGTAGAGATCGTTGAGGGAGTCGTAATCGCCGGTCTCGGCGCTTGAGATGGCTTCGATGAACTCGTTGAAGGCTTTGATGAGTTGTTCGAGGGTCTGTAGGAGCTCGCAGTGGGCCTGCTAGGTCTCTTGGTGATGACCGTAGGTTTCTTCGTGCTTACAGACGTCGAGGGTCTCCTCGTCGTCGCCGTTGTGGGCCTTCTGCTGGTAAAGGCTTGAGTAGTTGCATTTCTCGGTGGAAATCTAGTCGCAGGTGCCCTCTCCGTTGTCGTTGTGCTCAGCGTTGTTGATACCGACGAAGATGTTGAGAAAGCTACTGACGATGGAATCAACGAAGAAACTGACGTTCTCCTCACCAAGGCCTCAGTTGTCGACATTTCCTGTGTCGTTGTCCTCTCAGTGGTGTACCTCGAGAAATGCAAAGTCGTCGGTTTCGTCACTGTCGGCGTCCTGTTATCTTGAATCGTCTGGAATGTCGATAGAGCTATCGATGGTGAAATATTCATTGTTGACGTTCTCGTCACTGTTGTTGGCGTTGTGTAAGTATTTTTTATTGGTTTTCCGGTGGTGACAATAGCCGGCACCTTTTCAGGTTTGGGTTTAGCCTGATAATCCGGAATGTCATTAGTCTCGATCGGTGCACCAGTGGATCCCAGGCCATTCAGCTCGTCTATTGAGTTATCTTGGGGGAATATCTCCGGCTCATCATTGATCTTACAACAGCTACCGAAGTAGAATCTGTCGAGACAGGTGCCCAGGTGGGTACCATTGGCTTTAACACAGTTGAAAGCAAACATACAGACACCTGTCTCCCCAGTCTTCAGGGATACGCATGGCAAGTGACGGATGTTTCTACCTATCCCTAGAATGATTGATGATTGTCATTAAATAGTTGATACATTATCATCAAATGAATAGAATTGAGAAATCGGGTGGTACAAGGTCGTGATGGCAATCCTAACTGTGAATTTTATGTGCCTTAAATATACCGGTATCTGCATTCCTTACGTTCCAGATTCTGCAATAATTCCACCTCGTTTATAATCATCAGAATTAATTTTCCCTCGAGTTCCTCGCCCTACCCATGGCTCTCTATAATCTTTTCCTCTGGTTGAGGCTGAATAACTAGTTTTATCAGGGGGGTAATGAGACGTTTTAACATTGAGATAAGAGCCGTTTTGGAGGTGAGGGTGATCCTTGGGGGAGTTTGGAATACCTGTTTTCAGCTCAGGTAGGCTAGACTAATGGAATGCGTAGGGCTTTTTTGATGGAAAAAAACTTAGGGAAGTGAAAAAAAAGGAGAGAGGTGCATCGCTGTAAATTATTGGAGGGGAAAGGGAGACTGACCGGAGCAAACCGAGATTACGAAGGAGTCGAACCGGGAAACGAGCTGTTACATTGGGCTATGACTGTGACCCACATCGTTCCCTGACTAGCGTTTCATACATTGAAACTTAACGGTATATCCCCGGCGTCTTTGGGCTCCTCGTATTCTCGCATTTGCCCGGGTCTTTTATCCATTCCGAATTCAATCGATCTTCGGGTGCCAACGAATTCATCCGCTTATTAGCATTCTTCTTTTTATCACCAATTTATTCTAATCGAGGGATTCGCACGTGAGTGAGAGAACAGCCGTACCACTTTTTGTTATTTATTTCACGATGAGTCATTCGAGGATTTCGTGACACTGTGACCTGGATTCACTCGGAATTGAATAGAATTCCTTTTGTTTTTGTCGTTGACAGTTATGAGGTGGTGGAAGGTTGACCGTTAATCCTGGGGTGTTTGCCGAATTTTTTTAGGTAACCAGGTTCGCCCACGGGTTGGAGTTTAATGAGCAGTAGTTGATGAGATTTTATGGAGAGTTCTGGGGAACGGCTTCATGGGCGGTTTGAGATTCTTTCCGGAGAGGATTTTTTAAGTTTTGCACAAGCAAGATAAGCGTTGAATTTTTGGGGATTTTTTGTTGCAAATCAATAATATCAGTGGAAAATCTAGAATTCTTAATTTTTTTTCAGTACTGCAAAATGAGGAAAATCCAGGAAAATCATTGTTTTTTTTGCCTTTTGAAAATAATTTCATTGACGTCTTAAATTTCTCTCATAATGAATTAGATTTAGAATCAAGAACTTAAAATATCGGAGCCGCGTTCAATAAATGATAATAATAATATAAAGAAAACACATGTTTTACACAAGAAAAATGAGGAAATTGGATGAATCATAATGGTAATGGAAACAAGTTTTGAATAAATAAGTTGCCTGGATTTCCATCAAGCAGATAGCATATCAAGTGGTAAAAGTTCGCTGAGTGGTCATACCGCCCTGATTTCCGCCTCAACTTTTCTCCCTCGCTTTCACGCTCCGACGAGTGTGAGATATCTCTCTCGTAAACGCAATTCGAGGCTTTTGGGTGGTTAAAAGCCGTGTAAAAAGTTTACTCACCTGCACCGAAGAATGGCGATGCGTAAAGAGGAGTAGCTGCAGTGCTCTTGAAAACACCAACAAGAAGCAACAGTGGCCAAACGTGTGCCTTGAGAATTGCCATCTGGAATGTCATGAAAATTGAGAGTTGATGAGAAGGATGTCTCGGGAATTATTACAATTGTTCACTTCTTCCCCAATTATTGTCCAGAGAATCGAAAAATTAGGTAATTAATGTCGTCTTTGGTGCAATGTCAAGTCATTGTCCGCAGGTCTGTTACTTTTTTTCGCATTATGGCAATGGGAATATTCCCACCGCGTTCCCACCAAGTTAAACCGCGACTTCTTCATGCGTTCCGCAGATAGACAAGACTCATCATGTTTGTTGGCTTGTCGGATGAAGCTTTTTTTTATTCGAGTGATTTTTTTGTAAAAAAAAATTGTAAAATTCTCGTCTTCCGCCTGGGACCTGTTCTGCAATCACGCGATCTCCTGCATTTTTATCGAGTTTCGTTTTTTTCCTTTATATCTCGTGTTTATGGATTTGTTGATAGTGCCGGGCCCACGTTGAACTGTCAGTGGCGGATTTCGGGTTTTGGTAACGGTATTGGGACACTTTCGTTGGGCACCGGGACCGTTTGATTATGACAGTGGACACCCGGAGTGACGAAATCCACTGGATTTTATCGGGAATAAAGTATCTCCTCCTGGTAATCATTAGAATCAATACGAGGAGCTCCACAGGTGGCGTCAGACAGTGAGATAGGGGCATTTTTACCGTAATGTGTCGTGCATTCCTAATTGATGCCGATAGGAAGAATAAAACGTCATCGACCCGGCGGATTTGTGAAAGTTGAGAGGTAACACCCGGGCAACAACTGAAGGTACCGCTATTCGTGAACGACATACCGTGAGACACGGTGGTAAGTTTGCTGATGTACTTGATATACCTGACTAGCAATAGTACTTGGGGGACAATGCGACGAGTCCACGTGACAGCTCAACAACGGGATTAACTACTAGGGATTGTGTGAGAACGTCTTACCTCAATTGCTACCGAATCCAAGTAGCTAGTAGGTTTATTTATAATTTTTTCATCAACTTAGACACTGTTCATCTTACTGATCCTCTTGTTACCACACGAAAACTAATTGTACGAATTGCCGATTTAAGTTGATATATCTTTGGCAACTGCTTTCTTATCTATTCTTTGTTTATGTTTTTTTTATTACTGTTTTCTCCTCGTTCGAATGCCACAGTCCTTCTCGGTGGAGTGAATTCTAGCCCTCTGGCATTGGCAGAACACACAACCCCCACAAATCAAATAATCAAACGCACTTGAATTATTTATTTATTTTTAAGTTTATCCGTAATTTGTGACCGACCTGCCAGGATGGGGAGTATTTATTTCAATTCCACTTGGTTTGTCGACAATCTCAACACGAGTGAATGGCAAGTATACGCAACAGCTACTGACGTTGTGGCCCCCATGGATGGGACCCAAGAGGTGGTGGCAATGACCGTTCTCTGTCTTCCTCGGGACTCCAAGCTTGAACCCCCCCACCCTGGCCACCTCATTTTCTTCCTCCTTGGTACGACCTCAAGTGGGGCCCTCCAGAGCTCCCCCCCTAAAAGTACCACAACCACCGGGGATACCACTATACTCTTGTTTCAATTTTTCTCCTTTTCCTTTTTTTCTTGGTTTTTTTTTTCCATCATTCGATCTCATTCTTGCTACGGATGAGGCCTCCTTCTTCTCCTCTCAGTTTCCTAACTTCCCTTTCTTTCTAGCAACCTTGTCCGCCCTTTTTCTACTCCATTCCAAGGGGATCCATTGTATTTTATCAAGGCTCTCTGGAGATATCGGTGTGACAATTTCATCATTTAACCCGAACAATTCATTTCAATTCTCATTTTTTTTAATTCGTTACAAATTATTTGACCTTCTGGTGCAGATTAGGTTGCGATGAAAATTGACATTAATTCGGGATGAATCGACATCGTCCAAAAATTTCTTTGATATTTCTTTCTAAAGATCGTAATCTTGAACATGAATTATTAATTGAGGAAAATCTTGAATTCCCGTTGATAGTTGATTATTTATCTGTCGATCGATAAGTGAATCGATGATCATTGCAAATTTGGGACGATTGACGTCGGCCCCGGGTGAAACTATCGGGGATTCCAACGGCTTTCTAATTCTGATGAATATGAGATAAGTAATCGATTATTTATTTATAGTTTTTCGTCATCTGTCCAATAGCTGGACACTGTGGGCGATCGTGGGCATCTCAACTCCTTGCTCTACATATTCTCATCGAATTCTTTTTATTTCGGTTAGGTCAGCACAGCTGGCTCTCATATGGAACGAAAAACATTCATTGGACTATTGAAATACTATCGAAGCAATCATTTGAGATGAATTGAGGGCTGGAAGTTCCTCCAGGCCCATGAGCTGCGTTGAGATGACACTGATTTTATAATAACTCCTTTCCTCGTTGCAATTGAAAATTCATAGGGCTTACGTCGGTTTCTTATTTATTTAAAGTATCAATATATTTTTTCTAAGGACATTGGCAAGAATTTATCGAATTTTGGTCTATAAAATTTTAAATTCATATACGATGGCTACACCGTAAAGTGAATGCGACTTGATCATAAAAGTAGACTAAACCCATAAGTTTCTGAATAGTTGAATACACCTGCGATGTGGCTTTCAGGACAGAATAAATATCCATTACGTATCTTTCCCATTCATCAAATTCCGATATGCGGCATCAACAGTCAAATTTCCTGGAAAACGCCTACACATGTCGATACGAAACCATCGAATGCACAATCAGAACATCTCGAAACATTTAATTGGGAACAACTATTTCGTAGACGGTAATTGATGGACTGAATGAGTAATTTAATTATGAAAATTAAAAAATTTAGATGAGTTATCCATTTGTAATCCGTTTATTAATTTTCATCTGCTCATTAGTCCTCATATAGAAATAATGAATTCTTGCTTCATTCCTTTGGAGAAAGAAGAGGAAAAATTTGGGACAAAAATTAAAATGGATTATTTCCCTTGTCATTTCAGATGAGTCCGTGTCATCGTAGGGATCATCTGTCAACAGCAAATACGCACTTAGTAGGAATGTGTCACCTCATTTAATTCTTTTGATATTTCGGAGTTCAATCGTTTGAGTCATCAACATGAGTACTTCGATCAGAGTCCACAGCGAGTTGTGGGATTTGAAATCTTCGAACTTCTCTGAGTGAGTACAATTGATATAGTAGTTATTATCTCTATTACTCGGATTAAAAGCTAAAAAATAGCCCGATAATGATCACGTACTCAATTCTCTTGAGTTGACGACAAATTAAATTAATTGAATTTCAAAATTCGAGTACAGCTTTTGTCGTGGAAATGAAACCACTTTGTTTCAACTGAATTTCAAGACAGAATCAATTTTATAATCGTTTTCTTGCCAACGAGCAGCAAAACGAATGAAATCAACTTTCATTAGGAAACAAAATGCAATAAATCGTCATGGAAGTGAGCGTCCGCGAAATTCTGAAAGCGTGAGTATCAGGCAGACAAAAACACCAATTATCTAGTACGAGTAATTAGCGGATATTTTTTACTCTCTATACCGCACAATAATTAAAATTCAGAAATGATTTCCGCCAGATTCTTTACTCCGACAGAATTGTTCTCACCACAACGTACCGAATATTCTCATGATATAGGTTATCGAAAAGAAAATTCTCAATTCCGTTATAATGCACTTATATTTTATAGTCAATCGACGCATACGCGTCGTCTTAAACAAATATTAACAGTACAATGCGTCAATTTATGAAAAAAGTAATTGTAAAAGTTGGAAACATTATCGGGGTATGTGAGGTCCGTAAGGTATTGGGAAAATCGGAAAAATGAATAGATATCTCTAGAGATATCACCTACTTCCTAAGCTTTTACATATTACTTCATGGACGATTCCATTGATCGTGTATACCTTTGCAACCAGCATTCTGAGGGTAATCGCAGACGCGAAGTTCGGGATTGTAGTATTGACCGTACGGACAGTTAAATGACACTGGTACGCCGAAGTTACACTTGCAGAATTTGCTACAGAGCTCATGGGGTAACTGCTCCACATCTACAGGATCTATGTGCTGACAATGACCTTTGCATCTTCCGTCTCCCTCTATAGGCGGGTAGTTGCTAGTTGGTGTTACGGTGTTGATTGTACTCGTACTTGTTGGTGTTACGGTGTTAATTGTAATCGTACTTGTTGGTGTTATTGTAGTAGTAGTTGTTGTTGGTGTTATTGTAGTAGTAGTTGTTGTTGTTGTTGTTGTTGTTGTTAGTGTTGGTATAGGTGTTGTTGATGATATAGGTACAGAAACGGTTACAGTTTCGGTAACAGTAACATCCGGTCTTACGTTACTGTGTATTTCGGTGACAGTGACAGTTTGAGTCGGTGCCCAGTTAGTTACAGTACGTGTAGAGGTGATAGTTCTCTCTGATGTCCTCGTTAGAGTTGATGTGACAGTATATGTTGCAGTAGGCATCACTGACACTGTTGTAGTATCCGTAACAGTTTGAGTTAAAATACTGTCGCAAGGACACCAGCCTGCAGGTGGTTTTGGCCACCTCGGGCACTGGACTAATTCCGGCAATGTGCATATCCCCAAAGGCTTGCTGAAGTGGAAGTCCTTTGGACACTTGAACACCGTCGCCACGCCTTTCTGACACTTACAGTATTTATCGCAGTCATCGTGCTCCAGAGTCACTACCAGATGAGGTGGATCTGTAGGAGGGCAGTTTCCAATGCACTGCTGGCTCGATTCAACATAAAAATCTGTGGAAGCTTGCAGAAATGCAACGGGTTCATCACTCAGTTCATGGTTTGAGCAGTTGGCTTCATATGGGTAGGTGCAGGTACGAGTCTTGGGTGAATAATGTAGCCCTGGTGGACAAGCCAGGACAAAGGCGATTCCACCGTTGCAGGAACAGAATTCAGAACAATTGCGATGAGGCACTAGGTAAACATCGTCATTGGGGTTGAACGTTGGACACTTTTTCTGGCAACCGGAGGGGTCTAGTGGCTTTGCTGACACTGCACACAGCAGTGCGATCACTCCCGCCAATCCTAGAATTATAGGAAAAAACAATTACTAGAATATTTATAATCTAGAAAACGGAAGTGTATCGGAAATTGATCGCAAATATAATTGATCATAGTAATCACTTGAGCAGAATCAACATACCTATTGAAGATCTCATAGTGCCTGGCTCAGAATCGCAAATGTGATTGCTGTCCTCAGGAAGAGTCGTACTTTTATACAAATCATTTATCATTTTATTCCATCAATATTATCTACTAATTCAGAAATATGTCGCACTCTTCGAATATTCCGGGGGTCTATCGTTGAATAATCGCATCGTATCAGCGATCAGGATCACGATAAAACTTGTCGCGAGAAATATATTTAAACACAATTCTTTCAATTCATTGCGGTCGGCGTTTTTTCTTAAGCTACTCAATAGACTTTAGATTTTCTCGGAACCGATGGCCATCCATATTGATTAAAACACATTTACAGTAGTCAATTGCTAAGGTTCTTCTAATCTCTTTATTCGGTATTCATGATACGAATAATTTACAAATATATCTGCATTTAAATACATCGATTTTCACAGTATCAATATGTCGGATAAGAAAAGTGAAAAATTTTTGACGATATTCGGAAAAGATGATATTAGTCTTGGATACCTTGACAATTGGCGTGCCAATACCGGTCACAGACTTCCTCTTTGGGATTGAAGTGGTGACCTGGAGGACATGGCAGCACATGCGGAACACCGTGATTACATTTGCAGAATTTACTGCAGTATTGGTGGGGTAGATGCACGGCGTAAATTGGATCTCCCTCGGGACATCTACCAACGCATCCTCTTTCATCATGATCACGTCTCCATCTGGGGCATTTAGCGTCTTCTGGCCATGTGCACGTTCCATACATTCTGTTGAAGTGGAAGTCCTCCGGACACCAATATACGTACGGTATTCCCTCATTACATTTGCAGTATTTACCACACTCCTGGTGCTCCAGAGTCAATATGAGGTGAGGTGGATACTTCTTAGGACAGATTCCTATGCACTTGCTCACATCATCTGGCAGTTGATTACTCCGGAATGGAATAGAATCTGCTGATACTGCAGTCATCAGTACAATTATTGCCATCCATCCTGTAGTCAAATTTGAGAGCATTAATGTATCAATTAACAGCGCATTTTTAATTGATTGACAAGTCAATTCTACTGACGTATCAGGATTCTCATAGCGTCGTTGCTGGAATCACAATACTACCTGCATTCTTAACAATATGCGGTGCATTTATACGAAATTATTATCACTTTATCTCATCACCAGAGTCTTCACTGAATTATTATTACGAAATTATCAGCAGAGAATTCTGCTGATCATGATGCAGATTTACTGACTTCATGTCAATTGTAGAAGTTTTTTCGCTGTATTTTTCTTTTTCATTCATCATTTTGGAAGGAAAGCATTCGATTTCATGTCCTATTTGTCTCTGATTTTGTACAATTTTCCAGATTTTCTTTTCTACTCTGATCCTCTCCATGACAATAAAGCCGGTCATTTTACGGATAAGTTATCAAAAATTTGTCCGAATGAGTCATCTGCACAGATGATATCGAATCATTTCATGTGAATCAAAACTGATTAGATTAAAAAGTAGAAATCAAGCGTACGAATTAATCCGGGGCAGATTAAAAATCGAGCATTTCTCCTTGAAATTACTCGCATACAAAAATCGTAAACTGATCCGAAAAAGAAAATCTCCATTTCTTTGGATTAATTTTCTTTCTCAATTTGTAAAAAAATCATTTGAATATCTACCTCGTTTATGTCGATTTTCATAATTATTATTTAATGAAATTATATGAAAAAAAATCGACAGTTCTCCCAGGGGGAAGGGATTGGGTGTGGGACGGGTTTGAAAATGAAGTCCTTGAAGACACCCATGCAGTAAACATCAATTTTATTATTATCTGAATTTTTTATAACTCATTGGAATACAAAAATAATTAATTATCGAATAGCGAATATCTATTTTTCCAAGGAATCCTTCAGTTATTAATTTTTTCTCCTTTTCATTTATCGTGAATTTTTTTTTTCTTGTCACTTTTGTTCAATGCAACAAGTGGACGTTCAGTATCTCTCACATACACTTCAGTATTCATATCCTCGGAAAAGTAATTATTCTTTAATTCCTTCGCACTTGGCGTTCTGGGGGCTGTCGCAGACCTGGAGTTTGGCATTGAAATGAAGACCTGGGTCGCAGGTGAAAAGATGAGCTCTGCCATAGCTGCACTTGCAGAATTTTTCACAGTGCTCGTGTGGTAGATGGACCACATCAGTTGGATCCTCTGCAGGACAGAGTCCAATGCATCCTGTCACGTCAGAGATCGATTCAGGGATCGGTTGAAGGAAAACTGGTGTTGCAATTAATGTTGGAATGACTCTTGCGGGTGGAGTGGCTGTTACAGTCTCTGTGCAAGTTGCAGTTACAGTTGGAATTACGGTGACAGTAGAAGTTGGGGTGATCGTTACTGTTGGAGTAGGTATTGCAGTTGTAGTTACGATTGAAGTTGATGTTGCGGTTGCAGTCGATGTTACAGTGGACGTTGAAGTGACGGTTGACGTCAACGTTGCGGTCGAAGTCAAAGATACAGTGGAAGTTACGGTCGAAGTCGATGTTGCTGTTATTGTTGTAGGTAGACAGGTTGTTGTTGTTGGGGTTTTTGTTATAGTTACACCTACGCAAGTAGTAGTTGTGGTTGGGGTTACTGTGATAGTGGTAGGTGAGCCTGTGACAGTTACAGTTGGAGCAGCCGTTACTATCGAAATCGGTGAACGAGCTACTCTAGATGAAGGGTTTCCATTGACTAATTCACTTAAATCCTCTAAAAATTCATTACTCCCTCCGGCAAGCGTTAAATCTTTACACTGTGCTGGAATTTGGGAGGTGCACTGCTGGTCTGCCTTTGAGTAATGCAAGCCCTGCGGACAATTGATTACATGGAGTAATCCATCGATGCAGGAACAGAACTGAGAACAGTTCTGATGGGGCAAAAGATCAATCTGATTATCAAAGTCCCTCGATGAGCACTCTCCAAGGCAGCCCGTGGTATCTTGCTTGTTTGGCAAAGCACAGGACAGCGCGATTAATGTCATCAACCCTGAATTTGGAATGAAAACGATTATAAGGATTAAACGAAATCGGATAGTGCACTGATTGGTTTAATTTACATGATTCAGCTTACATTTGAGAGATTCCATAGTTTTTACTTCGTTTCTTGTCGAAATCACAAATGTAACTGCAGTTTGTCAATTGGGATTGCATTTATAGAGAGTATCTGCCCTCGGATCATTTGTAGATTCACCAGGGCAGTGCTCTGATCAAATATTTTTATCATCGTGCAATTATTAAATGTGGATATCATATCGAATTCACAGAAACTGAGAACTGTGGCCATCACCCTGATGATTCCAAGAAACAGGTGACCGACATTATTAAAAAGCGAAGTAAATGCTTGCGAGATGAAATTAAATCTTTTCCTAAATCGATTTATTCATCAATCAATACAAATATATGTTTATACTCGGTGAAGGCTAAATGATATTAATAATGGATGGGTTATTTTCATTATGATGAAATGTGATACTATGTCAAATATCTTTACTGAACAATATATTTTGCACAAGGATTCATCTTACAGTACTTATTTTCAGAGACAATTACATAGTTTTTTTAATCTGCCTGATCGAGACAAACATTTCGAAATATATATCTCAACGTCTTGAAATCTTATCGAACAGTTACTTATTGCCTCAAGTATTTTTATCTTGTTGTATGGGGCAGATATCTATATCTATAGTACTATCGCTGATAACTTGCGCGAATAAAATAGTTATGGTTTAATTATAATTGATCATAATTGATATCGTCTGGCTCCGGCGGAGGTCTAGCCAATAATCCTCATAAATTAGAGACAGATTGGAACTCATGCCCGCATGTTTCTCCATTGACGCTTGCAGCCTGCTTGAGAAGGGTAATCGCAGATTAGTTTCTCGGGATTGTAGTGTCGATGATGCAAGCATTTGAAGACCATTGGTTTTCCGAATCTGCATTTGCAGAATTTCGTGCATTCCTTGTGGGAGAGTTGGAAGGCATCATCTGAATCTATTTCTGGGCACTTGCCGAGGCATCCAAGAGTGTCATCATCTGATTTTTCACGCTGGTAATAATAGGCTTCAAAGTTATCTGATTCCGGTAAACCATCGAAATCCTCATGACTCTCTAGAAATTCAGATCTCAACGTCCTTGCAAACATGTTGCAATCTAGCTCCTCCGACCAAACACAGATATGAAAAATTGGATCGAAAGCGAGTCCTGGTTGACACTCCTTTAATGATTCCGTCCCATTGTTGCATAGGTAGTATAGAGCGCAGTTCGTTTCATGGGGAAATTGCTTCACGCCTGTCGCAGGACATCTAAGTTTTGAAACGCACTTCTTTTCATCGGGCCAGTCACACTGCAACAAGTCTGGATTGAATTCCAATCCAATCTCGCAGGATTTCAAGATTTTTTCTCCATCGAGACACTCGTAATATAATGAGCAGTTTCTTGGGTGTGGAAATCGAATAGGTTCATTACCGTTTTGTGCGGGACATTCGTAGGAATTGGTTTGTGTCGAGATAGGAATCTCAGTAGATGTTGATGATTCAGTAGGTGTAGTTATTGGCAATGAAGAAGGTTCAGTCGGTATTGTTGATTCAGTAGGTGCTGTAGTTGGGAGGGATGAAGAAGGTTCAGTCGGTGTTGATGATTCAGGAGG